ACTAATAAACAATAATTTTGAAATAAGGCCGGTTCCAGACCTTGACGGGTGCAAGAACTATAACCAACAACGTTTCGCTCGGTTATAGTAAAGCAATACTGGAAAATCCACAACCCATCACTTCTGAGTTTCTGCATCCATAGCCTACATAATTTCACATAGCCACTGGATCACCTTAGCATAAAGATGACCGGTAACGGTACAATTGGTAAAATAGTTAATAAACAATATATCAACCTGAAGCACATCTGAAACACGCTTATATTATGCAAACTTAATATTCCTCTTTCTCCCACATTTGTAAGCACACGCAGTTACAACTTTTATCAGACCAGACAATAACGGAAAACAAATAGCCACTTCCTTTCCATGATTACTGCGGCTAAACTACGTGCACAGCAGTAATTTTCTTAAAAAATCGGGGGCAGTATTTTGAGAAAGTAGTCATCAATCTTTATGATAAGCTCTAAGAAGACCAGAGACGCTGACATGCTGGAAATTTTTGACAGTGTACCACACACTACTAGATTTATCATTTCATAAAAAAACTTTATCAGAAAACACATCTAAAAATTTTCATTTATTGAAAGAACTGTTAAAATTGTTTCAAACACTATGTGAGAGAACAAGAAAATATCTAGTTTGGTATCACCAAAAATGAAAGATAAGGAATCAAAAAAGAAAATGGAAGTGTAAAATGTTGACGGTATAAAATTTCATCACCGCGATATTTGAATAAGAATAAATGAAAGCACAGGAAATAACAAATATAAGAAATCGAAATTAGAGTTTGTTTCCTTTCATACTAAATGAAAATGAATATTCAGAGAAAAATATCAAAACACCGACAAAAATTTTCTAGCTATTTCTAGCCCACCAGTACATTCACAATATCAATTTATTTTGAAGACCTTACTTGAAAAGGAATATACAGATTCATGAGAAATACGAAAATAAAAAAAAAGTAGTTTGGAAGAACAGAAAATTAACCTATAATGAAAGATTGAAAGATATTAAAAATTCATCGACCATTTACTAATACGAATCACAGGGATACCACTGATACTACGTTTGTTTTATCCACATCTAAACGACAGACCGGGCATTTTTTATTGTACACCAACCAACGATCGATACAAACGACATGGAATACATGATTGCAGCGAAGAGCTCGAACTTCTTCGTCCATTTCGAAATCATTCAAGCATACCTGAACAATTCTGTGAAGTGGCTTTGAAAAGATCAGTGATAACAAATGCATTGATATAAATGGAGGATAAAAAGTTCAAACTAACCGTGCAACGTTCTTGTTCGTTTTCGGGAATATCATTCTCTTTGATATATTTGTAGGTAGTCGAAAAACGATTGATTTGTTCAACAGTTGCGCCGACTGGTACAGGATCATTAGAAGTAGGCACATTGCCACCCAAAATAACCGTTGGATCATGTGGCTGCAACAGAACCTGAAATAAATTTCCTTACAAATGGATAAAAAAGAAAACCAAAAAATAGTTTTAAAAAATGAAATAAGAAATCATACCATAGCAAGCTCCATAATGGGTTGGTGGTGACGCGGTAAGAAAACTACTGGTTGAGACGTTAAACGTCTTGGGACAATATCAACACCAATCAGACTATTTGATGCTAAAGAGTGTCGCTGAAACCACAAATTGTTGGCCTGCTGTTGACGTTCGATTTGTGCCACACGCGATGATAGTAACAAATCATGTACTGGATTCATGTCAGTTTCACGTCTTAAAAAATAAAATAAATAAAAATTATTGGAAAAAAGATAAACTAAAATCTCACACAGGTTTGCGCACTGAAGAAGAAACCATCTATATTATATTTAACTGTTATACAAAAGCTACCTGTAACTACTGCCTGATTCGTTGCGTTGGCAAAAACACATCGGATGACGCGGGCAGATATGATGATGATTGTGATATGGACAGGACTGATAAGGACACTGATAGGTAGAACGACTGCGGCAATCGCAACAAAATGCCGAATTTAAACCTGGCCTACTATCTATTGCATTTCTCTCGTCACCTCGGGCTCTGGAAATAAAGCATGCAATGTAGCGAAAACAAAGAATTAATCGCATCGTACAATAAAGATGTGCGTGCTTACTCGACATGTCGTTGAGAAGTCAGATATGAAGTGGTTGCTTCTGTATTAGGTTCAACACGACGTATTTTCTGCAAACGAATATTCGCTGCAGCATTCGGATTTGTTACCGGAGGATGATTGGTAGGAAGCTGTTCACCGGATCGCTTTAGACGCATCACTGAGGATCGAAGAGAAGGTAAGGCTAAGGTAGGCGGCAAAGATGATACCTATAAAAAAACGTGCATACTTTACACATACACATACAGAAGGTTTTTGGGATGTTGAATGATGTCAAAGCTGTCACCAGTAAATCTGAAATAAAAAATTAATTGAACCCACGCGAGCAGATGCAACATTGCTTGTTATTGTTGCTGGTAAAGTATGGGAGTGGCTTTGCGACAATGTAGCAGGGACTGCACCTAAAATACAGAAATGTGGTAATAAACATAGAAGAAGGATAAGGAATATTTTAAAGTACTAGAATAACATAAATGAATAAATTAAATACTACTACCCCTTATGTAACTTTCTGTGACAGAACCAACCCAAAGATGAAAGCGAATGTGAAGCATAAGTGATTGGACGATGATGAAGTGCACATGGTTGAGCATAGATGCAGTGGCAGACTGCTGTTATTGGAGTAGCGGCTGATAGGAATGTACAAGGTGAAGCAGGTGCAGCTGTAGGACCAGCGATATATGCAGCTGTTAATGCGGATGGATAAATAGGAGGAGTAGCAAAGGCTGGAGTTTGAGTAAAAGCCGTTTCGATCACACCAGGAACCTAAAATTTTTGTTATACAACTAAAATTGTTGAATGATAAAAGTTTTAAGTAATCAAGTAATACACGTCACAGTGTAATATACTAGAACGTTTGTCTGAAGTGTTTTCAATGTGATATTCCAATTTTGTAATGACCAAAATGATAGATAATTCATTATCATAATCTGAGAAGACGTATAAAAATTTCAGCATCGACTTAATTCTGATAAAGAGGAACTGACCTGTATTGGAATATATGTTGCAGGACTGCCTTGTAAAGTCATTGAAGGTACTGAACCAGCAGTAAAGGTTGGTCCAGAAACAAAGGAAAGAGCTGTGTTATGTGATGATGTTTCACTAGACTCTCGAATCCTATTTGTCACACCATTCATAACATTCGTCTGCAAAACGCCATTTGGATTCTGGATGTTTTCTTCCTGCAGTGTCATTATGAAAATTTTCTTCATCCTTAAATGCCCTCTATTTCTAGCAGTAAAATCTGTCTGAACAGATGCATAAGAAGGAATGCATAGGAATCTCTCTGGGTTAACACTGCGTAGCGCTGGCATGATTCAATGCCCCAATATCACTATCTGCAACCGCGCAGTGGTAAAAGATCGTTACTTACTGGTAACTCTATTAACTCAGAAATGCTTTCTACTTAGTGAACAATTCATCCCAAAGGAATAATAAGTATACTTTAAGCAAATATTTATTAGCTTCCCATTTCCCTAGCAAACAGGATATACTTTGTTCATTTTTACCACAGCATAAATCCCCATAATAAACTCTACACTTATAAACATTTGTCTTTCCATAAATTGCTCAGTGTTCAGTCAAACGAACCCTCACCATTAATAACTCGCTAGATAATCCGTTTACACGTTGTGCCGTTCCACTCGAAGATGTTGTCTGCTTTGTCTGGGACATTTCCAAGGCAGCAGATCGAAAAGAAGCAACCACCCTACAAAATTATAAATAAATCAGCGAGATAATAACACTAGAATGGGCAACGAATGGAATGAATTAAAATTTGCATTTGCTAGTAGCTTAACAATATTCCTTAATGTTTCCATTTTCTAGCAGCTTGATGATATTCCCGTGAGTGACTTCCTCTTTCTGTTCATGCATCACGGTATTATACAGGCATGTATAAACTGAGTAACAAGTAATTGAACCTTCGATCTCAGATGTTACAAATTGAGCAATTCACAAGCTACACTGACTGACAGAGAAATGAAATACAGGCCTGCTCTGAACCACTATCCACTTTCGTAGTTCTGATCGAAAACTCTTCATCTTTTCAGTAATCTCTCACTCTCCACCACTTACAACTACAGACCATAACTGTTCGCTATTCTTTCCCTCTCCAATTAACATCTTCCTCCAAACCTTGCTAGGCTTATCAATCCTAGACATCCCTTGTCACTACTCACACTACCTCTAGTCCCACCTTCAAGGACTCCCCACTTATCTTATCTCACACCGATCATTATCGATCCCATCCCACCACACACTACTAATTATCCAATACCGCGAATAACAACAATACATGGACCTAATTCGGAAGACGAGGGCACTCAGCAATATTCGTCAGCGCCTCAAATTTAGAACAATATTGTGAGCACTTATTTGGTCTTATGAGATTAGTTGAGTTTTTTATTGAACTGAGCTATATATTATCATATTCTTGATGAATAATTTGAGTGATATTTTGACACATAAAAGGTTGCTTGACAAAAGGGACATGTTACGTGACGGATATTCTGCTTTGTCTTATCCAGAGTCGTTAAAATCATCTTAATAAAAGTAATGGATTAAAGTTTTGTAGACTTAAGTCTGCACAAGATATTTATTTGATTTATTGCCTTAGACTGACATGATGGTAACAATCACATATTTTTAAGCAGAAAGTTGCTTCATAGTTTTCAAAACAGTCAGGTGCATCATTGAAGCAGTGAAAATTAATTTTTGGAACAACGATAAAAAGAATATCTGACAAGTGGATAGATTCAGATTCAGGCTTTAAAAGCGGAAGAATGTTTGAAGGCAAGGACTAATAGTTATGAATATCTTTCAGGTTGATCTCAGCAAATGTCATCAGTCAGTGATGTTGACTAGGTAAAATGAATTCGTTTCGATCATATATCTGGGATCCCGGTTTGATTATTTTGCAGATTATATGTATGCAAGCAGCGTTCTACACCGCCTGGTGTGCTCTTTTAGTGATGTTCTCCGTTGGAAGCTATTATCCTTCGTTGGAACAAGTGTTTACAGCAGCGGTTTGTCGATTTTTTTCCACTCTTGTCTCCTTAAACTTCTATATCACTCCTGTTCAAATAACTTCCTTCGGAAGTGCTTTTAATGGCTTTGACAGAATGTTGTATTCCCTACCTCCACTTCTTCCTTTATGTAAAATCGCTGTCCTCATCAATTCCTTCGAAGAACTTCAAGAACATCAAATAAAATTTGTTATACCGCGAAAAGAGCTTCTCGAATTAGTCTTATTTCAGTTGATTACATACTTAAGCTTAAAATTATTATGCACTATGGGGATTTGATGCTATATGGTTATGCATGATTTAGTGGAGTTATCAGTACTGGTGTCCTGTCACGATGATTTGAAGGATCAAAAAAATAAATATAACACCACACTAAAAGGAAATGTCTTTTTGAAAAAAGAAAAAAACATGAAACGAAAGCAACAGCTGTTGCTTTAATCCCTGTCTACAAAAATTTGTATTCTCTATATAAAATCAACTGAATAATATACGAGGAATTTGTTTTCTCATATGAATTTTTATAAATCCTTCATCACAGGATATTGCAATAGCAAGTGTAATATAAATGCTGAATTCCAGGCTTCATTCCACGGAACAGTCATTCAGTTACTGTCAGCTGCAGCATGCTCTCTTATCATGAGTAAAGTTATTGGACGTTCGAAACAGTGTTTGGATTTTACATGTACTTTACATTTTTGGCACTTAATCGCTGTTACTTTGTATTATAAATCAATTCCTATGCATGTTTTTTGGTGGCTATTACAGCTTTTGAGTATTGTTTTATGCACAGTACTGGGTGAATATTTTTGTTTGCAACTTGAGTCTAGGGATATTCATTTGTCAACCACTTTAAGATATGAAGTATAGCATTCTTGCCTCTTTCATACTCCAGTGTTACTGATTATATCATAAGCATTTTTTTACGATGATGCAGTGACTTCACTGGTTTTAGCACCTTGAATTTGGACTTTGTAAATTTAGTTCCGACTTACGAGTATGCATTGAACTTTGTCATATGTTTGCATGAGGAGTATTTCCAGTCAATAGTTCCATACATTTTTATTTGTATAATTGTAGTGCTTCTCATGCATGGGACAAATAAAATTTCAAGGCTTGTATATTTTATTTTATGTATTCTGGTAAGTGCTGTGGAACAATAAATATGAACTAGTTATAAATAACATCCCTTGTTCCCGTCTCTATTAATAATTTATTAGCACAGCCATTCATTATAAGCTTTTTAATTCTGCCATGAGTGCTGACAAGTTCTTCATCTCGGATATTTGTTCCTTACTCTCCGTATCCTAAAAATTTCCTTTAATAAATTAAGCCTACTAAAATCATATGTTTTGTCAAAAACAGTGAATTATATAAAAATATTGGTCTTTACAATTAAGATATTAGTAAATTTGCCCCTGGTTAATGTTAGAAAATACCTCTTTAATAGGAGCTTCATATGCAAATTGTATCCCTTCGCCAGGCCCACTACAACAACCATTAGTAGGGCCAATCAGTGATTCATCCAACACTTCAATTCCTGCAAGAATGAACATGAATAGGCGTTTATTATGATTCACTTGCACGAATTTTCTAGAAACTAATATTACCCCAGTTGTTGTCCTCATGTGTGATCTCGTCTTCTGTCTTTTCATTGCCTTTAGTTTCATTTTCATTTACAAATTGCTGCAATGATACAAAATAATGGTAAGTGATTGCATCAAAGAAATCTTATAGAGAAACTTTTCTATAAGGTTTTTAGAAATATGAGTGAAAAAAAAATATGAAGTATTTTGGCTTTCAAAAGGTTGCTTCGTTGATTAACACGATAAGAAATCGAAAGTTTATACCTTACACTCTTCCTGTCTTTGTTGACAGAAACGATCTTCACAACTAGGATTCGGTAACATTTGATGTCGAGGAAAGAAATCACAAAGAGCATTATACCCCAGGCAGTAAGATATTTCACCAAAATTTAAAAGAAACCTGAAATAACCTATTAACATGTGCCTGAAACAAATTTAGAAGCAAAATCCAAAAAGTGTTACATACTTCAAGGCATTTTGTACTAGAAAACCGGCAATGACCGCCATAGTGGTGGGTAATGACGCAGCACAAACCCCTTCACGTTTCAGGGTTCGTTCACTAATATTTGAAGCAACTACCAAAGGAGGCACACACTGCAAAAACATCAAATGAAGCATTTGAGAAGTATAACTTGAAAGACTATAAGGATCATGAATAAATTTTTAAAAAAAGTTTGTGGATTGAAATATACCAAACATTCATCCGAAAATATTCTCTGGAATATTTTTGATAACAAAGTAAAAAATATTACAGCAAAGCATGCACTATATCCAGGACGCATACACTGCACATGACCAGATACTGCATTCTCGCTGACACCAGACTCCATCCATATCTGATTCTCTTCGTTACAAGCCTGAAAAAAAAGTAGTGTAAATGAGAAACATGGCCAAAAAATGGAAAAAGATGAACTATAATACTGAGAAAATTAAAGTAATTATACGTACAGTGTTAATAGTCATTCTAGCTTCGAAATTATCCACACAACTGAGGACGAGTTCAACCTTCTCACCGGTAAGATTTCCTTTCCTACAAATAATCTGCAAAATTTTAGCAAAACTGAAAGTCATGTTTTGTAAGGAAAATTTACAATTACATCTATATCATAGATATGATTCAGTACGTAAATTACCAGACACTATATAGTTATAAGAAATAGAACACCTGAAGATATAAAACAAAGCATCATTTTCTGCTTGAAAAGTCTCCGGAGAATAATTTTTACTACGTAAAAAATGGAATGTTCCATATAATCGATGTCAATATCAGTAACTGGATTTCTCATTAACAAGTTCACTAATTATATATGTCTCTTTTTGACTTAAAAGAGCATTTCCAATGATAATATTCAATACAAAAAAGGACAATTTTCAAATGATTGGATCCCTTTGAACAAGAAACGAAAATACCTAATTCGGTCAACAAATAGAGAATAGTTCTCTACAGTCGTTATATTCGTATTATACGTCTCGAAATCTACATCGGGATTGATTTCTCTGAAAACAGAAGCAAAAAAGATGATAAAATGGTGATATCTGCATAAATAACTAATAGCATACTTCATGCTAGTTAACTGCATAGTAGTAAACTCACCTGAGAGTGTTCCGTGCTGCGTCAACTTTACTCATACCAGAATGTTGTGGTTGATAAAACAAACGATTCATATTAGCAAGCTCAACCTAAAATTTGCATACTTTGTCCTTCGAGATCTACATCATACACAGTATTGGTCTTCATAATAAAAAAGCAGTTTAACAAAAATATTACTGGATCACATTACTTCTGCATTGTAGAAGACTACATGAAGAGCCGACGGAAAAGATTCTCATTTTTGTCCTAATAATGACGTAAAATATTTAAAGCTATCAAGATAATTAAGTATTCCATAAAATAAAAATGATTTCTTTCCTGTTTCAAAGGAGAACAAATGATTTTCACTACCAGAAGTGGGAATACATACCTTATCATAATCAAACAAAATAAGTTTTCCAATACCACATCTCGTCAACATTTCGGCAACAACACTTCCCACACCACCAACACCTACTATCAGCACTGTTTTTTTTCGAATTTCATCATAATTTTTCACAATACCCATTTTCTTCAAAGCCATCAATCGACTATACGGATTAGAATCATTCACTTCAGCACTCATTACATCTGTATTATACAGCATAAAGTGATCAGAGATGAAATGACCATGCAAAACAAAACGATTTATTATTAGTGTTGTTGGACAGCATCTAATAATATGACAGTTATGACGGTGGAAAAAAATAGTGGTAAAAATACATCTCAAAACAAATGACAAAAGCATAAAGTTTTCTGAGCAGTGGAAAGTCTTAAAATTAAAACAATTTTGTAGTATACTTATTGAAATGAAATGCAACAACCAAAAAGTCAGGAAATAATAACTAACCAATTTTGGGTCGTTTAACAGATGCATTCGTATCTAGCACATTACTTCTCTTCACACATATCAAGTCAGTTCCTATCGCTAACAGTTTAGCGTGCAATGCATCCAACTGTTCCGACAAATTCTTCGACATCGACCTTTCAATATAACAGAGCTGAGAGAGGATTTATGATAACGGAAGAGAATGGCATATACAACACCCACTAGATAATCAAACATTAAATGAGTGATGAGTAGACTGTAACAAATTTTAATTTAATTATTTCTAAAACAACGAAAAGTTAACTCACTAAATTTTTATCTGTTATCAGTGAACAAATGTGTTATTGCAAGCTTATAATAATATGAAGATGAAACAGATATGAGAAAGACCCTCGCACAACAAAGCTTTGTCAATGAGTTTAACCCGAGTCGGCTTTTGCCAATCGGTCTTTCTGGCTGAGAGTATGTTCGAGTTAATTATCAAGCCGAGGTTGTCAGGCTTGAATGTGGTGTGGACACTTTTCCATTCCACAACAATGATTTTTTCAGATACGACAGATGATTCATAAAAGAATGAATTCAACTGAGCTGGAAAGAACAAGCAAGAAGATCGACGATTATGATTCAAGTGATGAAGAGGTTCGGTGTTATGGTTTTACCTTCCACTTTTTTAGTTTTCTTGCCAGTTCTTTGTCGTAAGATTATTGTCTTATAAGAAGTGATAAAAGAAAGTAGTCGAAATAATTATGACTGATTACAGGATCTCAGAAATACGATAGGTAACATTCCGATTTCGTGGTATGACGACTTCAGCCATGTTGGTTATGATAAAGACGGAAATCAGATCGAATCAGCTAAAAAAAATGATGATATGGAAGAATTTCTGGATCGAATGGATGACTCCAATTACTGGTTAATTATGTTTATTTTCTTTTTCTCATTCCAATGAAAGCAATAACTCTAATTAATAACTGTCTGATCCTTCATAAAAAATGTTTAATTTTGAATGCGTTTAAAACTACTTCTTCCATATAGATTGCTTGTTTATCGTTTGTGAATAATAAAGGCAAAAAGTTAAAAAATCTTGTTTGCACTGCTGATTTTTACTTTCCAATACCTTTGCGGAGTTTTTAATTTTGTTGTCCTTAACTAATGTATAGTGATCTCTGTGTTGAAGGAGAAGAGTTTACGACCGGCAAAGTGGTGGTTTTGTTACTTTAAATGATGAAGAAGTAAAGAAGTTAAATGCACTGGATGCTTCAAAATATCCATTGGTTGGTTATAATCCATACCAACCATTCTTGGACATCTTCTCATCACAAACAGAAATTCATCCAATATCCAATCGTCCAGATTCCAAACGTTCATTTATTCCTTCATTGGATGAAAAGCGTCTTGTTGGTCAGTTTTGTTTTTAGGAAATTGTAAGATAGCTTCAAACTGATTGTCATCTCAAGTTAAAATTGAATATTCCAAAATCTGTTTTGACTTGTCGTTTCATGTGCCTTTTATAAACATTTCTTCTTTTTCAGGAAAGATGGTGCATGCCATCAAAATGGGTTGGGTGCGACCATCTCGACCAAAGCAGATTGAAAAAAGAGTATGGTTCAAAGAGCTGTTCATCTAGTAATTTTTACGGATGTTGTTACTGATCTGGAATATTTTTTCATCTTCCTGAATTTGTTACAGGTTTATGACTTATGGGCTGATAATCCCTGCAGCGAAAAAACGAAAACTGAATTAGCCAGGATACGAATGCATTTTCCTGCACCAAAAGTTCCTTTACCTGGACATGCTGAAAGTTACAATCCACCAGCAGAATATTTATGTGATGAGGAAGAGCTAAAGAAATGGGAGGTTAGTTCTTAGTAAAATCTGTATTTTGCCGACTCAGCTTCACAACTTTTAATCTAATAAATAATTCTTAGGAAACTGATCCAGAAGATCGACGATTGGACTTCATCCCCAAAAAATATGATTGTTTGAGAAAAGTCCCGGCATATGATCGCTTTTATAACGATCGTTATCAACGCTGTCTTGATTTATATTTGGCACCACGACAACGAAAAATGAAGGTATTTCAAGTCGTTCTATATCATTAGTTACTTAATCCATTATCAGGAATTATTTATTATTATCTATTAATTATATATACTTATTTATTTCATTTGTAATTTGTTTGTTTGTCCAGTCATTTGTTTTAATTAGTTAATTAATTTATTTTTATTTGTTTATTTGTCTATTTATTTATTCATATATGTATGTATTCTTTTTCAGTTGAATATTGATCACACGGAGTTGCTTCCTGAACTTCCTAACCTGACAGATATGCGTCCTTTTCCGACGACACAGAGCTTCGTAGGTTTCATTCTTTTATTTTGTGAAATCGAGAGTATTAGTAGGGATAGGTTTTCAAATCTATTGAATTAATTCTATTTATTTAAAGCTTATGCTTGGTCATTCCGGGCAAGTGAGAAGTTTGTCATTTGAACCTGAATCTACAGAAATCTTCGCGTCAGGTGGTGAGGATGGAACTCTTCGACTGTGGTCCATATGTGATGGGAGATGCCTTAAAGTACTGATTTTTGTACTTTTTTATTTTTTAAATTAATTTTGCGATCCTGATAGGAAGTGGTCCAAATTTTTCTTACAAGTTTAATAATTTAAAAATGAGTTCAAAACCCCGAAATAAGTAGACTGATTTTTAAATTTCAGTTGTTCTAGTGTTCTGTTCTAGAGTTCTTGCTGTTATTATTGCTTAAATTGTTTCCATATTGCTGACACACTTCGTGATAATCCATCAAAATTTGCAATAAAAAACGATGAAAATTGTTTTTATAAATTTTGAATAATCTAGTCTCTATTTCACTAAATTCAACTTTTCATTTTTATAATGGAAACGCAATTATTATAGACGACAAGTTTGGATGGTTCGATAACAAGTGTGGCTTATTGCCCTCTTGCTAAGTGGACACTTTTGGCTGTTACAATGGAATCGAATAAAATGATTCTGACAAATTCGTACTGTGGAGATCGCCATCGTATTACAACTACTACAGAATATTTATCAAAACTTCGGTGTGAATCTTCAGAAAGTGATGTTTTAAAATGGAAGTATGAAGGAAAGGGCACATTGTCAGTTGATCTTGGATATGTGAGTTTTACTTAAAATTTTTCTCTAATTGTAAGTTTCTGTATTTTTGTTTAGGATAAGGAATACTTTTATAAAAAGTCTTCTTATTCCTTCTGCAAAGTTCGGAATATTTCCATGTTGTTCAGGTTAGCATTAAGGGCTACAACACTTAATTATTGGATGCGATATATTTCGTATTGTAATCACATTTATATTACAGTTTGCAATTACATTAAGACGGTATTGCATTTTGCTTCTCTAGATTGCACGTCAAGTAGTATGGCATCACAAAGGTGATTACTTTGCGACGTTTGCCAATTCAAAGTCACCGAAACTTATATATATACATCAGCTTTCGAAATGTAAATCTCAGGTGAGCGATGATCTTACAATGAGTAAGATAAAAATTAATCGTCTGAAGTTTTAAAATTCCTGAGTTTCACCTTAATGATTTTTCGAAATAGCCTTATTGATTTCAGAGACCTTTTTCTCGTTTAAAAGGCCTTATGACGGTTTTATCATTTCATCCATCTGAACCGTTTCTGTTTGTTGGGACGCAAAGATATATACGAATTTATGATCTGGCAAAGTGTCAGTTGAAAAAGAAAATCATAACCGGTTCGCAATGGATGAGCTGCATGCACGTTGATTTTCGAGGAGATAATGTGTTTGTTGGTGGTCATGATAGAGTTTTTTCATGGATCGACCTACAACTTTCTAGTAAACCATGGAAAAGCGTCAAACATCATACGGCTGCTATTCGAGGAGTCACACAGCATGCAAGGTTTGTCCTTGACTGTTCTCACTTTTTATTTTTAATAATAACAAATGCATGTATTGAGACATAACTATCTTATTCTCATTAATTTATAGATTTTTGGGTTCATTGCTTAAAATGCTCAAAATATTCTGCTATTTACTACTGATGCGTCTTGAATGTACTTATCATCTATTGAAATATTTCAGTACTTCAAACTACTTTATCTTATTAACCTGGTGGTCGACTGAAATGAGGAGGATCTCCGTGAATTCAGTGTTTTATATCTGGGAATATTAAAGGCTTGAAAATCTGTTCCCCTTGCCATGAAGTGGGAATGATGTAATGTCATTAAACGAATTATTATTCATAAAACTAAAAATTATTATTTCATAAAAATTATTTATAGAACTAAAGCATATAAAAAAAAACTCTCCTCTCGTCATTTTCTTTATGCAAAACATTTTGAATTTGTTAGGTTTTGCTAAAGCCCATATTTAATTTTCTTTTTTTTTTTTTTAAGAATTATTTGTTGCATTAGAAGAAAGTAAAAATTTCTTTAGTTATATGAGTAATAATTTTACAATTCCGACATTCTGGGGACAAATTTTTTGATAGCTCGTCGCGAAGTTGCCTGATTTTTCAGATGTCCATTAATAGCAACTGTATCGGATGATTCAACTGCAATTGTGTATTATGCTCGAATCAGCAGTGATTCACTTAAAGAGAATGAATTCGTACCAGTAAGAAGGTTGCGCACCCAAACAGCTCAGAAAAATGGTCTTTCAATTCTAGCTGCAATATTTCATCCTTCGCAACCGTGGTTGATAACTGCACATGTTGATGGCTCGATTGCTTTATTCACTTAAACTAATTGAACGGTACACTTTTGGAAGTTTAATTTCCCTATCATTAATTGTCAAGTTCTGCTCCAGTGACACTTTTTAATGATGTATCGCAGACATTTATTTGTTGTGTCATTTTACTGATTAATATGCATGTAGCTGCCGTGAAAGCTTGTTCGTTGAGAAGGCATGTTTTTTTTTTTTTTTTAAACTAAAGTTCCATTAACTTCGTAGTTGTGTTCTTGAAGATAAAGTTTTGAAAGGAAGACTATTAAAATAATTATAAAATAACGTGCGTCATCGAAGATTGTTAAAAGTTTTTTTTTTTAATTTTTATGTTTTATGCAAGTGTTACAAACTCTCAATTATCAACGTTTCGACGTTTAATATTTTGTCGTAAAAGAAACATAAATTTCATTATGAACAACACTGGAACTAAAAAATAATGTTTTAACAGAAACAACTAATCGGTAAAAAAACTATTAACAAAATATTTCTATATCTGGTCAAATCCGACTGAAGAATTTTGAAATGCATTGATTGAGGCATCTCTGTATTTAAATTGAATGAATTTTTCATTCAAGTGGAATTTTGTGGCCATGAGTTTGTACTGTGTCACTTTCTCACGAATGTTATCTACATAAGAAAGATTGCGTCATGATTTAATGTGACTTCGGGTTCATAGCTCTATTCAGTTATTGTGAAGTTAAAGCTTCAGATTAATTACTTTGAGGAGTAGCGAAGTGAGTAGTATTTAACTTCTAGTATTTTTTTTTGTAGTTTCCTGTTAACCTTTGAAATACATAATGAGCAACAACAACAGCCTGTACAGCTGTGATAATAAAAAGAAGACCAAATATACCAAATAATGATATTTTAGCCATGCATAGTTGTCCTGATGAGGTGGTTATCGTCATCTCCGGTTCCTGGAAATCTTTTTCAATCGATAATTTTCAAATGTATTATGCAGTTTTGTTGGGAAATTGAAAAATAAAAAAATCAGACTTCTTGCACAAGGTCAAAAGTTTGTGATCGTGCAAGGGCTGCTGGTTCAACAACTTGTTGAAGAGGATCTATCACGACCACGGATGTTGTGGCTTGAGCCCGTTTCGGAATTCTATACCTTTCCGTTTCATCTGAAAAATTAAGGATAGAAAGTTCAAGTGTGGAAAAAAAAAGATTTTTACATGACGAAGAAGTAGATTTACAAAGCATTTGATGCAGTACTAATTTGCAAAACGTAGTAATATGTGACATTTCATGTATGTCAGAACTACATTATGTGCTCGCATTAAACCTTTGACCGTGTAGTTCTCAAAAATATCGAGAAGCTAGAATTAAGCCTCCCAGTAACATCATTCCTTTAACGTCTTTACTTACAGTCAGCAACTGAATTAGCTGTACTGCGCTTCTTTCGTCCCCATGATTGTTTTTGTTCTTTGCCTAGTTGACACATCACCTTAAAGAACAAATCCAGTTGAGTTTTAATTTCACATTTTTTCAAAAAACAAAGTTCATGAACCATAAAAAATAAAGTTCAATATAAAAACTTACACCCAATTTATTTATTCTAACTAGAACTTACAAGTTTATAACATAATATTACCTCTTTACAACTCTTTACACAGATATCCAAATGACATGTTATTCTGACTACACTGGAAGAATCGAATCGAAATGCTTGCAAATGTGCTATCTTTACTGAAGAGGACATCACTTCTATCGGATCAGGCATTATTTTCTGTGATACAGCTGGCGTTGGACAACTGAAATGTATTCTTTTAGACAAAAGCAGTAATTAATGAGTGATAAGGAAACAGCAACGTTAAAATGGATGTTTCAAATAACTAACTTCAATTAATGAATTTCAAACAAAAAGAAAGGAATAGCATTATTATAATGCATACGCAACACAGATTAGTTTACCATTTCTTTGCTAATTATATATTACTAAAAATTTAAACATTTTTTTACAAATGAAGAAGTCACCCATTCGCAATGAGCTGTAAATTTTCTTCCGCATTCAGAGTAGCAGTCCCGGGCTCAGCGAAACAATCTCGAACGAAGAAGTCAAGTTCTTCATCCATACTCATTATTTCCCATCGTAGCTGCAGAATGTCACCTAGTTTTGCCTGAAAAGAGTGACAAATTTGTGATGTTTTCTTAGATGTTTCTAATAGAATTAATTTTATTGAGTATGAGTTTTCTAAGTTAGTTATAAAGTAAATTTATAAACGAGCACTTGTAGGACAGGTTCTCCTTGTCCACTCAACATCTGCATAAGCACCGGGTTACCAAGTTCGATTTTTCCTCGGGGTTGAATAAGAGATGCTTCGGGACCACTGAAATTTTTTCATCATTAAGGCGTTATCTTAAAACACTATGAATTTATTTATTTTTTTCCATATATAAAAAGAGATGACCTTTTCAGCTTTTTGAAGTAACATTGAATTATAAGCCATAGAGATTACTTACTCAATTGTGAGATTGGCACCAGCAGTAACTTTTCCACCAAGCATTGAACTATAATCACAGCTCACTTCAAAAATCTGATCCATGGAAGTTACCAGTCCAGGTATACCCAAGTTATTTGTTTGTACAACCACCGTTGATTTATAAGTACCATTGTTCTGAAAGCAATATCATTAATAACGAAAACTTTTCGACAATCTCTTCCATTTCCGAATTTAGAACTACTTAGCAAGTTTATGCATTTACGAATATCAGCCTAATTTGAAGAGACATGGTAGATCTTACAAAAGAATTTATGCCCTAACGCACCATATCCTGGATTCCGCAATCTCTGTGTAGCTCTAAAGCTTGTCGTCTTATGCGCAGTTCATCAGCGGGTTTATCCAGTTTGTCGCCTCCGGATATTTCTGGTTGAATATTTGCTTCGCTTGCGGCAACCTTTTCATCAGCTACCATTTTTGAACCAAAATTCGGTGGTAAACCAATTACTAGTGTTGCACTTTCACTATCCGTAACCTCTACTCGACAGGTTTCATACCTATTTTTAACAAATATCACTCCCGAAAATGCTTCTGTGTTTCTCACCTGCAATTTCACGAGTTCAGTATATTCAATGCACTACAGCATAGGTAATCAATAAGCTGCATGGTAAGCTAGTACTACTGCCCCAAATATACTACCAGTTTAATTAAGGATTACCTGCACTTTGATGCCTTCATAATTGCAAACTGTTTGCACTGCATCTGGAGCAATTTGTACTACTGGCCCTGGAAGCCTTCCGGATGAAGAAATGCTGAATGTAGTTGATGATCCTGCTTCACCACTTACTTTTCCGGAAGCTGAAGACGACTTCGCTGTTATTGTTTCTGGAGCTCGTCGCTGTGCTTCCTGTTCGCGTAGGAAAGGCTTTGTCTAAAAGAGCTTTATTAGTTATTTCCAAGCTAATTAATTAATTCAATCGATTAGCTGAAAATACTTAGGCACTCTTAATTATAAATAATGAAGAATTACAAATAAAGAATCCGTAATTGCAAAAGCTTACTTTTGCTGAGATAATGTGTAATTTAGCTTCTTGTTTCTGAGTAACTGCAGAATGTGAAACATTCGGAAGGAGATGTTTGGGAACATTAGCTGCGGCGCTATATTCTGATTCTACTTCTTCCACCAGACAAAGATTTTTGTAAAAATCCGTGAAATCACTTGGCTTTCCATTTCCTTCGACCTTATCAAATAATTCACAACGACCATTCCTTCTGTTGTAATTTACACCTTCGCAACTAAAACAAATCAAATTTGCAGTCATTCCTTGATGAAAATTATTCCCAAAATCGAATTTCAGAATAAAAACCAAATTTTAACTGCATCATTGGATCTTGTCAGCTGTACACTGCATGTAGTGAATACTATATGAGGGAACACAACTAAACGCACTGTATATAAATAACTAAATAAACAATCAAATGTAGTAAGGTTGTGGACTGCAATTGAATTTAAAATGAGGCTCTTTTGAAATGGAACAGATCGGAAGAGATATGAGCAATTGAAGTGAATGAAATTAACAAATATAAAATGAACCGCTCGGTATATGCGCAAAGATTAAGACAATTTGTGAGGGCAGTTGCTTCGTAGAATTGCGATGGCACTGCATCATATATACTGTACAAATATCTCGAAAATCGTGTTACGTTGTTTTTCTGAGCGCAAACTTTTGTCTCTGGAAAACAGATCGCAATGTCATGATCGTATTGCCATTCTTAGATACTGATTATTTTTAAATTTATAACATCTGAATAGCTTAACAAATGCTTCGAAAATGATTTTCGTTCATTACTTTTTGTAACTTTTTTTATTATTTTTAGAAAACTTCCCGAAAGTCAAAATTTTAATTTTTTTTAGTCAAAAATTTCTAAACATCAAAATTTATGATTTGTCCAAATAATCTATTTCTTGGAAATTAAGTATTGGGATGATTAAAATGTAGCGAAAAACATGCTTCTCTTCTTTAGAAAGCTAATTCTGATGCAGCAATTTTATCTTAAGCCAATTCAGCAAATTGTAATAGAGTGTCGCTACTGTTGTTCTGATCATCTATCTCTCTTCTCCCTCTAGTATTATGCTTTTCAGTGATGAATGTGAGTGAATGCCTCTCGACAAATGTACAGGTGCAAATAGACGAAGAGAATTTCCAGAATGCTTCTTACGCTCTAGGCAATGAAGGTCGTAGAGATCAATGCCCGAGTGGACTGCTGGTCGTAAGGTTGTCTTCCCATCAACGTACAGCAGGTCACAGTCAGATGTCTGCTTATCAAAATTGAATGCGCGACATTTCTCGGGAGCCATCTCGTAACATCTGAAGTCGACAACAACAACGACCGTATTTTCATTGAAAGTATCACTGCATTGCTATACTCTTCTTTTCTCGCATATGCAACGGTATCATTACAATTTCAACTACATTTATTATCAATGCAGCACCAGCACAATTCAATATTTATTAATAACTTGTGCTGATAGACAAAGGTCAGTTTAATTTCCTAAAAACAAACTTTGTCATGCAATCAGCAACCGAATTCCCGGCTGACTGCAAAATATGGATCGATCCTTCGCCTTCAGGGAGTGCTGCATTAACCGTACGTACAGTATGTAATGTTGTGCCATTTGGACATGTTTCAGGGCGCAGATGACAAGTGATATCAAAATAATCGACCTAAAGTGAAGAATTTAATCAGTTTTCAGTGAACTCAAAGATTTGAATTGTTTCTCTTTTGTACTTATGAAATAAAAAAAAAAAAAACTGATGGAAGAGGAATACAAATGATAAATTTAATCACAGGCTATAAGAAGTTTTCTAATTTTTAAGAAAATAAGCAACAAATATGGTAGAAGGATCGGGTATAAATATTAGGTATTGAAGTAAATAATCTCGAATTAGTTTTGCAATCCGAACTTGGAATTCTTCTCCCTCCGGTATAAACAATTCCGATTTATTTTCTCGTGTTTCAGCGTTTAAAATACATTCCTGTTCGTTATAATAATACATCACAGATTTGCATTCGAAATTTTCTCCAGTTTCCGGTGGAGGACTGAAAACGAAAAATTTGTTATTTCTTATCAAACTATTTTCGTAGTCATTTAAAGCGTTTAAAGCAATTAACTTAGTTTTTTGTAATGGAATTAAAATTATTTCGAAAAATGAACTGCAATATCATTTTCATTTTTTGTTTCACGTTCATGCACATACATACTTTGAAATATCGCAGGAATTTTTCTGTTAAAGGTCAATCTATAATGGGCACACATGGAGTTCCATTAATGATAAAAGCATTGATATCAGTACTAACAGATCACTAACTTACTTTGTGCACTGATCGAGGCACATCGTTACTGAAGGTACATTTTCCATAACAAATGCAGCAAAACCAACAAGTATCATCTGAGGTATGCGCTCAAACGACGGTACATTGCGACATGTTCGTGGTGCTGAAATTTGTTAAAATATGTTTTGAAAAAGAAGGTATTTCAAGTTTAATTTCACATATTAATTGATTAGCTGAATTTGAGATTTTCATTTGGATATAAAATCAAACGCTACTTCTATCCATCTTATAAATAATAGGAGTAAGCATTAAATAATTTCATTGTCTTGAAAACATACATGCAAAACATTTCTTCTCATAATATGTGAAACCGTCAGCTTTCACTAGATTGCCTCGACCAAGTGGTTTAGAACGTTCATCAGAAAGTATGCAAACGTTAGTTTCCGGATTATGCATAAATGATTTACAGTTGAAATCGTTTGTCTGAACAATTATTACCTTCAGTGTTTGACTGAACATGTTTGCCTATATTTACATTTTGAAAAAGGAAGAGTTCTCGTATTCTCGAAAATATCAAATGAATTATACCAGTACGCTTATATTTCTACTAAGATATTGGTGATGAGCAAATATCGATGAATAATTCACCCAAAATGAATTGTTTAAAACTACAGCTGCATTGATCATTTCATTTAGAAGCACACTGAACAAGTGAAAAGAGACTAAAATTTCTTAAAGTTACATTAGGTAGTGTACAGGTAGGAAACTTTTTAAATTTTCCGAATTTAAATTTAGCTCTTAAACTCGATCAATCATTATTTTATCTTGTTATTACTCAGTTTACCGTTGTAGACAGTCGCTGAGTACATAACGACTCGCATGATTCACGATCAGCGATCAGTTGTCTGTCCAACTCGTTAGCTAGCTGACGATTTGCGACGGCAATGTATTGTGTTATGTATGGAGCATAACACTGTGCTGAAATCTATGCCAGTTCATCATAAATCATAAATTAGCTGTTAAACCAATGGCCTCAAAGAAATAACCTTTCGTTCTGTCCATTAGGTTCACTTCAATGAGTCACTGATGAAAATACTATTTGTAATTAACTCACTGTTTATAAATGCTCTTTTTAAGACTAAAGAGAATGCGGGTAAGAAATTTCGATTCAAAAGTGATAAACATTTGAGTGCTAAGCTTTAATAGAAAGCATTCACTTAGAATGTTAATGATTAGATATAAAGTAATATACATCCAGCACAGTTGTTATCCAGATAAATGACGTTATCATCTAATTCATCCACAAACAAGTCAGGTCGATCCAGACGATCTTCGGTGTTTAGGATGCATTCTGAATCAACTGGATAGTACATTACCGACTCACATTCAAAACCGAAAGAATCAAATGCATTCAAGCAAGCTGATAGACATAACGATAATGAATCAGCTGACACAACCTATAAGAGACAATGTCACAAAACAGAAGAATGGAAATGTATGCAAAAAAAATTCTCGAATTTAAATTAATCCATAAAATTTTAGTTGCTAAATAGCAGTTCCAAGCAAATGCATACTTTTCTCCAATTATATAAAAGATTAATTCAAAACGATAAATACTTGAGAATTTGGAAGTTAAACATTTTAAAACATCTCTAGACTCGTTAATATTATAATTCGCTGTAATAAAAGAAGGAGGTGTAGAATTCTCCTACACCTCCCTAAGATTATCATCATCTGGCTAAACTTTCTAATCTCAAAAGACGTTTAATACAAAACTAACCTCGCGAGCAAACCCAACCAAAATTTTTTGTCTGTGTACATCGAATTGAAATGGCGATGAGCAGATCCGCGCACTCTATCAATTAGATTCATTAAATCATGATAAGATAAAATAAGAAGTAGAAATTTCATCAATGTAAAATGAATTTGCATTTTTTTTATTTTTAAGTGTTACCTTTTTCTCTTTTCATCATTCACTTTTTTCCATAAAAAAAAACTAGAAGAGAAATATAAATGCTGCGGCGCAACTTCACTTATCTGTGATATATCACTCAATCATAATAATCAGAGAAACACTCCATAAGCAAATATGGATGTTTCTCTCATAGATTCAATTACATCTAATCATAACTTGATAAGTTATTTATGAAAGTTGTTACTAGATTTACGAAACATTAAATTACTTTAGCACAATTTTTACTCAGCAATACATAATCATTTAAATGTCCTGTCGATTCTCCAATGCTTGACAACATTTTGCATTCTTTATCTTCATAGGTTATCGCCAAACATTCCTGAAATCTGCTTAATATCATCTTCCATGCAACAGTCTAAATAACAAAAAAAAAGTTTTTTGAAAATTGAACTAACATCGTTAGCTGAACAAAGGTCAGTGCAGTCGACCAGATGTGAAGTTGAAGCTCGCTTCAGAACATTACCTGCTGTAGCATTGTGTTGGAGTAAAAAGACAGGTGATTCGCCATTGCTACATGCTGGATATGATGCTGTAATTTAAATATCTCTTCTGTTAAAACTTTCAAAAAAAAATTTTATTTTTAAATTTTTAGAAAATTTTTCTTTCAAAATTGCTTTGCAAAGTAATCAAATAATATTAATAGACTTCTAGGAAAATTAAGTCGATAATAAAGCCATGAAGCAGAGGTCATTATTATGCATTCCAGTGCTACGATCAAAATTAAGAAACTGTACAAATGGAAGCATTCTTTAATTTTTTAATCCTTACTTTTCGACAATAGTTGAGAAATTCATTTTTCTGATCAAGATTAGCAAAGAATTTCCACATTAAAAAAATAACCCAATTTTTACAAATGTAAGAAACGGCTTATTCACCGCTCATTTTCTCGACACAATCATTCTAAGAAAAGGCCGTACGTATCAGTGCCGTCAATGCGGGTCAAATTTCAAAAATAAGACAATTCACTTCACTTTTTCTGCAGAAACTGTGTCATCAGAATTCCAGAAATGCTTTAATGCAAAATGATTAAACATTGTTGTCTTCATAAAGTGACAATTTTATAAGAAACTGAATATGATAATTTTAATTTAACTCAAACATCAGCAGAAATGACAGTAAGCTCGTGAATATCTTTTTTTGGTTCAATTCAACGATGTTGAAAAATAATTAAAAATCACTTCATATGACGACATTAAATATTGTAATTTTTTAAAAAACAATTTGGAATTTCATATGAAGAAGCAAATCAAAGAAATATTTTCATCTCAATTTTAAACAGAAATATTTACTTATTATATTGTCCTCACTTTCGTTTTCAGCAGAAGTTGTTATTTATATGGGTAAGGTCACCAATATGAACAAAAATTCTCATATCAATTTGAAAGAAAAGAATTTGCCTTTTGAAACAATCTTGATAATCTTAATTTTTTTTTTTTTTTTTTTGTTCTTCCGTGAAATGACTTAAACTTAAAAAAAAATATTTTTCAAGAAGTTTGAACGAAATAGTTGAAATAGCTTCAAAAAGTTCTCATTTTGAATTTTATTATGAATGATTTTTGGAATAGGTAAAAAGATGTAAAGGACTGATTCATGTTTTAGATTCAAAAAGAAAATTTGAAATTAAATTTCTCAACAATTGATTTAAAATGATCGTGTAACCAAGTATTTATATGTCTTAGATAATGCATGAATACAGAAAGTTGGCAAATCCGATGGAGAAGATTACTACATTGCTTTTCAACCATAGTTCGGAATTCAGGACGATGAAGAAAAAGATCAAAACAGAAATCAGAAGTAATTTTTTTAACTTACCTACACAACTTTTACCGCTAATGCAGGTAAAATTCATGTTCTAAGTTACTTTTTCCTTATTTAATTGCTTTTAAAGTCTTATTAAAATTAAAATCGGGAATAAAAGGTTGAGATTAATTAGAACGTTTAAAAAATGTGGCCCATTAATCAACAAATTTGTTCGGACTATTTTTGATCATTAATATACTCTTTTATGGAACAATTTCCGGAGACTGTGGTACTGCACTATTTTATGATAATTTAAGAATTCATTATAAAATTGGTAGAGCAGAACGTTTATAAATTAAGGTAAAAAGACTTACGAATTTCTTGTATTTCGATTGAAGCAAATACAGAAAAGTATGCAATTATGATGAGATGTGAATAGTAATGCAGAAGTGATGAGGCATGGTTGGAAAGATGCATATTAGAAGTTTGGTCCTACCGATTGAGCAGCCGAAATTTACCCGAATATTACTGTCCTGAAGTAATACTGGTAGTGGTCACGATGATGAATGGGACAGTCTGATAAGAAATGAACAACAGAAATGCCGTTACTTTCAGGGAATCCAACGATAGGTGAAGTAGGAGGAGGCAGATTATTGGTGTTACTGCTATTAATGTAGGAGAGAGGCTGTGATGGTGATGATCAGAAAGGGCGCAAATCTCATTTTGGAGGTCAATGACAGTTACCCCTTCGGCCATCTTCTTAACCTCTTTAAAGATTTTAGGCAATGAAGGGTTACGAAAGGTTTAACTCTAATTCACTATCTCATCCGCACTTCTACTTCCTTTCAATCAATCAACATAACTGTGCATTTACATTAACAACAGTAACACTCTACTGTTTTATGGATCCTCCGTTTACCCTAAATATCCTGTAATAAGAACCCCTCCTCCTCCCCTCTCATCACTTAAACAGCATCTTAAAAATTCAGGGCAAATAACGGCACTAAAATTTCTCACCTATGACTTTTGCGCTTCTTTAAGGATGATTTATTTAAGTTTTTCTCTAATGAAATGAAATTTTTTTAAAACCACAAAGTGATTTTGCATCTGTCATTGCTTCTGTTTAAATTCAATCCACTCACTTCCGGAAGCGATTGCTGAGACGGTTGAATTAAATTGCCGGTGCCGGGATTCTTTAACACAATGATACAAATGATAACAGAAACCTTCTATTATTCTTCCAATTAATATTTCTTAAAAAAAAAAAATTCGACAAGTTCAGAAAACAAAATGCCAACTCAGCAAATTGGCATGATATGCATAACTTGGACGAATACATTGAACCTAAAATCATAAGTGAATTGTTGGCAGAATTTCATACATGACATGACATGACATGACATTAGCTATCAATTGAAACAATTAACTACTCTTCGACAATTCACGTTCCATCCTTAATTCAACTTCCTCTTATGTCACCACAAACACATATCATATCATTTTGATTACTCTTTATAACATTATTGTATTGCAATTGCTATTTTCTCTCATTTCCTTTGCAGAGTACAAATTCCACCCTAAATTTCATCATTTTACTACTATATATGCTTAATTTTCATTAAATAGGTCAATCAAATTTTTGCAAGGAAAAAATTTGAAATTAGGAGATGAAATAAAGGCGTGAAGGGTTACAAGAATGTGTAGCATATTGATGCATGATATAAGAGATCTTTTTGATGAGGAGAAGACAAACACATTTGGTGACATTTTCTTACAGTGAATATATATTTAGGTCACTCTCAGTGTCCTTTTATATCTTTTTTTTTTTTTTTTTTCTTGCTTTATCATTTTTGCTGATTTTTTTGTAAGTTTGAGAATGAAAATTTTGAGTTGTTTTAAACTTACAAAGATAAGTTTCCCTTCTGTTGCTTCTTTGTCCCATATAATTGGGATCAAAGCTAAAAGGGAAATGTATTGCCCTACCCTATCAAAAATTCTGCCTTTTTTTCTGTGTCTCTTAAAAACTGAGCACATAATCAAATGTGTCAAATCATCATCCATCTATCGTACCATTTCAGTGTTGCATTAACTGAAATAGCACAAAAGAGTGACGAATTGAGGATTCTGAGGAATTAAACTTACTGACAAGTATTGTTGACCTATGAAACAAACTAAGCGTATAATCTGCTTTGGGTGTTTTTCTTTTTTTTTTTTTTTTGAAAGAGGGAGAGAGAGAGAGAGAGAGAGAGAGAGAGAGAAGAAAGAATCCAGAGAAGATTCAAAGACGAAGCAAAATTGAAAACAAGTTTAACAAGTCCACAGGATATGTTTTCGAAATGAAAAATTGCATATTCCATTCTTCCAAAATTATAAAAGTAGTTATTTTTAAAAATCTGGCACTTATGGATTAAAGTTAAATTTCTTGCTGATTAATTTAAAATATGAATTGTATAGTAGTTCTACGGACATGCTCGTATTTAATATATGTTATATTTATTCTTTTTTACCATTTCATTTTTTCTTCAAAAAATTAAAAACTCCAAGTTCGAATTAGGGACGAATTTTTCTTTGAATGCGTCACATGTGTAGTATTTACAACAACTTTGAATACTTGAAACTTAATTAGCTAATTCTTCTAAATAATAAACACTTTTAATGCTGTCGTTTTATTAATAGTTCCCTCTCACTTCACTTTGAAGTAACTTGAATGTCATTTTTTGTCATCCTTAACATACTTGAAAACCTTATTCTGATTCTTCTTTAATATAACTAAACAAATTATTCCAAACTGAATTAATTAGTGAATTAATGAGCTCACTTCATTCTTTTGCTTTTCAGATGAAATATAATTTGAATTAAAATTGTACAAAACTAATTACGGAACCAGCGGATCAATTTACCATCTAAGACATTAATCAAGGACATCATTATGATTGCCGGTCATTAACCGAACGTTACAACTGTCTCACATAGAATTCCGAATTATTCGTTGTAATATCAATAGACTGGTTACTATCATCTGCTTTGATTTTCTTTCTCTTAAATCCTTTTTGTGTGTTCACAAACGGAACCTGGAAGTATAAAGCAACTTCCATAAATATTTTTAATCGGTTTAAGATTGACAGCTATTTAAATGTTATTTCCATTGCTAAATGCATCACAGTATAAATAAAATTACCCGCGAAGTTTGCCGGAACAGTCTGAGCGATTAATTTAATTCAAATTAGTATTCTTCTTTATTAGGTGAATCAAGTTATGCAAATATGCTTCTAAAAGCATAAATGAATAATAAATCAATGCCTCGATAAAACTTACAAAAACTTTGAAAGAAAAAAAAGTTATCATTGCAAATTTAAATAGCAGTTCTATCTCTCATAAAAATTCTCCTTGTATAATAAACTAATACTTATTATCACAAACTGACATTATGCTAACGACTTTGGGATTGGTCGAGAGCAGCTGCGAAAGTAAATCATCCTTTATCATTTTCCTTTTCCTGCAAGTTAAATTGTTGGTGCGGTAGACTTCTTCGCTCTTATTATAGACAGTCTCTTTGAAAGTTAAATTTTTTGCTAATTACTGCATGAAAACAAAAGTTTGCTGATAACAATATATCAGTAAACTTTCCAGTGTTTAAAAAAAACAGACAAAATGAGGAAGTACAATTATCGCAAAAATGAACAACAAGGCAATATTCAACTTTTCACAATTATCACAGCTATTAATGAATAAAAAATCTCGCGATAATAAGGCGAAATAATGGTAATCATTATAAACTGAAACAAGTTCGCATCACAAATTCAAGCTGATGAACAGCGTTATCAGCAAATAGGCTCATGTTAGCATATTTTACATAGCTTCTAGAGTTTTTAGTTAAACTTTCTTTTTCAGTTGAATCTCTGGATTTGCTCTCCGTATAATTTACTAGAAGTAATCTCTTAAAACTAAAAAATTAAAAAGATATTATATATGTATAACATTTCTGAATGATAAAAGCATATTAAACAATGAAACAATGATTTTTGGCACTTAGAAGCATATCGAAACATTAAAAGTTGTGACTAAGATAAGTGTCATTAGACGAATAAATTAAACATAAGAAAGATAAGTAAATAATATCACAAAGTTAAAAGAGACTAATAATAAAGGAACATTTGTGAATCACAGGTGTTCAAAAACTTGAAATACAAATGAATTAGGCGGAAAGTTAATGGAAAAAGAAGTAAGGTACAAAGTAAGGTAATGCCACTATTTAGATAATAATTTAACTTGTGAGCAAAACAAACTCATGTAAAGTTTTATATAAGTTGTAATATTTTAAATAGAAATAAAATTAGCAAATTTCATTCCGCTTAACAGATATTGCTAGATAACGTAATATCACTTACATTAGTTTAATCTAAGAAACCAAATGATAGCACAAAGAAAATCAGGAAAATGAATGATCTAATGCATAGGTTATGATTAAATTTATAACAATAATGTCAATGTTAAATTGTAGAAATTCCAAAGTGGCAAAAATTTGCATAAACATGCAAACATTGTAAACTTTAGATGAATGACAAGCAAAGATGAAGCAATGTTTGTACTGTGGACTAGAAATTTAAATCAAATCAGGTATGTATAAGTGAAAGATTCAGTGGTATGGTACCAAGTGGAGCTCCAACATGTTCTGCCAACGCTCGCTCCGCATCCATTCGTGAGCGGAAGCGCACCAGTGCTTCACCGGAATATTGTGTCGTTCCCCATCGCAACATTTGAACACTTTCAATAGCTATCTGAAAATCAACTTTCCGATTTCTGAAACAATGGTAAAAGATAAGTCAAAATGTAATTTTGACTTCTAGTTGACTTCCACAGTATTATATCTTCTAAGTTTTTAACCATTATATCATTTTAATATACTTCAGAATAGTGTCAAAATTATTCATCAAAAAAAAAAAAAAAAAAAAAAGAAAAAAAAAATTAAATTTGAGCATTCGAATCATTTGGAATCTTTCGTGGGAAACTACCGCGAATATATCATGGCATCTTATTTTTTACTAAACATAGTATCTTGTCTTAACATAATGGCATTCTATGTTAACAAATCAAGGCCAGATTACCTTATTCTAAGATAATAAGTACTAAGCCACCTTACTGAAAGAGTATAAGGTTACTTCTTCAAAATAAATTGGAAGTTCGTTTGCTTTGCTTCTATCATCTTATAACTTCTTGCGCAGAATTATCATTGCACTCTCCCTTTACGTATTATTATTTTTGTCCCATATATTATTGAATTAACTCTAGCAACAATATTTTACTTTATTAACAGGGATTGACTTCTTTTCTTCAATTCATAAGAAGGTTTTTCCCTTTCCATTTAAATTCTCATTCAAATTCTACAGAAATAATTGGAATAATAAACTAAAGGAGCAACCTCTGGATTGGTTTGAAAATATGCCAAAATATCTTGTGGTGTAATATTTGGACAAAGTCCGGTAACCAAAACTAGACCAGGTTGCGACTGCAACGGGTAAATACATGGTGACGCCGGTGGACTAAGACATGGCCAGTACAACGGTGTAAATGGTGGTACTATTGCTGGTACCAAACTTTGAACAGTTTCTGAAATAATGCATTAAGTTTTTAATTATAATGCTATTGAAAATAGCATTACTTCAATGGTACTCCACATAATTCTAAAACAACTTTAAGGAAATTTGAATACTATAAAGAATTAACTTTGTTCTCTTCCATATAGACGACTCAGATTAGCTCTACATGAATAATATCAAAACTAGTCTTATCTGTTATCCAAATTCCATTCTTATATCATAACAGGCCTAAATATTTCGTATAAGTTAAAATGTCAAAAGTACTACTAGTAGTGCATGTTGTAAGTTTTAGTTCAAGTTCAAGTCTAAATGACTTGCGTTGTGGGAAGAGCGGTCTTGGCTGCAGAATGAATTGCGGTGGTAATGGTGGGTTTGTCAGAACCAAATTTATATCTTCCGGACTGCACTGGAACACTTCAATGTAGCGCTGTTTCTTCCCTATTTGCATATACTTGTTATGAGCTAATGCAGCAGCGGTTGCTGCACTCATCTCCGAATCCATCTGTATGAACGCCTCTCCGCTTGGATGACCTTGTGCATTGTACACCATGTGCACTCCATGAAACATTATCATCATAATATTTATCATTAATGTCATCCTATTATTATTATTATTGTTATTATTATCACTCTCATTATCACTGTTTGCTACTATGACCAGTTAAAAAGTAAACACACTGTTTCTTTTATCAAAATTCTTGTTTAGCACTCGGATACTTGAACAAGATATGAAACGTTTCTTTATGAGATATTTTTATTCAGTCGCGGGAAAATGGCATATAATAAAGAAAACAAAATCAGATATAGAAAGAATAAATCAAAATAGATGAGGGAAAAGTGCTAATTAATATTATCACAGTAATATTTGTTCAAGAATCCGACGATTAAACTTTTCTTCCTGGGTATGAGTTTGGAATATCTGGCAGACAGAATAGAGTTTTTGCAAACAGATGTAGAAGCAAGACTGATAATAAAATGTGGAAGGATATGAAGATAAAAGAGGAAAGACAAGACCGCTTACATATGATATTGCTTATACCAGGAAACAATCCATTGATAAAAAAGTAAGTTGAAAAATCTAATATAATTATTATATTATAATAAATCCAACTTCCTTCTTCTTTTACTGCACACATCTATTCTTTCTTTTATTTAACACATTTATTTGTAATTAATGTTCTTAGAGAAAGTTTATATTTCATATTATTCATACTTAAATTCATTTCATGAATGATTCATGAAAGATATACTACCGATAATTAGTGTTTATGTTTGCTATAAAGCAAACCAAATCAGAGGATTATATGTCACCAAATTGTATCTTCTTCTCTGATACACAATTTTAATTTTAGATTAATAAATTATGATTTTCTAAAATTTCATCACATGTAAGGGTCAAAGATTTCATTCCTCAAGGAATCATTTTTATTCTAAAAAAATGGCTGGTAAATGTAATAAGACTTACCAATTTCAATGTATATTTTTTCATCATTTAAGATACTGTAAGCTAAAATAATTCGTGAAGTATATTAGCGAATATTAATAATTTTAAGTGTTTACTTAAAATTATCAATATTCAAGATTCATTTCGTGAAAAACTATCAGCTCTATTGGAAATCTATCATTTCAAACTGCAGCGAAATTAAAATTCTCTAACTTTTATTGATAACATCAAATTTACAGCATAAGTCACTTTTAATTTCAACTGGATGACAGAATTAACTGAAATAACTAAGAGCCAATTACTTACTAAATATAATAGTTATCTTGAAAGCAAGCAGACTTAACTATAATGAATACAAGTTCTGTTTACCTGAAACATGATGTGTCGTGCGGTTTCGCCCAGAAATTCGACAATATTTTCTACATGAGCTTCGTAGGGAAGGCCCCTTAATCTGATGCAGTCCTTCCTACTACTTCCATGAACCATCATACGTTGATCACTTTCCAAATTTCGATTAACCACTTGTTGCACTTCTGCTTGAGTTGATCTATAATTGAGCTGATTTTAAATTCATGCAACAAGTTTATATCAGGAAACAATGAATGAATTTCATGTAAAACTGACAAAGAAGAACTTTTGAAAAAATAATTGCGGATAACATAACTTCAAAGAAAACCTTAGCTGGAAATAATCAAGAAATTGGATAAAATCAGATAAGAGGAGACAGAAATTTTCTTCCAATTTAGCAGAAAATTGTCCGGTCAGATAATTATAATAATAAAAAATGTTGACTAACATTATAAAAGAAATCTATTAAATTTGCACATTTTTTAATAAAAGGGTATGAAAGTGGAAACTTTATATATGTCACAATTCTCATGGAACCGTCTATTAGTGTCATTTAACAGATGACATATATTGTGAACTATGGTGTCTGTGAACTGTTATCAGTTGTTGAATCAACTCGATGACATTATATTACCATGTAGGCCTTACACATCCAATAAATGAAAATATGGTCAAGTTAAGAAATTCAAATTTATGGAAAGCATATTTAAATAAAAGAAAGATGAAAATATGCTGCTAATAGTGTCCATTGTGAGTTGTTGAACAAAAATCAAAACTACTAAATTTCACTACAATTAATGATAGAATTCTGCGGTAGCATTTCAGTGTAGAATCCTGTTATACAAAATACACTGAAGTTCTTAAAGTTATAGGATCCTAAATCGTGGGACTATAAATATTCTAGAATATTAATCAAGAAATGCTCCTCATCCTCTATAATAAATATATTTTCAATGGTCCTTTTTAATGAATATTCGGATTTCATTTAAAAACTTGGCATATCATTAATATGTTTTTAACATTTATGAAATGTTAAAACTGCTTCTCAAACGAAAAAAAAAAAAAACTAATAAACAGCTTCTAAGAAACAAGAGATTTTCTGATGGTATAGTACCCAACACTAACAATCTTTCACATTTTTGTAAATTGTAGCTCAAATTTATACTATGCGAAAATTAATATAACATAAAGTTATCTGAGACGAAATAGCGTAAAACGGAAAATTTACATTTTATGATTACAATCTTTACCTCCTGCTATTTATTCCTGAACTTCTAAAACTGTTTAAACAAGGAAAAATAACAGTTGTCATGATTACTATATTGAGCTTACGAGAAATTCACGGAAGATTCATTTATAATTTCAATAGAGAGAATAATACTTTTCAGATAAAATATACTGTTGCATAATTCAGATGATGACTCACGTTTTCATACCTTTTAATCACTCACTCAAATTTCAATTCATATTTTTGAAAAAAAAAAAAAAAAAATCAAGTATTGAATAACTTGCCTGAAAAGTTCAATATATCGAGTGCCAATAGTACGTTTATGCTTGGTAAGCGCCTTTTGACCAGCTTCCTCATTATCAAACATTACAAAAGCATCACCGGTTGGCCGACCATCGCTCTTATTCACAAATAATATACCGCCATCTGTTACTTTACAACCATTTTCACCTTCCGCGAAAAATTCAAGCTAAAAGATCAGATAATAGTGACCATCAAACTTGCAAAACTTGAACAACCTAAATTTTCACTTCCAATTTTGATTGCAAGTTCTTCGCTTAGGAATTATTAGATTAAAAGAACGAATAGAAACAGTATTAAGACCGAGTCGTAACCAATTTTACCAATATCAACCTCATTCATGCAAGATTCTGAAATGTAGCCAGAATACAGGGGTATTATAATTTGTCTTGTAGAAGTAATTATTCAGACTTTAAATATGCTATCAGGCTTACTATTAAATTTAAATGAAAAGAGATTTTCAATCCTCAAAATGGATTTTAAAAACTGCGGATGGAAAACTAACAATTTGCGCTTCGGTGCAATCATAAGGAAGACCCCGCATACGAACAATCATGGCACCTGTGCTACCGCGGCTTACAAAACGCACTGCTTCTGAGTTGGAGCCTGCAATGTATATGGTAAGGGCAATGCAAATGATGGTAGTAGTGATGGAAGCGAAAAGCGAGATCAGGTGGGGTAGGATAGGGGAGAAGCCAGTCGGGAAATTCAATGAAATTGTGAATTTATGCGAAAGGGGTGGGAATAGGGGTGAGCACTGACGCTGGCGGGTTAGGCAGGGACAGATATGAGAATGGATACCTACCTACCTATCTACCTGCAGGGAAATGCGGGCTTGATCGGAGAAAGGTACCAGAAAGGGATGGTGAATACAATAGGAATCAAAAACCTGGTCATAACATTAGCACCACCAGCACTTCTGAAATGCTTGATTTTAATGCATCTATTCCAGTAAGTAACCCTTCCACACTTATTTCTCTTCGGTTAGCTATATCATTTTCAAATAATATTATATAGGAAGAGTGTCGAGCTTATTCAGGTGTCCAACTGCCATAACAGCTGGACGGATGGGAAAATGATATTTTTCATAAATGCATGCTGCATGAAATTTGAATAGCTGTTATGACGATGGTTCTGATTTCTGCCTCCCTACTTACTCCTTCCTTCTGCTAATACAACACCTTCAAAAGGGATTTTATAATTCATTCATTGCATCTCCAGCAATTCACAACAAATTAGCAAACGACTGTACTTCCAAACTGCATGTTATCGAAAGTGTAATCTTGTACACTGGCGGTTGATTTATGGCTCTTACCCTCAGGCTTATCCTTAAATTGGCCGGATTTTATTATACCATGTGCTAATCACTAATATTATTTGTTAATATCTATTACTTACTAATAATACATTTACTCATTTTAAATAACAAACTGTGATAACATAAAGAAAATGAAATGAGTGACCACTGAAGTAATAGTAGTACTTCAAAGTTAGTCTTTTGTCTTAACTATCCTTACATGGTCATCATTTTAGTTTTATGTGCGCTAATTTTACAATCTGGGAAACGCAGATAAGTAAATGTTGATTTAAAATTACGTGAATACGAGATACTACAAGATTCAAAGATTGTTTCTGCGACTTGACCTCCTCTGAGGAGAAATCTTCAGAAATGAAACAATGTGCTACATTCCCAAACACTAAAATAAAAAGAGTCTCCTTCATCGGTACTAGCTCTTCTGTTTATGACTGCCGTATATAACATCGACAATTTTTGAAAAGCAAACACAACAAGGAAACACACACAAACACACCCATCTGCCGAGCTTAAACACATGCAAACAATACATCGACACATAACTGTTTGAATAAATAATGGGAGACTTAAAGAACATCACAAACAGCAATGCGGCACTAAAGAGAATACATTTATTACTTCTACCCTTCATAACACCCATTTCAAAAAAATAAAATTCCTTTTAAACGTTTCAAAATGTTCCTAAAATTTTAGAGTCTGAATAAGCTATTTCAAAGTTTTATAGAATATTTCTTGGCCCAGTTCCAGCAGTACGAAGATCAGTAGTCAATAAACATATAATGATCATTACGGGAAGAAAAAAAATTGTAATCACCGGTGTAATCAGCTTTAATTTAACCTTATCTAGAAGAACCTGGCATCACCGCAAGAATTACTAACCTGCAGCAACTTGTAGGAAATCGCTTCCTGTAGCGCGGTACACTTCAATGTAACGATTGTGTAGGAAATGCCGATGCCTTTTGAGGGCTAATTCACGTTGCTCGGAATCTTCAAATCTTACAAGAGCCTCACCGTTGCGTCGACCTTCCGGACTGAGGCAAAGTGCTACTCCGCCACTGCAAAATCAACATGAATTGATGAAATCCTTTCATTTCCTCCCCTTACAAATACCTGAAATTCTGACATTGCAAGGCTTTAACAATATATAGCAGATCAGTGGTCAATCAGTGGTTAATAAACATGTTATGGTCTTTACGGAAAGAAAAAAAGGCTTTATTACATCGTAATTTAACCTTAATTAAAGAATCTAGCTTTTTTATAACTATTACTACCTTTTTTTACTTTTTAGTTAGAAGAAAAAAAAAAAAGCTTTTTTTAAAAAAAGTAAATTATTATTATTGTTTTATTATTACTATTATTATTGTATTGTTATTGACTATTAATTATTGTTATCATTGTTATTGTTATTACTCATTATTATTATTATTATTATTATTAGTTGTTAACTATTACTATTAATACTGCCACTATTAACTATATTAGTTGTCTTTATCTTCATTATTAATCTTATTATTATTTCTGTCACTAATATTTCAGAATTTTTTTGACAAAAAACAGATATGGGCTGCCTAGAGTGATGCGACAATAACAAAGTTCAAACCAATAGATCCGTGGATTGCTTCTAGAGAACAATTAATAATATACCTGTATAACAAGAACCGAACCCCTTGTGCTTCTGATGTGTCAAGCCTAGTGTCTATGCATTTATGGCTCGTATATATGAGTGAGATGGGTAAGAGGAAAGATGCATCTCGTAGATGTTATCAATGGTGTCATCTACTATCGAACGACACAACCACCTGATCTGACTGTCAAGGAAAATTGAAAGACCAAAACAATGAAATAATTTAATAAACTGAAAGTGATGAAATGAGCATTCTCTTAAATATTTGTTTTTAATGCTAATCTAGACGTCTGGTTATGCAAAAAGTTGGACAAAAAACGCAAACGATTAAGCTTCAAACATGATTCAATTTTAAAGAACTGAAATGAAAACTATCGAGTCACTCCCTCACATTGTAACCATCATTTTCCCTTCTTTATCTCATTCTCTTTTTTTTTTTTTTTTTCAAGTGAACTTAGTTAGAAATAAAACTATTACACAATTACTTCATTAACTATTTTTCATCTCACTTTTTCTATCACATTTTAAACTTTTGCTGATAAAACTTGATTAATTAATGTGATAAGGATGTTGAATTAGATTCTAAGAAGTTAGACTCATTCCTTCTAAAATCAAGCATATTAAAATTGCAAATGCTTAGATAGAAGTATACGCTATGTCGAATTTGTTCAGACTAACCTTATCTTGCTTTTTATATATGCATATGAAACGCATATCATTTAAAACAAAAACCTAACTTGAAGATATGAATAATGTCCTCAAAAGAAAGACAAACATATTATTACAGAAGTGAGCATTTGTCGTTTTGTGTCGTTGTACATAAACACAGGAAAAAGTGATTATTTTTGTAACGATTAAAATGTTTCAATTTAATTGCAGAAAATCAACAAAATTTGCTCCTAATAATCAGTAACTATTTATCAAAGAGAGCTGATAAAGTGAGAATGAAATAGCTACGTACGTAAATTACTTTAAAAGAAACACGCAAGAAGTCAAACTTCACTTTCGTCAAAAAAATACATCTACCTTATGTGTCATATAACTGAAAATTTTGTGCTCAATGTTTATTGTCGCTTCGTTCATCTGTCTTTTCCTTTCTATCAGTCCTTCTAATATTTTTTGTTGGAATATTTTGTTTTCTTGACCAACTGATAAGAAATTCAATATCCTTTTCATTAGAGCAAAGCTTGACGTATCGAATAAGTTTTTTTTTTTCTTTTTTGAGAATCTAAGACTTTTCTAGTTTAAACAAAAATTTGAAAATAAATGAAATGAATTTTTTTCACCATAATTATCGATTAGTATCCGATGATAAATGAAAAAAAAAAATATTTTTTTTCCGTTGCTCTATGCAAGATCTATTCACACTAGCGGACAAACCTCTCTGTTAGCCAAATGAAATAAGTTGCTCGATATTATCACTATTATTATCATTATCTCTCAATTAATGACTTACAGCTGATATAGCTCAAAAAAAAAAAAAAATGAGCTATTTAGCTAAGAAATATAGGAGGTAATCTTCACACTTCAGCTTCTGTGACTACTGTAATCATGCCAATGTACAAAAACATCCGGGAAATAATACATCTGGCTATAACTTGGTACCAAATATTTTATCAATAAAATAAATAAATTTTATTGATAAGCAATTTCTTATCTTAAAAGTGCAACTATTCAAAAATAATTAACATTAGCATTAATGGATCGTTAATAATAAGGAGAAGATGCCATATGCAATGTTGTAAGGCTCATTAGCATATTTGGCATTGGCATCATTTTATTTGATTTCATCTCAGCAATGTGTGCTTTTTTAGTTGCTAATAATACGTTGACAGTTACATCAAACTTTTCAATGTTACTAATATGTCAATGAATTTTTGTTGCAATATAAAGTAATAAAGAAATTTTGTACATACTATTTCGAAACATTGTCATTTGGAAAAACTATTCTATTAAGAAAGTCAGTTTACATAAATACAAAAAAAGGAATTGTTACAAATTCTTTTGTTTTTTTTAAGTCAATAAAATATTTCCTTATTCTTGAAATAGCACTGCCGAGTTTACAAATCTTCATAAAAATAAAATTTCGAAAAAATAATACTTTCTGAGATGAATCTTGTTTTAAAATAATTTCAATAAATCACACACTTCAGTTATATATTTTATGTCATATATTATATATTTTGGTTAGCGCTTAGTAAGCGTTGTTTCTTTAAAGCTTAGTCTAAAGAAAAAAGAGTATAAAGATGTCTAGAATTTAATATTTTTTTACAAATTTGTTAGCTGTAATCTTCAAGCCTACTTAGTACGCTCCTTAATTTAAGGTTCCAGATTCTGTCATTCTTTTCACCTACTATTTGTAAAGTAATTAAATTACTTATGTTATCAAAAAATCAAATTTAAAAGAGTTGTTTAATAGTGATACGATATCAAAAGGTTTTGATTAGAATTTAATTTTTTTTTTTCACAATTTCAGTTTCTGATTTACATTCCCTTTATAAGTTCGTTTATATTCCTCCATTAAACTATTCATTATTCTATCTTTAAAGTAAAGAATCTCTTTTAGTTTTAAACAACATTAAGAAACTGATTTTGAGAATTATTGATAATTAGTTTGGATTTCTGCTGTTTGACAAGATTTTCAAATGCAACTGTACTAAAAAAAAAAAAAAAAAAATGCTCACGCGGCAATATTCAAACCGATGAAAAATTGTGCTATATCATGATCGGTTGCTTGCCAGGGAAGACCTCGAGTACGAACGATCACTTCTGAGACCAGCGATGTTTCCGGTAAACTGAAGTAGGACAAGTCTATATTAGCAAACTTCAAATGTGTAATCTTTTGCAGACTAATTCTAATTCTGAATTTAACACTTTGTAGCTGTTGATATCTAGACGATAGTTGTTGATATCAAGAAACAATGACATTTTACAAAAACTTTTGATTTTCTGAATAAATCTGAATAAAAACTTCCAAATTAGAGTTGTGAAACGCAATTACGCTGATTAATTTAGAAGAAAATGAAAATTGAAGCGATGCACTTTCAAAACTTAAATTTAGTTTCCCTTTTCCAATGATTTATCTTTTTGACTATAGATTGAAAATATTTTGATATTTCAATAGACGGCAGGACAAAATCGAATTTTAAAAACAATTACAAATGTTTGCACTTGTTGGTATTTATTGCCACAATGCATTTAAAAACAGTAAGCTGCCAATTATTCAATTTTCATTTTAAATACGATGGCCAAAAAGCATTGGATACAGAAAAAGCTTTCACCCACTTATTTTTTAGGGGTAAAATAATTTGAGCCAGCATATGTTTCTGTAAAAATGTGAGAAGTCAAAGTTCGTGAAGACAAGAATAAAAGTTCGAGAATGATTCGAGTTCCTACTGAAAGGTTAAATCGGTAGAAATACTGTAATAGAATTACAGCGAAAATCAACGAATACATTTTTAAGTGTTTGTAAAATTTGAAACACTCAGTGGTTAGCATTAGTAAATGAATGAGTGCAATAGCTACAAAAATATTAATCAAAATAAGCATGCTATAAAATGAGAGAATTGAAACATTTCGTAGTAAACGAACCATATCCCATTGCGTAGTTCGGTTTTTACGTCCTCTACAGATCCCATTAAATTGTTGGTTCCTGTAAGAATTATTTTAAAGAAATTGATAAAAGTGCTTTCAAATTCAAGCTTATCGAGACTTCCTTTTCTAATATTTACATTCAATTTTTTTTGTTAGCCACAGAATGAGTAACAAAAAATCTTTAAAATTGGATTAATTCCAAAATATTCATTCGTCCTGTTTGCCATAATAAAAGTACCATAAATCTCATAAAACTTTAATTTGATATAAGTTCTATAATTCACAATATTTTTAGTTGCTCTTATTGATATCTAGATAATCATAAATCATTTTAAGAAGCGTTGCCGAAATCTTGGCATATGGATATTTGTCGCAGACCTCTTAAACATAATCTTCCTTTCACTCTCCATTCTCTCCTCACATTGCATTGAATCTATTTCAACGAGAAAATGAAACATTCTCTGATTAGAATGATAACAACGAAATTAAATTTTCCTCTTCTTTGTTCCTTCTTTTATTGCTTCGTGGTGAGCTCGTGCAACGTGCTTTGTTAACAGTGGAATGGTATTAGCTTAATGTTATCAACTGTTTAACAGTACACTGATCACACCATCAAAACAGTTACACTGCTTTGAGGATACTTTTTACGACAATCTGCTTTATTTTGATTCATAAATGTCGTGCAGATTGTGCAGAAAATGTTCTTACTAATTGAAATTGCTTAATATATTCTGAAAATTTGATAAGTTGAATCAGATTATCACAGCAACCGAGTTTCTTAGAAAATTTTGCCATAATTCGCATCTCAAAATCAACCCTTTAAATTCGAAAATTTTCTTCTTCGAAGTTTTTGAAAAAAAAACTTCTGATCAGAAATTTCTCTGATTTTTAATGTGTCTATAATTTATGTGTTAGTATAAGATTTAGTTTAAATTCCTGAACAAATGAACATTGAAGAGGTATTGGGATGCTAGATGAGTGAAGTAAAAAATAAAAGATGTAAGGTTTAAGTTATTCTTTAAAAGAACATAAGACTGCTCTTTTGAGAGAATAATACAAGAAAAGGCAACGATAATAACAAGAGAGCTGTTGCTTGATCTTAAGGTAATATTATATTGACAAAATTGCGCACTTATATTGTTCACAGCGGTAAGCAGGTAGCGTGCGCAAGTGGTCTATTTTTTTAGCAGGAATGAAACAACTATTTACGATTCTTTGATTCCATAAACATGTTGTAGGCAGCGTGATATAAGCAATAGCGGGACGAACTACTGCGAGGAGAGTGTATATGTGCGGTACCGGTACCGAGGTATCGGGGATATTTACGGTATCGAGGGTACATTGCTATTGGAGAATAGAATTGTTTTAACAGTAATCACTTTGAAAAACTCTAAGAAACAATTCGATTTTTTCGTCCTGTTTGTTAATAAAAGTGAATAAACATTAATTTGCAGCATACTGTACTGCTTTCTGCTTTAGCAAACTTCTTGACAACTGTCATCCTTTGGAAGCATCATTGGCTTCGTGAAACTATGATAAGAGCGTGAATGAAACTATTTAGTTATTCTAAAAGTGGGTGACCTTCTTCAATTCGTAATGCGGAATAAATCTGAAGAAAATTCAAACTTCCCTCTCCTCATAATTCCTTATAGTAGTATCACTTTAAATTCGTATTCCATCATGTAAACTGTAAATAAATGAATTCAAGCCACTAAATTTCTCTAGTTTTTTTGTCTTAAAATTGATCAAATATCATTAATTACTTTCAAAATTTTCGTTTTTTCTTTAAAATGATTTCTGTTTTTACTCATTTGAAGCAATTGATTTACTTATTTTTGATGAAAGTAATTAAATTTTGTTTAATGAGTGCCTTCCGTGATATTCTATCAAATCGAGTCGACTTCGCTGCAAGGATATGTGAGAAAAACTGATTTCTTAATCTAAGCTCGTTTTTAATGAAGGACGATGACCAATGTCACTTGATGATAATAGTGACCATCTGAGTCAAAGTTTAGCTTCAGATTTCAAACTTCGCCTCAATTCTCGGGAGGAGGAAGTAGAACATTTGAACATTTGTTCTAAATTAAAAATTTTGTCTTTGTTTTACGCAGTTTTAGTTGACAGTATTATTTACAAAACGAAGTTTAAGACAAGTGAATATTGTTGGAATTTTGATTGGAAGCTTAGATAAAATATTGCAAATCCAGAACTCTTTTAATTAAAGTGAGAAAATTTTAGAAAACCCATGAAAAACAGAATGCTAAAACTACTGAATTAAAATAGTTCAAAGTAAAATATAATCCTTTTATATTACAGTTTTTACACTATGAAAGCATATACACATTCAAATTAGCATGAGGAATCAGCTTCAACAATTTCTTAGAAAAGAAATTGTTAAAGCTAATAAAGAAATACCGGTCGTTTTTTTTAAACTTTTAAAAATAAACTTTTAGAAACCGAAAGATTAAATCTTAGAACGCTTTTGCTGTTGCGCTAAGCTAGAATTTAAAATCATAGAAACATGTATCTTTTGTAATGCACTAAACCGAAAAAAAATGCTTCAATTAGGTTAAAACTAAAGAACAACAGAGAAAAGTTGACACAACTTGATGAAAGGTTATCGATAAAAAACAAGCTTAACTAAAAAATCTTCACTTACCTTCACACAAATAATGAATTCCGTTACATATCAGGCCCAATTCATCCTCTAATGAACACTGCCCGTCAACTGGTAAAGCTTCGAATCTCGAGATATCGATAAACTTGTGGAAAAGCGGAGAAAGTGTGAAAGATAACCGTAATGCAAGGGGATGTAATACCTGTCTAATAGCACTAATACCATTTGTTACTAACACTGAACCATCTGGTACCGTATTTTCAACCTGTAATCATATCTAATTTACGACAACACAAAAAGTAGAGTTTTACTAGCTGATATAATTCATTAATAGCATGATATGTATGATATGATTTAATACGATCACTAATTTAACAGTAAACATTCACTCTGAACAATCAGAACTGTTAAAATATTATTATCCTTAGGAGGTATTACGAGGAAAGAGAGTTCCCAGTAAGTAATGTATTTCAGTAACGTATTTAAAACTCATTACGTAAACACTTCGATATAAAAATTTCTATTGCTTCCAAATAAATCTATCGTTAGAAGTTTTAAATATTTGCACGAGAACCTAACTACAATGATAAATATTTCCAATTTTAGTTTTAAATTATTTTGGTGAGGACAAGAAATATTTTTACCGATTGTTTCAAGTTTATAAGTTCGAAGCTTACTTGATACGTACAATTTAGTGCAAATTAGGAATTAATTTGATAACATACAAAAGTTTCGGGACAAGAAAAAAACATGAACAAAGCAATAAGCGATCCTCGTTTAAATCATGTCTGTTAAAATTAAAGAACATATGTGATAGAAGTCGTGTATGATGTAATATAATGCCTATAATGATAATAATGATGGAACTTTGTACTATCAAAACGCTATTAAGAAACTTAAAGAACAGGATGACGAATTGTTCAAGGTCATAGAAGTCATAGCAGAATTTCAAATTTGTTTTACTTCGCTAATAAGTACCATTAAGCCATTCATCAGACTATTCTTAGAAGATAACTAGAGGAGTAATGCGAAAACGTGTTACGTATTATTTATCAATCTATATAAGATATAGATGAACTGTCTCTGATCAAAATGTATTTTAAAAAGTTCACCTTCTGGAGAGCAGCCTCTAGTCCTAAAGAAGTGACATCCAATTCTTCGATAGTAGTGATTTTGTTGTGGGTATTAGTGTATCGCTGATTAATAATAGTAAAGGCAATGGTTTGTACAGGTGCCGAATCAGACCCTTGTTCCTTAGTGGCATTGCAGCCGGATGTCCTCAGAGCAAACGGAATCAGAGAAGTCGGTGTTACTGCCGAACTTGCTTGTGGACAGGGTGCCATATAATTGGCTTTCTAAGTCGGTGTCTTCTCAATACGAACAGGGCGGGTATAATAAAAGAACCAAGCGGAGGTAGGAAGGAACAGGGGATGGCTCCGGCAAAGTTACCAAAATTTCTTACTGTTAGTACTGAGGTGATTGATACGTAAAAAGATAAAAGTACTGCCCCTGGGGTATGGGATATGGAAAGGGGAAAGTGTTGCGGGGTTGAATGGACAGATGGATCGGGATGGCGAAGTGAAGAGGAGTGAGCATCGGAAATATGTCAATGTGGTTGGGAGAGCCAGGTGTGGAGAAAGAATTCGAGCAATTGCCGCGTAAAGAGGGCCGGCAGGGACAGCCGCGAGAACGGTTGCAAACGAATCGACGAATCTTTTCGAAATACTTTTTCAAAATGTATGTTTCGTGCGTCCGAAGATGAAACTTTTAGACAAACAAGACTAGTTGACAAGTTTAACATGGAGAGAGATAGAGAGAGAGAGAGAGAAAGAAAGAAAGAGAAGAATATGGCAGGTCAAATAGTGGCAGTTTACATATGCGTGTCTGAAAAGAGACCGTGCAAAGGAAGGTTGACCGATGATATGACGATCGTGTAAAGTGGTGACATTGAGAAGAGAGGACAGCAAGAAATGAAGAGAGGGTTTTACGATTCTCGATATCACATTTCGGATGTTTTCCACAACATTAACACGTCGTGACGCAGTGTCCTTGAACGTGTATGCGGATCACTTCTCGTCATTGGCCTCTTTGTCCAGCTTCGCTGTCATCTAGTTACTGCGGTTGTTATTTCTGCAGCTTATCACAATAAAAATATTAGTAATAAGTTAATGACTACTCAAAAACTATCAATTCCCTTTTTTCTCGTATCCAAATTCACTTTTGTACTGATAACAAACTGATAGCTTTAGCAGTACTATGCGTTGTCACTGAGTTTATGGTCGAATCTGCCACTACCTATAATTATATATAACCATCAGAAGTTGCAAGAACTTAACTATCAGGTATTGCAGAATTTTTCTAACCTTTAAGAACGATCTTTTGTTTAGCACTTTTTTTCAATGGAAGGAAATGTTAGAAAGATAAGGGATAAAAGAGAAAAAGAATTATTAATTATATCTTACAAAAAAAAAAATTTTTTCTACTCCCATTAAACTCAATTGCTTCTTGTTAAATGAAAAGTTAGTCGTTATTTGAACAAGTAAGTATTTTGATGAGATGACTTTTCTCTCTCTCTCTCTCTCTCTCTCTCTCTCTCTCTGTTTTTCTCCTTCTCCCTCTCTCTCTCTCTATTCAATATACTGTCATTTCATTTTTCTAATGCTCTCAATTGCAACAAATATCGAATCAAATGTGTTCATTTCATTTTATTCCCAAATATTCGCTTATGGTCATTTTCTCGAGATTGAATTTAATGGGAATAGTATCGTCAAGTGAACAATAAATATACATGTAGTGTAAACATGGATTTACAGCAATATCACAACATAATTAAAATTATATTTTTGGCCAACATGCAATATTAGATGCAATGATCTGTTCGATAATTTTATCTAAAGTGATTCATTTTCAAGAAATGCAATCATACGCAGTGTAATAGAACAATAAAATTGGAAAGATTTTAAGAGAGATCTGACAAAAGACGTTAGATTGAGCTAATTACATTTATAGAAAAAGTACAAATTATATTATAAAATTTTCTGTTTAAATTGAAATGAATAATACAGGAAGGAGTGCACTGCCTTAAAAATAAAACCTGAAACATAATTGCTATGCTGTTTTTTTCTTTGGTTTTTTTTCATTTAATTTATGCTGATCAAGTCGTACATCATTTTGTTTCCATTTTATGCTTCTTGCGATAGGAAAGAAAATGAGTAGCATTTTTTTTGAAAGACTCTATTTATTTTTATAGATTTTAGAAAAAAAAATATTTATTTTTTATAGATTCTATTTATTTTTTTTATAGATTTTAGAAAAAATACAATTTTCATGATTTCTCTTGGAGCTATCCTTTTCCGCGTTGATATCATTTTCAATTAGCTCTGTTTTTGGATATATGTATATGTATGGAAAAACGCATAATTTTTTTTTACATTTTATGGTTTTAAGAATTTCAATAACTTGTTTGTTCTCTTTATGAGTTACCAGAACTGTTACAAAAGAAGAAAATGGATAAAGTAATTTCCAAACTAAAGAGAACAAGATTCATAAATTTTAATTCGTTTAAGTTTAAACATATTTAATTAGTGACTCAAAATGAATCACGAACAGTTGATTTTTTACATCAAAATAATAACTGAGCGATTCTTCCATCATTGTTTTCTCTTTTGCAAGATGGTCGATGATGAGCAGAAAGAAGAATTCATACTTTGAAGAACATAAATATGCATATAATGTGACTGATTAGCAAATCAGTCAGTTTTAAAATCTCCAGCTTCAAACTGTTTTTGGAATTTCAAAATTTAAAGAAAGTCAGTAAATCAATAAAACAGTTTTTGCGGTGACGCCTCTTAATCAATTTCCAGGATTGAAAAATCTTTTCCATTCCGTTCAGAAAATGAACTTCATAAAAGAACGAACAAGAGGACATTGAGAAAGATGCAAAGGGAAAATAATGTTAGTACCATAACACTTAGAATTCAGAATATGCGAAAATTTTCAATACAAAAAAAAAAAAAAAAAAAAAAAAAAAAAACCTGTTTTTCTGCATAAAATTCATTACTCTTGGAGAACTGGTTTCATTCCTCAACAAGCATTCCTTACAAATCCATTTCTACTAGTAGACTAATAAACACAACAAAAGTCATTGGCATGGAAAATCGACTACAATTACAACTAAATAATTAGTTCTAAAAACATAATAATTGTGCATAAACCATAGATGTGTACATAAATTGTTCTTGTTTAATAAGCTATTATACTAAAAAAAAGAGAGAAAATTTCATGGATATTTTGAAGCAAGTAATTGCTAATAATCCTTCAATAAAGACATTACAAATATTTGATGCATTTTGACAGAAGAACCCATCCGTATTCGATAATCGACAATCCATATTCGACTTAGTTACTGTCATCTTAAATATCATTACTGTTAATTATTGTTGTGTGAGCAGATCACTTATAATCGTTATTTTCATTGTTGTCATCATATGTTTGCAAAGTCACCAGTTCTTTTTAAGTAGTTTCCTTTAAAAATTCTTTATTAGATATTAGCAACGATGATACGATATTGCTGGCCAATATTGATAAACATAAACCAAACGTAAGCATTCGTAGTTTAAATTGCCAAATTCATGAGGTTAACAGCATCATGACATTCTAGAATTGAAATATAAAACTTCATGCTTAAGAGATTTTAGACTGAAGCGAAGTGCAATTGTCTCCTTTGGTTACTTGATGTTTAATCCAGCATGCACTAAATTGAGCGATGACTTATCTATTGGTCTGCATTGCTTCTGTTGAGTATTTTCAGTGAATATTAATGATATTAATGCTAATGATATTAACATTCACACCAAACTATGACCTTCAAGCATAAATTTATGATAGTCAATTATAGAATCTACCCCTTTATATATTGAAAATTACCGGATGTCAGATTAAAGTGACCACATACTGGGATTTTGCTGATAGCAATAAAAGCAAAATGCGGGTAAGTAAGAAATGTTATGGAAATTTCCAGAATGAAATTGCAAGCATTACTGGAATCAGATTGCAGATAATTACATAGTCGTGCGGGAATGACTAGAAAATATTAGAATACAGAAATTGAATTTCGATGTCCTGAACAGAAAGGAATGTAATCATCTGAAGACTGAAAGACTGCTAAGAAAAACTGAAAACTATTTGACAACGATTAAAAGATGGAATGGACAATGGTCACCGGGGATGTCAGGTAGAATAGGTGAGTAGTTACTACCAAAAAAAAGAGGATGAAAGTAACTGCAAACTTTAATTTGTGTCTATTACAATACTACAACAGTAATTTAATTTTTAGCTCAAATTTTGGAAGATTATTCCTATCTTTCACTAATATTGACATAAAAGCCATCCACGCAACGCACCTCTGGGATCAGCGTTTTCACTGCAGCCTCTTGTGTAGTCCAATATGCATCCTGACTGGCTTGGGGCTTTTTCGTTTTCAGTGGGTGATTTCTACTCTGTGCTCTATGTTTGCCTGAAAGTCATCCGATATCCATTGATGGTAGGATTTAATTGTTTGCCTTTCATTGATGCTTTGTGTGAAATCAATAATTTAGCTTGAGGTTTATTCAAAATCTTGAGTCTGAACTTTGTTACCAAAAATTAGAATTGACTTGTGTCGGAAGGTGAAGCATTCGTAAGGGTGCGAGAATGTTATGCATTCCACCAATCGGTTTTACATTAAGATTTAAGATTCAGTAGTTATTATTTGTACTGAAAAACTTAAGAGTATGTAATTGAGGATCGCCAATCGACAACGTCATCGAATGCACGGCTGAAAGAATTTGGTCCGTGGACAGAGCAATATAGTTCAGCGGGGAAGCGCTACTTTTATAATCGAGAAACTGAGGTGTCACAATGGGAAAAACCTCCTGAATGGCGAGAATATGAAAAGTTTTTGTCTGAAAACGCTGCGAATCAAAGTCCTATTTCATCTGCTTGTGAGTTTTTTATTCCTCGTTGTGTTATTCTTCTAGAAATATATATGACTATAGCCAGAAATTATCGAAATAATAGATTTACTTACTGGATTTTCGGCGATCGAAGTGTCGTGTTGTCGAAAATCCATTTTTAGCTTTAGAAAGAAAATTATACTCTCACCTGCGATGAGAATTATAAAAATTTGTTGTATCGACTACCATAAATTATATCTAGTTGTATGCCTCTTAGTCGTATTTATCAATCTTTAAAGAAAAGCTGTAACTCGTACTTAATAATCCCTACTACTACGGTTTTGGCTCGTATAATTGCTTTTGTAAAATTTATCTGTGATTGATCAGCAGTAGTGTTCAGCTTAGCAGTAATTTTCTATGGCGCAGTAAGTTGTGAAACTGATGTTATGTTTCCATCCCTTGAATTATATATTAAATAACTAGCTGTTTTATCTCTAACTTCAGTTTTAGGTTAAATTCAGCCTTTTTTGTGTTCATTTACTTAATATTTCATTTTCTATGAGAGGATAAGTCGAAAAGCAGTGTTAAAGCATTATTAATCGACTGCTTTAATTATGTTAAAATATTTATGTAGTCATACTTACCTGTTCTTGAGCTAATTCGAGTTAACTGCTCAGGAAAAAAAAAGGACTAGCTACTAAACTTGTTTCACCATCATACTGATGGCCAGGATCGTAACGAGTTGAAGTATAAGAAAGTTCAGATCTAGAACAGTTCAGTTTGAATAGTTAGAAAACATTGAATGCCATAGTTTTTTTTACGACTTATGTTGAATTAACAAAAATGCTAATTAGTATATATTTTTAACAAAAATAAATTCAGCTGGAGCTCGTATTGCTCCAAGCAGTAATGCTGCAGGAATGTATTTGGCCAGTTCAGCAGATTCTGCTGCATCTGGTAATAATGGTGATGTGAAGAATAAAATGAAAATGCATGATACATCCCAGCCAGTCTTGAGAGGCAGGCGTCCAAAAGTTGAAGTGAAAGAAGAGGATGCAATTGGTCCCGTGGTTTTTTCTGAAGAACAGCATCGGCGATTTCTAAGGTCTTTTTTTTTGGCAAAATATGTCTTGATCGGAGTGTTTCCATTAATCAGGTTATAAAAAAAAACGAATTATCATTCGTTTTTTTTTTTTTTTTTTTTTTTTACATTTAACAGCTTTATTAGTAACATTGCGTGAACCGATGAGTACTACATCAAAAATAAAGTAGCATGTCATAAATCATAGTTTATGACATACGTTACTAAAAACAAGCATGTGGTGAAAATCGAACCGTTAGTACATACTACGGGTAATTTTGTATTTTAAAATTGCAGAGCAGATGCACAAACATCCACTCGTCGGTGGCCGACAGAAGATTGGGAACAAAGTGCAATGAAAGCTGATGCAGCCGCACACAGTCTTACCTTGCAAATTATTTATGTATCTTGCGATTTAAAAAGTGCTGGATCGCTTGTAAAAACTGCTGAAATGCGTTCTTCCTTATTAGCACAAAAGTTGCAGTTTATCGCAGATCATCAACGACAGCTGGAAGCAAGTTTTGCACTTCCTTCACTTCCTTCTTTGAATAGTTATCAATGATTTGCATGTTTTAGATGTAATGAGAGATTACAGCTTTACATTAATGAATTACCCCGAATTTCCTCATGGATCTTTGACAGCGTTTTATGGGTTCATTTAGGAAATCATGTATTATATATGTTAAATTTCTTGAGTTTCAATTACAGCAATAACTAATGGGTAAATATTTGCCTTTTCTTGCACTTTTTTATACACTTCATGCAGATATGTAAGTGGATGATGGCAGTAGAACAGTGAAATTAGGCTTACATCGGTGATTTATATGTATATCTTAACGGTTCATAATTCTCCTTTGATAAATCTAATTTATAAAATATTTAATTTTTAGTGAGCATATGTAAACAAACTGGAAATATAATACGTCGCAACATATGGCAATGATTCCAAAGTAAGAAAAAAACTAATAAAAAGTAAAACTCATAGGAAGGTCCTACAACGATCGTGCACAGCTTTTTCACTCCGGTCATTGACAATGCTTTCTACATCCATTTCTGATCGGATTACTCGGAGCTACAAAAACTGAGCTTAACAAGCATAGCATCATACTGTAATAGTTATCCCATGACAGTGGAAGAAAATCGGTAATGATTTTCATGTAAATTTCAGTAAAGAGAAAATAAAGCAAACAGAAAACTAACAGTATTTTGAGCACTACGAATATCTGCTATTGGGGATTTTTCCTTTCGCAAACGGGAAATGTTTGTTTGATTTTCATCAACACAGTGTTGTATCAAATTCATCCTTTTAACTCTCATAGTTAATAACTGGAAATGTACTTCTTGTAACTTTACTAATGAGGTAAAGAGAGAGAAATTTTAGGATGACATAATAAATATATTTAGGAATAAAAGAGACCATCAGCAAGCAGGTTTTTTTTGGATGAAGCTTTCTCAAATTACCATACTGTATAAAGAATATAAAATACTTTTTTGAACATACAGATCTGCTGTTAAGACATATGTCACCTCCTTATAAATGGAACGACATTTTTCGCCTTTGTCCATATTGGAAGAAAATGATTCGCTAGGCAGAGCAGTGTTTAGTTCAAACAATATTTTATCATCGATCTTTCGCAATTTATCCAACATATCCTGAAACACAATCGATTGTAGCTGAGGAATACGTGTAGATCAGCTCGTAATTCTAAAAAAATTTGGAGGGAACTGTACTATGCCTCAATTTTAATCTCTCATAAGTTATATCCTTGATCATTTTTCATTACACTATAATTCAATAATTTAAACCACCAACAGTATTTACTTCGCACATGCTTTTTTGTCAGCACACGAAAAATCACAAACGTAAAGCGGTTTTTTGATTAAAACAATAGTGCTGAAACTTACCTGAAATGTTAACAAATCAAGGCAATCGACCCGTTTCTCATCCATGGAAGCAATGCTAAGCAAGCTTCCAGGAGCAAATCTAAGAATCAACCTGAAAACATCAAGTCTATATTATAGAAAAGAGCCGTCATCACAAATCTCACAACGCACTGACGTCAAAACTTAGTATTTAACATTCAAATGACCCAATTTAATCATCTCCAGTTATGAAGTAGCTGGAAAAAGAATAAAGGTTTAAGCGGCTGAACAGATGATCATCCACAACTTTCATATCAAAGGACTGCGAAATCTTTAAAGTATAAGCACAGCTTTCAAGAAAAAGCGTTGTTGGTATCAATGACACATCTCTTGCAACAAATTTTTTAAAGGTTTTATTGAATTTTACATCAAAAACAATGCAAATCAACCAGAAAGTATGTAGCGAACGAAAGATTTCCAATTTAGAAAGTAACTAATACCTATCAATAGCAATAAGAAATGTGGAAATAATGAGTCGTCTTTAAGTCTGATAAATCCTTTCTCCTAGACTATTAAAAAAAAAAGAAAAAATTCCATAATGTTTATATTAATACAACTCTCAATTCGATAATCACAGCAAACGACACTAACAGAACGAAATCTCGGAAACAATAGTTATTGAGGCTGAATTTCGACATTTCCAGATTCTTCGATTATTTTAAGACTCGATCTCTGTTCCGAATCTTGTTCAGAGTGCCCGAATGACTTTCTCATATCGTGACGGCAGTTAGCAATACCCATACCGAAACCCATGCCAGTACCTAACCAAAGTGGAAACTGCCTTTTAAATATTGCAGCAGCTATTAAACCAACACTCCCAGCACTTACAATCTTCACTGCTGTATCTGCCAGACATCGATCGAAAGTTTCACTAAGCTCGTCTTCCGATTTCTTCCCCATTTCTTATATATATCTGTAACACTTGGTTAAAATATATCTCCACTGATACATTTCCTTAAAATATGATACATCTCCCATTAAAATATAAACGTTGCACAACAACTGAAATGCTCCCCTGATATCACTGATAGCCGCCACTTCGAGAATAAGAAATATTTGAGAACTAATTCCACGTAAAACTTTACTTCCACACGTTTCAATTCAAACCCATGACTGACATTCCTCATTGATGATTTCAAGCAGACATGCATTCGCGTGCAGGCAAGTGCTAGCCGTGAAATACTTGCTGGCCGAGAGACGGATTTATTGCGGGACAATCAGAGATTTGTTGGAGTGTGTTTCCGTGTCGATGTCTGGGTGATATTGCTAAATTGGGTTGGAGTAAGGTGCAGTTGGGTTTGTATAGTACTTCGTTACTTCGCAGTGCAAGTGCACCTGGTCTGAGATACGGCTCTATGAAGAATTATTGAAGCTTGACTACAGGTGTGTGACCTGTTCTGCATATACGCCAGCCAGCAGAAATTGTATTCATATGTCATATACTGTACACTTCTAATTATCTGATTTTTTGGCAAATTTAAGACTTTTCAAGTTTAAATCCAACAACTGAATATTTCACAACTTCCATTTCCAGCCAAATAGTAGACATAGCTAAAATCGACTTTTTTGCTGTTAATACCATTAAAGCTGTGCAATAATTTATGCATATACATTTCTATTTATGTTATTTATGATACTTCCATTCAGTTCATTTTTTCAAATTCTCTTCCTCAAAATCCCAATTAATCAAGAGGAAAATTTTATATATCATTTTTACGATTTTGACTACTGAAATAGGATGCGCGTTTTGAGAATTCATAGTCAGCAGTAGCTTAATCATAAATTAATTTCATGTTAGTGCCCTTATTTTGACTATGCATGGATAAATACAAAATCTGAATGATGTCTAAGCGTTTTAGTTAAGGTGGGATCGAGAAATGGCAATGGAACAGCTCCTGGAAATGTATAATGAAATCGAAGATAACCACTCATGGAATTCTGTTTATCAAGTATCGTATTTTATTCCTCTCTCACATAACCTGTATTTAATGATCCATTTAGAATCAACTCCTTGTAGTATTTATGAATAAGTTTTAGGAAATAGATAAGCAATCTTGCAAACAAGAGAGGAAATTGAAACTGACAACAAAAATTGCGCATTCATGGGAGAATGCGGAAAGGAACCGTTATCGGAACGTCTTAGCATGTTAGTTTACCTTTTGTTCTCTTCCAAAGTTATGCTTGAGTTACTTAATGTTTTAGGATGCTTTCTCCTAGACTTTGAAAATTTTTTGAACCATTAAAGTTGTCGAGCAGTAATGATGTTGTGGATTATGAAGTGTCGTTTGTGTATCATACATAAAGAATTCATATCACGAATGCAGTTCTCGTATTATATTATAACTGTATCCCTTTCGTAATTTTAATTTCCAGATGATACAAGTCGTGTTGTATTAAAGCGGGAAAATACTGAGCGATCTGATTATATTAATGCTTCGCCACTAATCGTTCCAACTGCCAAACGTAATTATATTTTAACACAGGTTATTGTGAATTTATAGAACTTGCAGTTTCATAATGGGAATGCTTATTTCAAGCAATACCTTTATTGTTTCAGGGACCACTTTCAACGACTAGTAACGATTTTTGGCAGATGGTATGGGAGCAGAATAGTACTCTTATAATTATGTTAAACAAGCTGGTAGAGAAAGGATTACCGAAGTACGTTGTACTTTCTTTAACTACGATTCTTTAAATCTTTGGTCCCAAAAGTTGAGGTAATTTTCCGAAGACCTTCCGGAGTTGTTTTATCTACATTTTTGGGAGTTACGAATACTTTTAGATGTCATGATTATTTTCCATCTTTGGACAGTCCCACGCGCAAGTTCGATTCTTTTAATGTGATTCTGAAAGACGAGCAAGATTTTGGTGACTATGTGATTCGAGATTTGGAGCTCTTGAAGAAAAATGGAGATGTTTTATCGGAAAAAGATGATCCTAATAGACCACCTTCACGCATAGTCAAACATTTTCATTTCACAAGTTGGCCAGATTTTGGTAATTCGTTGTTTTTTTCTTTTCTCTCAGAAAGGTAAATTAATTGAGTCATTAATCCTTTCTTGGTACAGTACTTTACTTAAGTTGTTGTTTAGGTGTCCCTCATTCAACTGCTGTGTTTATTGGATTCTTGCAAAAAGTACGTGGCACTGGACTTTTATGCGGCAAGGAACCTACTGTAGTGCATTGTTCAGCTGGTATTGGTCGTAGTGGAACGTTTGTGGTAGCAGACTCAGTCTTGTCAATGGTATTCCATGGACAAGATAATAAATTGAATAAAAAATTGATAAAATTGAATTCCGAATAAGTAATAAATTGAATTCCAAAGTTTTACTGGCATTTTTTTCCGTCCTTTTATTTATCTGTTTGCTTATTTTTTTAATTTGGTGGTTTGCTCCTTTATGTATCTTTTTTATTCCCTCATCTTTCTTTTTTTTTTTTTTTTTGATAATTCAAAATTTCTCTTTTCCATACACGAATTTTAGCTAGTAACAATTTGCAGGTTGAACAAAATGTAAAGGAGATAGATGTAACAAGTTTGGTTGTAGAAATGAGAAGGTCAAGGATGGGATTGATTCAAACTCCACAACAGTTACAGTTTTGCTGGAAGACCATCGCTGATGCATTACGACAGGGAGTTATTACTAAAAACGAGGAAAATTTTGTTAATGATAAATTTGGGAGAGATCTTTTGACCGTACCCAACAATCACATTAATGGCGAAGTAGATGAAATGCCACATTTGGAAAGGTCTCAGGCAAACCAGATGACTACTGATTTACACTCCAAATCTTGTAGTGATTTTTCATCTCTTCGAAAAAGAGCTTCCACGGACTCTTGCGAAACAGATAAGGAAACAAAACACTCGAAAAGGTATTCTGAATTCTTATTCTTTTGGTTGATGTAGTGCAGTGAAATCTTAGACTTCAAATTCTCAAGGAAGTAAGTAATGACTATTATACAAAGTAATAAAGCTACTACATGTCTTTAAAAAATTGAAAACCTATTGAAATTATTGAGAAGTATGTCCCTTGAGTATCAGGGAAGAAAAAATAAAAAAATCGAAAGGAAAAGTTCTTTTTACGTTTGTAGATTTCTCGGTTCGCGTTTATTTTGATTGATTTATTATAGTGATTCAGGAAAAAACGTATAGAAGAGATGCGTGCGCGCCTCTTAAAATGTGAAGATGCTCATAAAAAATGGCATCGTATGGTAGTGGGTCGTACTGGTATTGGATGCACGTGTGCAGCAGTTGCAGTTGCCTTTGCTGTATATTGTATTTATCGTTTAACCTCATGATATCGTTGATATCATTTGTTTCCGACTTAATTTCAATGGTAATGTAGTACAATGGACAAACTTATTAGCAAAATTCGTAAAAATGGGCTGTTCATTACACATTGAGAACGGTCTGTAATTGTTTTGTATTGGAGAATATTTTGGAATCTCACGAAATCTAAGACGGCTTATTTTGATCTTATGGCAACAATAATACATATCGGACGCGTTTATTTTTTACTGTGCTTAAAGATTGGCATTTTTGTTGTTTTTTATATTTTTTATACGTTGTGTGCACGTCACTGCTCCATACGATAAGTCAATTTCGTATTTTATGTTCTGTATTTTTTTATTGGATTTTTTTCTCTGTCAGGCATATTCTAAGCATCATATTTTTTTCTTTGTAATTTATGCATTTTGTTGTCATAATTTGATCAGTTAATGAATTTGAATCACTCCGATTTTTTTCCAGCTATTTCACTTATAGAATGAGGATTTCAAGTTGCAAGATGATTAACTTCAATCAACTACTATCAGAAATTTTCGAATGAGTGTTAAATGGCTTTCTTATATTGTTTTGTTCACGATCATTTACCTTTATTCATGGCATTCATAAATCCGCAAATTCGAGCAGTATTGTCAGTACTGCTCGAATATCACTCATTCTAGTACCCTGATGGGATAGCACGATTATATTCTTTTATTTGTTTAGGAAATGCAAAGACATCAACTTTACATAACGCGAATACAGGCTGACGGAAATTCTTGATTCTGCACATAAGAACTTTGTTGGATTGTGATCATTTCTTACTGTGGCACATGTAACACTGAAATCACTTTTTTCTTTTAGTAACTATGATTTTGCGCTCTGTAACAAAAACAACAGTGTTTTGAATTTTTTTTTTTCATGTGCCTCTCCTTTTTATTTTTCCACCTTTCCATTTATAATGTGCGTTATTGTTGTATCTTTAAGTGATGTTATGTTTTAAATTTAATTGAATCATTCCATACCATTTTCTTTCTCTGCTCAACATCTATTATTCACCTACTTATATACAATGCCTTTTTGATTGTTTCAGTAGTAATAGATGGATCTCCATTAGATATGTAGATTCCAAATTTTTGCGCAACGACTGTAGTGTTTTCTTAATTTATAATCGAACACTGTCAAATAGATGCTCATTTAAGATTTTCAGTTATTTCCGTGTTTGCTGATACATTTGGGTAAAAGTATTCTTTAAATGTAGTTGTCTCCAAAAACTGTTGAAGTGTTCACTTCACGGCTACGCACCATCTGCCTTCCTATTTCGTTTGACTGATTTGAAAAACGTGAAGTTGGATAAATTTTTATCACAGCATATGGAATCTCGTTTTTTTATTCTAGTAATACTACAATTTTGTGGGAAGAGAAGACTGTTTCGAAGGTTCTTGCTGGTTTTGGTTTGTCTTAATGTTTGGTACTACTAATGCGTTTGGCTCACGACCGAACAGCATATTTTCATCCGGCACAGCCAATACAAGTCAGAATCCACTGAACGATATTGAAGTAGGTTGTACCATTTCGGACATACTTTTCATTGATCTCATTTCTCATGGATGCTTAAGCAGTTTAGGAAGGAATGATTTGATGTTCTCAACTTCGGATTAATTTTAACAGCTTTTCTTAATACCAGAATTCTATGTGTTCTTGGTTTTTCGATTTAGAGTGATTTTCTACAGATATTTTTTTTTTGGTGTCTTTTAAGGTGACGATAAAAGAATTTTAGGTAATGTAGCTTATTTACTATTATTTACTTTACTCTGTGATTAATATGAAGTATTGTCTACGTAAATTTAATAGAAGGATTTAAGATTTTAAGTTTTTAGAAGGCAAGCCCTTTAGATGATGTATTTGTTTTTAGGTACCATCACCACCCGATGACACAGTTGAAGCGCTGAAATTCAATCCGCAGATTGCTGGCCAGCCAGTTTTGCTTGTTTCGGGTAGTTGGGATTCAGTGATTCGTGTATGGCAGATCAGTGAAAGCGGTCAGTGTGAAGCAAAAGCTCAACAAAATGTTACAGGACCAGTTTTAGATCTTGACTGGCTTGATGTAAGTTCGATTATCATTTTAGGCAACAGAGATCTTGATCCATACTTGTTATTGGCTTGCTTTATAATTTATAATACGAAGCCTTGTTAAGAAAATTAGAAGGGATCGAGTTTATATATTTTTTCTCTGCCAAAACTTCTAACGTACAGAATTATAAACACAATTATTCGTTCGAATATGGTACATTTATGCTGGCTTTCTCTGATTTTTTGAGGGATTCTTTATTATGATGATAACTTTTAAATCAACAATATACATAGTCCATCGTATTGCGTCTCGCTACTTGATAGAGGGTTCACTGAAGAAGAAAGAAATGTTAGGAATCGTGTTGCATGCTGCTAATTTGAGATGTTTTAACTAAGTCAAGTGACTAATGTCTTCGACGGTCACTGTTTGATATGATGGATCACTGGTTAAATAAAATAAAACGAAGTATACGATGGCAAAGTATAGATGGATAATTTATTAAATTAAGAGCGATATTCGATGGTATTACAGATTATATATGTCTGCACTATTGTAGGATGGCACCAAAATCTTTATTGCAAGTGCAGATAAGCAAGTACGAGTTTGGGATCTCGCTTCAAATCAGATGGTCGTCGTGGGAACAGTGAGCTTTCTTTCTCATATGCTCTGTAAATATCTAAAGTTATAGTGAACTTCTCTCTCATCTGGTATTGGAACCGTACTTCTCTTTCTGTTTATTTCCAGCACGATGAACCTGTCAGGAAGTGTCACTGGATCAAAGCTCCCAATTACAGCTGTTTAATGACCGGGTCATGGGATAAAACTTTACGGTTAATTCGTTGTTCTAGTAATTGTTTTTCGCTTAGTTCTATGAAATTTTCATATGATTGGAAAATGAGTCATTCATAAACTTTATGTACAGATAAATTCTTTGCTCATAAGTCATTCCTTAATCATACAGTTGCATCTCTTAGATTTGTGGATCTTTTATTATAGTTCATACTTTTATTATATACTTTTATTATAGTTTCTTAAACTTTAAGAATTTTGATTTACTGTAGGTTTTGGGACATGAGGCAGTTGCCTACGCAAACATCTTTAGCAACAGTTCAGCTTGGAGAACGTGTTTATTGTAGTGATGTGTTATTTCCCATGAGTATTGTTGGTCTCGCTAATCGGCGTATGAAGGTTAGCGTATCATTTGTAATTATTTTATCTTAGTATGCATATGCAGTATTATAAAATGATCTGTTGCGATGTGATTCTTCAACTATACATAATTATTACAGCAAGGATCCATCTTCATGTCCAAAAGGAATTATTTTAAATAAAAATCTTGGATTGTATGAATTGTTGCAGATTTACAGATTGGACAACGAACCATCCGAAGTGAAAGATATCGAGACTCCGTTGAAGTATCAGGTGAGCTGGAATATATAATACAAAAAGCAAATATTTTTTTTTATTATTTTATGCATATTAAGGCATTAACTAATCAAGTTTCTGAACCTAACTTATTTCAGAGCCGCTGTGCTTCAATTTTCAAAGACAAAACAACTGGACTTCCCACTGGATATGCTCTTGGATCTATTGAAGGTCGAGTTGCAATACAATACGTTGAAGCTGCTAACCCAAAAGATAATTTCACATTTAAATGCCATCGCTCTCCAGAATTGATCAATGGATTCCAGGAAATCTATGCCGTATTTTTTAAGTTCATCATGCTGATATGTTTTAATATGGAACTTTTTGATAATCTAAAGTAACAGATTAACTTAAATCTCCCTTATTTTAATTTCTAATATTTAATGCTTCCATTGACAGTCTTATTAACGTATTTATTTTGCTGGTTGCATCTTTTCAAGTTTAGCTGTTTTGTTTCCTCTCCCAGTAATAGAGGGAGAAAGTTAAATAAGACAGTCTCAGAAATAAGAAATCAAAATTATGAAAATTGGTGGAAGAATTGCAAAAAATGTTAATGACGTGTATTCCAAAATTTCAGTAATCCTACGTTTTAATAGATTGGGTTTGTTGTATATATAGTTTTTCAGGTGAATGATATCGCATTTCATCCGAGTTATGGGACACTGGCAACTGTTGGTTCTGATGGTCGGATTTCATTTTGGGATAAAGATGCAAGAACAAAATTGAAAACATCAGATCCACTACCAGCACCTGTAACGCGGTGTGTTATACATGCTTCAGGACAGATGATGGCCTATGCTATCGGTTACGATTGGAGTAAGGTATGACTTACATTCTTTTCATAAGCCGAGACTCTTTTGCTAAATCCATATCGAATATGGGTTTTATAATAACTTTAGCTATTACTGTTAATAAGATAGGATTTTAACCAAATTTTCGGGAAGAAAACAGCTTAAGAATCAAAATAATATAATAGAAATTTATGTAATAAAAACTATTCGTGAATTACGGTCATTAGTCATTAAACCAAAATAAAGATATTCTTTCAGGGCCATGAGGGATATAATCCTCAAACTGTCGGAAGTAAAATCTTTTTGCATGCATGTGATGAAGACATGAAACCTAAACAGAAGAAGTAATGCTCAAACACTCTTTAATATTATTTCTCATAAACTTGTTAGTTTTTTAAGTAAAATTTTATTTTGTTTTCTTTTACTATTGCGTAATATAACTGAGTGGAAGGAATTGATTATTGGCAGGTTTTTCAGTGAGACGTAAAATCGTTTATTTTAAAACTTTCCAGATTTTTTTGCAAACAGTAAGCAGCATCGAGAAGGAGTTAGTCTTAATTAGTGACAAAATAAAAAAGAAGTATAAATTTTTTAATGACAGTGCAATTTTATGTTGCTAATAGTAACTGATCTATTCCATAAATTTTCATGTTCCAAGCTGCAGGTCTAATTTAACTGCTAAAAATTGCTGACTGGTAATGAAATTGGAATACTGTCTTTAAGGCAATAAAAATGGGATAGTTAGACTGTTTTTAAACTACTGCGCTTTTTTTTCTGTAGGAATTGAATTGCTATTTTTCTACGTGAATTGCAGTATACTTTTATTTCCATATTTGTAAACATTAATGATCTCCATTTCTTCACTCTTTCTACTAAAAATTTTTGGATGTGAAGACTACCGGAAAAGCAATGCATGAAGAACAATTTTGATTTCATTTATATATAAAAGATCGTATAAAAAGCATAGGAACTGTGAATTGTTTTCGAAAAATTGCGTTACTTTCACATCTTTCTCTGAAATACTACGTAACTTTCTATTATTTCATCATAATATTTTTCAACTGCTTCGGATTGATGTTGGGTTCATTCTGTACCTCTATGTATCATATGTGACTGCCTTTCGAAATCTAAATATGAGGGTGAAATGTATTGCATTAAGAACATTTTCAACTGTCAGGAAAAACAACGTGTTGAAAAGATGTGCGCACTTGATTTAATAAGATTTTAAGTTGCGGATGTTAATTTGCAATCAACAAATTCTCTATGTTCGATTTGTCGCCACTCCTTTGTCAAATCTATTGGAGAAATTTATTTACTGGTCCTGGCGTTGATTCATCTTCGTGAACTTCGTTACTGTGCCTTCCTTTGTAAATTGCTTGCAAATTAACTATTTGACCTCGGAAATATCAATTTGTTGAATTTCATAAAAACTTACTCCGGAGAGTTGTGACGCTGAAATCTGGTGATATGCTAATTGGCACGGAGATTTTGCACATACGCTAGTTGATAACAAGAATTCTAATTGAAAACTTCGAAAAAGTTTTGCCTTTTTGAAATTCATTTTGATTTGGGTCTGATTTCAAGAAAAAAGTTCTTGAGTGTGATTTATGACACAAACCTAGAATTTCAGTTCTTAAAGAATTTGGATCTTAAAAAGATATGGATATACCAAATTTTTGATCTTTGAAAACAACGTAAATTTTGTCAAGGTACAAAACAGCAAGAAATTGTTAAAGATAGTAGTTAAATACCATAAATTAACAGAATGCCAAAATTCGGAACATGTGTGATGGTCTGCCAGGTTAGTCATAAAAAAAATTACAAGTAAGTTGAAAAAACGTTTTTTGTATCATAATTCAAAATAAGTTTTTGCACAAAATAATGAGTTCTGACGATTTCAATAAAGTGCTTTCTTTGTGCTTGTGCAGAGCAAACAACTCATTTTGATAACATGTCTCATCTTAAGAGGGAAAATTGAGGAGAATCCAATTTTTCTATTCACTTTTTGTGAACTTGTTCAGGCCGTCGAATTTTCGAGAACTGAATTTTTCTGAAATATTTCAATTTCCATCAAGCAGGAAAAAGGAAAAGTGGTTTTGATGTTCCTAGAAGAGTATATTTTAGTTTAGAGTACTAGATTTTCTAATATTTCCACTGCAGAGAAAGAATTACTTGTTATCGATCCTTCATCAGTTTTCATCAGCTACTACTTCAATTCATAAGACTTGCATAACACCGCTGGAATAAATTTGGTCTTAAATTTCTTCCGAACAATTAGTGATAAAATTCTTACAGTCTGCTTGAATATTTGGTATGAATAAGCAATATAAATGTAATTTTAAGCCAACTTCTGAATTCCAAATTAAATTAACTTATAAAAAATGATTGGTTTCTTTTAGTTGCAAATAGTTATATAAGTTGTAAAGATATCTTTATAAAGCAATTAATTGCTAAAAGTTTCTTAATCAGCCATTTCTCTGGATAGATAATGAAATTCTACTTCGCGTTCCCAATGAAACGTAGTACTACAGCACAAAACTTATTACGACTTTATCATAGATTCGAAACTAATTAAAATTGGATCGATTGGTTAAATTAAGAAAATCAAATTAATTAGATTGAAGTATGAAGTGCAAATATGGAGGATATTATCCAGGATGACAAACAAAGCGGACAATAATACTAGGATGAAAACTGAAATGAATAGATGATTTTATTTATTGTTTTTTTTTTTTGTGAATCTGTGAACCTATCTTCATAATCTTAGATGTAAGACCTATTTAAAGTATATAACAAGGGAAGCATTATTTTCTCTGGTTTTTATTAGATTAGGCTTCAATTACTTTCTTAGCAAGTTCCAAGATTTTCTGCCATGATATGACGAATTGGAGAAAAGTTGGAGGTAAAATGGATATTTCCCTACATATTATGCTAATTATGCATAGGGGAGCTTTATTTTATGGTCGATATGTTTCATATCACCTCTTCTGCATATTTATGTATGGACACCCTTTCTTGAATTTTTTTCTGAAATATCAGGGGAAAGGAGGAACACAACTACATCGATTAGACAGAGGTGTGGTCAGTTTCGCTTCAGTGAGGGGAGGAAAGCAATAACAGGTTTCCGGTTAGATATACTAGTCATCCAGTTATAATGCAGTAATCCTGAATACTCATGGGAAATGATCAGTGAGTGATTCAACCGTGAACTAAAATTGGTATGGAGATGAAATTCACAGCATTGCTCTCCCTTAATGTGAAGTGAAATAGCCCAAAATGACACATCTATAGAATTAGGCACTATACACTTCATTCTTCTCTCTGTGTCCACCATTCTGAATGTCACAGGGATATAAATTGAATGTGATCATAATGTCCCCTGTTTAACAACCCACAAATAAACTTGGAGCATTATTATCTGAATATCGTCTGAATATAACCCATTTGCAGTTTTGATTTTTTTGATTTGAAATAAAACTCTGAATCCTTGAATTATCCTAGCAATTCCGCGTTACCAACATCTAATTGATGGAAGCTTGCAACATTCGACTTGTAACATATTTCATACCATGCCTATTAATTTTCTACTATTTTTCAACTAAATTCAAAAAACAATTGTAACAATTCTGGGGATCGAGTTTTCGTAAAGAATTAAATCTGCCTAATCATAATTATCAAATCTTGAATGCAAGCAACATCAACGTCCAAGCTGCAAAGACCAGAAAATGTATCCATTATATTAAACAAAACGGTGGCCTTATAATTTGACTAAAGGTTAAAGGGTATTTTTTACTGTTGAAGCTTATAAAGCAGCACTGCTGACAAGTGAAAATCAAGCAGAGGTCAGAATTTAGAATCCCGAAGGAGTAATGAGTAGGCCATTAAAAATACGGAACATTATCATTGTCATCATCACGTAAAAATATACAAAAATGTAAAGGGTTTAAAAGGATTGCTCATATAACACAATATAAATTGGCATTTTGTTCAAGATTGTTAGTTCTTTAAGCAAGAAAATTCGATTCCTGCTATAAAAATTTTTCTTTGCCTAAATGAGCATCCCTTTCGACAGTCTTAAAACAACGTGAGCTACAAACCACGAACATTCAAAAGTGACCAATAGTACATGCTCATAAAAAATTTAAAGAAAGAAAAACAAGGTTTAAAAATAAATATACCTCGAAAATGCATATATTTTTCTCACACAGTGCAAAAAATATTACAATTAAAACTTATAATAATGTGACAACAGTGAGTAATGAAGTTAGAAGATCACTGTCCATAAATAAACAAAAAGCGACACGCACAGGCAAACCTCGAAATAAAGATGGAATGACCACAGATAGTGTGGTGATCGTTTCATATACACTCAGTGATTCCATTCCCATCAAAATTTCAACAAGGCAGTGTCGACGAATTTTCCTTTACAGTAAATCAGCAAAAATGTCGATGACAAAATCATGAGTATTTTATACCTTAACAGCCAAGCCAAACTTCATTTGTGCTGTCACTTCTTTACTTCATTTGTTAGAATCTGGAAGAGCTCTTTATCAGCCAAACAACCGTCCACAAACTCTTTTAGCGTCAATTCCTAAAATCAAATTTAATTTCTAAATAATCAAATGTTAAGTGCAAATTTAATTTAATAAAATTATTTAATTAGTTAGTTTGGCCTAATACAACCGAAAACGGAAACATAAGGATATGCAGCCGTATCAATAAATGCTATTTTAGACTTTAGACAATAAAAAATAAGTACTGATTAATCTGTTGACCTGTCCTCATATCTAAACTTTACAAATCAGTTTGAAAAAATAAAAAGAAAAAACTAAAGCCCATTTTTAACCATATGTGGAAATAAACAGAAAAATTAATTCTCGATCTGAAGGGAATTAATTCTAGACTTCAGTCTGCTTTCGCAGACCTAAGTGACCTAAGCTAGGATAACAGTAATCTATTAATATCATTCCATATTTCAGAGGAGTCACAGTACTCCAAAGAAGTTGGAAAAGAAAATTATACACATCAAGAATTTATGTCTTAGCTGAATCAGATATGATCAAAAGAGTTTGTATTTCTGAAGGATATAATTGCTATACGATGCAGTACACATAAAAAACGAAATCATCAATGAATATAAAACAGTGAGGAAAGATCGTTTAACGAGGGGCGAAAAAGGAGAGAAGAGGAAGTTAAAATTTTCAAAACAAACTACCTTATCGTTATTGACATCCATTTTCTCGAAAATCATTTTAGCCCGTTTCCGAGGTGAATCATCAGCAGACTTTGTGACTTCTGGTCCTAACATTTCGTAGATTGCCTGAAGAGATAATTTAATTGACAGACTACTGCAGTTCAATAAAAATTGAAATAAAATATGTTCAGTGCTTCAAACGCAGCAATTTCCTCTGTAAATTAGTTGATGGGCTAACAATTCTTAAATTATTGTACTGAAGTTGTTGATCCCTGATTAAGTGTTCACCAAATTTAACAACAATCTTGAAGCTAACGAGTGGAAGGAAAAGCAAAAGAAAAAACTATAAAGCATCAAATAAACGTAATGTTCAATGATATATATATATATAACACATATGAAAAGATGAGAAACATGAATAATTAAGTAAAAATCTTAAAGACCCGACATAATTCGTACTGTAAATTAAGTTTCCAACAGAAAATCCTTTTTAGGGAAAATCCTTTTTAGACTCTCTGTACTAACCTTATAGCGTACAAAATATTACACAGTTTTAGTGAACAATGACCGATGCTGTGAACATTTTGTCATGTTTCAAGACTAAAATAAATTTCACAGGAATTTTCGTGACTCATCACCTCCTTCAATCATATTAATATGGGGAAAATATACAAATTTTACGCCTTTAGCAAATTTTTTGCGAAAAGAAACGCATTGTAATAAATACTACATCAAAAGATAAATTGTGGAATCCTATATTTCTGTCCCATAGTAAAAAAAAATAAGTCCCACGTATTCTGAATAACTAACAATAAAAACATTTAAGTAAAAATCAGAAGCGATTTAATAAATTCGACAATGACTTCGTTCCTTTCTGATATGCAATCCTGTTGAAAGTGTGCGTGACAGACAAGAATTCCACTTGCAAGAGAGGAAACATAAATTAATTCCATACTGTATAATAAAGTCAAATAATACATGTGAGGCAGATTTAACACCACCTGATTCTTAGTTATCATGCATAAATAATCTTTAAAACAAAGAAACGAACCTCTATAATTTTTATCATTTCTTTCTCATCAATAGTACCATTACCATCAATATCATACATCCTGAACGCCCATTCAAGCTTTTGTTCTGGTGTACCCGAACTCGTAACATTTATTGCTAATAAAAATTCTTTGAAATCAATAAAACCACTGTTATCAGTATCAAATGTTCGGAAGACATGCTCACAAAATCCTTCCGCACTTCCAGATGGGAAGAAATCCTTGTAAACTTTGATAAACTGATCCTTCGTCAAATGACCTTTAGGACAATCTTGCTGAAATAATTCTTTGGCAAACCAATAATGATTTAATTTGCAAGTCATATAGAAGAAAGTACTCATATTTTGCATAATTTTTGATCTTTCGTATTAGAATTTATGATGAAAAGCTTAGAGGTAACGATATGTTAAGAATGCAGATTCGCTAGAGATAACCGATGACAGGCAAAAATTCATTGGAAATAACCCTTAATGCGAGGAAGAAAATTGCTGGTGATAACAGCTCTTAGATTATCTCATTTGAAAATATAATTTCGTTATTAAATCTTGCAGGTATATTTACTGATTACAGACAAACGATAAAACTCTAGAAATCAAGTTTATAAAATCATACATCATGTTGTTATAAAAATTAAGCAATCGGAGTAGCTATAACAGTGAATAATAGATTCCTAAGGGCAACTAGGAAAGAAAAAACACTGGCCTTCCACGGTTGTTGTTACAATTCATTAAACCCACAATGAGAGACGAATATTGTTGTAGGGAACATATATATGCTTATCAATCAGTGGAATGTCTCTTCCCAGCTTTGAAATATCTTGCATGTACTCGTTATTTTAGGAACAAAATTTTCTTTTATCGCTCTCCCATATACTAAATTCCCAGGTTACCAGTTCACAAATATCAGAATGAAACCTGATTTAGGAAGAAACTTTCCCTATTTTGACGGGAAAATATTTAAAAACACAATTTCCGTGAAAAAGGCACCATAGGAAAGTACAAATTAATCTTGATTTCCAAGCTCTTATAAATTGATAACTAAGTCCTAAAATCACTGATCTATACCTTTATTTGAAAAGATTCATGCATTTAAAGGATTTATTAATTTCAATGAGAAAGCGGTGAAAATTACATTTTCTCCTTCCTGTATAATAGCAACTTCAAAGATCTCAAGCAGAAAATCTTTATTAGATAACTCAGAATTAGCAATTCATTCATAATAGATTTAGTAAATAATAGATTAATATGAGCATCAGAGATGCTAAAAAAGATCTAGTAGAAGACTGGAACCCTGTGCAATGATGCATTTCCATATGTGAGTTCATTCACCATTCCTTCAATGATCCCATTTGTCATCTGATAAAAGTAAAGTAATACTCCACTGCAAACAGTGTGGCAGAATTTCGAAGAAGGAAGAAAAAGAAAAACTAACCACGAAGCCTTTATACCACTCCTTGATTTGCTCTTCGGTGAAACTCGTGTTCTTTTTCAGGAAGTCAAGATCTTCTTTCGAGAGCTTCGGCTTTGAGCTTTTTATACCCATTTTGGAGGGAAGTGGTAGAATCAGTGGAAGAACAATAATTAATCGACCAATTAGTCGCGATAATGCGGCAAAAAGAAGACAGACCAAATCACAGCAACACTCCCAGCACCGTTCACAAGATCTAGGCGAAAAAGAAATGCTTCATTAGCACCTACAATGGACATCACTGAAATGTAGTCCGTAACGCCAACGAGAAATCCTTAGGGGTTTCCGCGTTTCAAATGGACGAAGGGATAGATGGATGGATGGATGGATGAATACTGCTGGCTAGAGCAATCGCCTTCACTGATGTGCGTGCTGCACTTGATAAAATGACCCATAAACTGATAATGCTTTTATTAGAGAGTGCTGCAGCGTGCTGAGGTAAGCGTGAGATAAGTAGCACTGATTCATTTACTATATCACTGTGTCGTACTACGGACGACGTAAACCAGCAAACGTACGTAAGGGAGAAAAAGAAGAGAGAAGAGATAAAGAAATGAATGATGATGTTACAGATGAGGACAGAAATGCGGAAGGGAAACCTGATGAGGCATTATGTTTCGCCACTGCCTACTGTCGTAGCTTCCTGACTTTAACTTGCAGTTACATGCTTCTCGGCAGGCACATACACGGATGGATCGATGGGTGACAGATGGCAGTCAGCTGGAATAGACTGGCCCAGCCTGCGGTGAAATGGGAGGAGATGGCATTGCTGATTGGCTTTTTGCTCGACGATGGAATGAGGGGCTAATTCCTCGACATACAACCGATCCTCTGCTTGCATGCACGTATAGTATGCAGCAATATGCAGGTATGTGTCACATTAGGGACGATAAGCAGTGATGTATAGATGAAGAGAGTGATGACGGGACACTTGTCTCTTAGAGACCCACCATGAATGGGAATACGCCAGGAACAGAAAAACATGTCAACAAATCAGACTGAGAAGAAATGGCATGTCAGGGGATGTTATGGCTCATCTAATACATACATTCCACTCCCCCGTTTTATGTCTCAGGGGTATTTCCAAGAATTGAATTTACTATCTCATGCTCAATTCTATCTCTACTGAAATTTCTAATCTATCATTATAAATATCTTCAACAAACAAACAGTGACCATTACTGAAAATAGCAAGAACTTCCACTCTTCCACATATTTCAATGATTCAAATTTGAGTCGGTCTCCCTCACCTACAAATCATTCCCATTCCGGCACTCATGTAATATACTCATTTGTGAACTTTACTTTTCCCCAACTCGAACCTTACAATTTCATCAAAAAAGCTTAATTGCCGTATGATTAAAATACATTTAAGTAAGGCTTTTCCAACACAAAAAAAAATAAACCTATATCGGAAAATTACATGATATATACATAATATCGAAAAATTAAAATGCGACTTCAGGTCCGATTAATTGTTGCAGCCTTCCTTTAGTCTTCCTTGAATTTGAATTGGGAACTAAGTAGCCACACTTATCTCTCTCTCCCGAGAACTTTTAAAAAACAGATCTGTGCAGAATAAACATTAACAAAACTGTGCAGAATGGGATGTCAATTTTCACTCGTGAATTTCTTATTCAACTCTCCAGTCTACTTCCTATCTTCGGTTCCCTCATAACTGTTTCTGTTTGATGGGCATGGTGTGACTACCTTGAACATCAGCTGGATTGTCGATGGTCCAAACAAATAGTAACGTGTTAAATAAATAGTCATGATGACTCATCCCTATTTTTTACTCAATTTCAGCCATAAAAATGGAATGGGAGATCTCTGAAAGTTACCGGGCCGCCAAGGAAGCTGCAGTACGCCGCAAGTATGACCAGTCAGCGCTGTTTTTACGTACCGCTCTTTCGCTAGTTGAACGTCGTCTGAATGATATATCAACTGATGATCCACATAGAGACCAACTTATTAAAGTAAGGGATCATTTTTTCAAGGGAAAGAGGAAAGTTCGTGGACTTATGACAGAAAATGTACCTATACATCGCAGTATTGCACTTAGGTTTCGAATGTTTGATGCCGATTATCGATGATCATGTTGTGGCCATTATTTTGTGCTTAATTATTGCGAACAGTTAGTCTTATCTTTTATTAAATTAATAAAATGTTAAAATATATAAGATTACTACTACCTTTCATCTTTTAACGATTAGTATGGTTGGTCTTCATATAACATTCTTTCAGGTAAAATCGATCTTGAAATTGAATGTGGAGCGAATGAGTGGTATTGCGGATGTCGTTTCGCAGATGAGACAAATGGCCGGTGTGATAACATCGTCATCGCCCGTTGACGCACCACCGAGCGATCCTGATGTATGGCCACTGCCGCCTTTAACGAAGAAGATATCGGCCATTCCGAGTCCAAAAAATAGCGCTAAAAAGCAGGCTTATACTCGTGTTGATAATAAAACCAAGAAAGGTTTAGTAGGGAAATCTCCCTTTATCAACTCAGGAGGTCGCAACATCACCAAAAGAGCTAACTCATTAGGACGTGCATCTGTGAATGAACTATCAGAAATAACCTCGAAGGAAGAAGGAGAGAGTAATAGCAACGTAAGAACTATATTTCACTAATTAATAATTAATGACTTAATTCAATCTGTGTGACTCCCGTAATCTTATTGATGATTTGATTTTAAAATCGTGGCTTTATTCAGGAACTAAGTGCATTTCTGTGGAAATTGTTTCCCTTATGTTTTTAGGAAAAGGGAGGAAGTGAGAAAGTGTTTGATGACAGAGGATTCGACAAGGAATTGGTAGAAATTATTGAACGTGATATTATGCAGAAACGTCCTGATGTTCACTGGGATGATATTGCTGGTCTCGATGAAGCCAAGAAACTTTTGAAAGAGGCAGTCATCTTACCGTCAGTTATGCCGAATTTCTTCAAGGTTTTATTTTGTTCCTTCAGTAACACTGCTTGAAAAGAAATTCAAGTTCAGAAATCTGTTTTTAGGGTATTCGGCGTCCCTGGCGAGGTGTTTGTATGGTTGGTCCGCCAGGAACAGGTAAAACTATGCTCGCAAAAGCTGTTGCAACAGAAAGTCAAACGACATTTTTCTGTGTGTCATCTGCAACATTAACTTCAAAATATCGTGGAGATTCTGAAAAGCTTGTGCAGCTTCTTTTCAAAATGGTAAGTCCTGTTGTTGATCTACATTATCAATTTGGACATGATTATTTCATTTTTTTAAATTATTTTCATTTCCAGGCTCGTTTTTATGCCCCATCAACGATATTCATCGATGAAATAGACAGTTTGTGTAGCAGACGAGGTGCTGATAGCGAACACGAGGCATCACGCCGAGTTAAGTCAGAACTGTTAACACAGATGGATGGTAATGTATTTTTTTCAAAAAAAAAGCATTCATTCCTGCATGACACATTCATTCCTCATGTAATCCAATTATGTTGTTTTCTGATTTGTGACCCATGGTCATATATTTACCAAATCGATTTAAAAATACCTGGTAATTTTGCTTGTTACTAGTTAGGTGCTATAGAAACTCCCTTCTTAGGTTGTTCACCAGATGTTTCACGAGTTCTTGTGCTGGCTGCTACAAATTTTCCTTGGGACCTGGATGAAGCTCTAAGAAGACGTCTTGAGAAACGAATATATATTCCACTACCAGATAAAACTAATAGATTTCAACTGTTAAAGTTGGCTCTAGCTGAAGTTTCAATCGATGAAGAAGTTAATTTAGAAATTGTAAGTTTTTGTTTAAAGTTATTGAATGAATATTTTAATAAAGCGAAAAATGGGGTAGCCTGACCTCGAAAACATTGCATGACTCAACCATAAGCTCTCTGAAGGCTTCACTCAATTGCTTTTCTCTCAAATTTTCTGAAGGAGTTAAGCAAAGCACTTGTTTTAGGTGGCTGATTCGCTTGATGGTTATTCGGGAGCGGACATAACAAATGTTTGTCGTGAAGCAGCAATGATGAGTATGCGTGTACGTATTGCCAATCTGACAGCTGAAGAGATTAAAGCATTAACGCAAGAAGAGGTTGATTTGCCAATTACTGCAAATGATTTTTCTCAAGCAATACAAAATACATCACCATCGGTTTCCTACTCTGATGTGCAGAAGTATGAGAAATGGATACATGATTTTGGTGCGGCATGAAAGCTTCATATAGTAGATTAAAGTGAAGCTTGTTATCGGAACATGAAAATATTTAACTTATTTAAAAAAAAAAAGAAAAAAAAACTGTAATGAATTAAATGCTTCTAGTTCTAACTGTATCGTTTCTGTTTTTATATCTTTTTGTACTATATGTTTTGTGCCATTTTTGATTCATTTTTGATTTTCTCATTTTTGGAAATAAGTACTAGTGTTGTAACTTGTATAAATGTTGTTGAAATGTATGTTATTTCTCCAGAAAATAATGCTCATTAAGATTTGGGAATGTCTTTTCACGTTTTATGTTTGGTACTGCGATAAAGTGTTCTTAGGTTACTTATTTTCGTCATTTTTTTGATTGTCATTGGCGCACTCAGTGTTTGGCAATAAATGACAATAAACTTTATCATGGACGTTTTATTAATTTCAAATTATGCAGATTATATTCGTCTTCTGTCTGCTCTTTTTGTAAGCTTTCGGTCTGATGGTGTGAACTGCTTTTGTAAGCTCTCTGTGGACTTTTTCTTTTTCAGCATAATTTTACTTTTTACTCATAGTGCTGGTGTATGGAAATGGAAATTCCTAGCTCCAGTCAGTCAGGTTTGCTTTGATACTGGTTTCGTTGTATTTCCTCTGGAACAATTTTTGTCTAACTCGTATATCTCCAGCTCTAAAGTTAGGAATACATGAATTAATTTCGCTCTGGAATTACCAACGTTGTACAGATACGGATATCTTATAGGAGCGTTACTAAATTCAAGATTGATTATCAACCGGAAACGTCAAGAAGGAAATCCAGTTCTGAAGTATATACGCAATGTGCCGTTCGAATGGGCTGAAATAAAAGTTTCTTTTTCTGTTGTTTTGCTAATGAGTGAAGTATAGACTTTTTGACTGTTTTAATCAAAAGTTCAAATTCCAGGCTGATTTTGAAGCTGGTAAAGAAATGGGCATTTTGTACCTCAGTTTAAAATGGCATAAGCTTCACCCGAATTATATAGAAACTCGCATAAACAGTGATGGTGCTGGGTATGCAATAAAGGTATGATCCAAAGGAACATTGATTAGCAGTATTATTTTTTTGCTATTTTTTGTTACGAGGATATTACAAGATATTCATCTTTTATTTAAATTAAACCTTCAATACAAACTGGAATTGCAAGTGATCAATCAATTTTCACGAAGTTCGTGACTATATAATTTAGGACATGAGTTTTTTCAGATCTTATTAGTGCTTGTGAATGTGGAACCACGTCATATTTTACGCGAACTAAATCTCTTTTGTTATCGAACCGGTTGGACGCTTATGCTCTGTTATTCCGCTGAAGAAGCTGCAGAATACTTGGAAAATTTACATATTTCGAGGAACAGGAATGAACAAAGCGCTATTAATGCAATGCAAGAACGAAAAAAAAAACGGCTTTGCTTGCCAGATGAAGACAATGAATTTCATCAGGTAATTCATCAATCTATATTTAAGATGTTGCTGCTGTAAAATTGTTGTAGAGTTTAGCAACAGTACGAACCATGTCAACAAACTAGTTTTTTATCTTTCTTCTTTGTACTTGCATAGTGTCCTACATGTTTCGAGTAAACGCTCTGCTTTAATTATATAGCACTTAAAATATCATATTGCTCAAAGCTTCGGTATTGAAAATGAGGATCTACCTGCTTTCTGAACTTTTTTGAAGATCATTGTCTCACTTTTTAGGCGGTCAAATTCCTTACTGTTATTCGGTCATTGACAGTATCTGATGCTCAGCGTTTGATTGCTACGTTTGGTAGTATCCGGAAAATAGCGAATGCGGATATTGATAGGCTACTGTTATGTCCTGGCTTAGGTCCTACAAAAGCAGGAAATATACATGCATTCTTTCGGTCATCTTTTCAGAAGGCTTAAAGCCGAGCTTTTTCACTTGTTATGTAAATTATTGAATTAAATTATATAAAAGTTGAACTTATAATTTAGTATGTTACAGTGTAGCATTTATAGCTGAAAAGGGTACTATTTCTTTCATGCATTACAATCAGATAATGTGTATTGTATTTATAGAGGAAGTTTGAAAATGTAGTACAGTAGAAATTTCACATTCGATTTTGTTTTCTGCTTCGTGCTAGGACAATTAAGATTTATGTAATTGTTATTAAATGTCAAAGTGTCAAATGAATTTCGATAATGGCTTTTTGTGCTACTTTTTTAATCCGTTTAGCAACGGTTTCTTTTTCAGATAATTTTAAAAAAAACTTTGTTTGAAATGTAACAGATAACTATATAAAATTTTCATCTTACTTAATTTGTTTTTATTTCTAACTCCTTTTGGAAGATTATATATATGGCTTTACTTTTATTTGAAAATTGTTCTTGACTGCTATGGAGATCATTTTTTTCTAGCTTCCGCTTTTTTAAAAGTGTTGCATAAGCTATTTTGACTACCAAAAACGATGAATGATGTCCCTGAAAATGCGAACGAAGATTGCCCCGGCGCAACATCCGCAGATGCAGGGAAGGTGATTCATGGTTTTGCTTCATTCTTTAGCTTTTCAATAGGATACACAGTGACTTCCTTGCTTCACTTTTTTTTTTTTTTAATGTTAGCATGTTGACATTCTTATATTCACATTATTTCATTACTCGTTTCTTTTCTCCAGTTAATTTGATGAAAATTCTCCAAATTTCGACCAATTGAACTTTTTTTTCAGATAATAAGCCTAATTTCTATAAATAAATTTTCGCTGCTTAGCAGTCTCATATGGAACATAATTTTGAAATTTCTAATAATTTATTTGCAATTATTTGTGAGAGTTGCAGGCTTTTTCTTGTACTGGCTGTCCGAACCAGACACTGTGTGCGTCTGGTGAAATAAGAAGACCAGATAGTGATCTTTTGGCAGTTACAGATCGTTTAAAAAATGTTAGACACAAGATCCTAATACTTTCTGGAAAGGGTGGTGTTGGAAAAAGTGCTGTAGCTGCTAATTTGGCTAGAGCTCTGGCAGTGAACGATAAAATACAGGTAGCAGTGTAATCTTAAAATGAAATCAACTTTTTTTTCTTTTTTTTTTTTTTTTTTTGATGTTGGTTTGTGCCGATGCAGACAGTTGTTGTTATCAAAGTACTTTAATAAGTAGGTCTTGATGTTTGCACTTATTTTTGTCTGTAGAGGAAGTTCAAAAAATCAAACGTAATCGTTGTAGAACATCGCATGTGGTTTATATTTTTATACTTTCAATAATTTAAACTTCAAATCTCTCAAGGTTGGACTTTTGGATATAGACATTTGCGGACCATCACAAGCGCGGATGCTGGGCGTTGAACAAGAAAGCGTTCATGAGAGTGGTGATGGTTGGTGTCCTATTGTTGTAAAAGATAATCTTATAGTAATGAGCATTGCATTCTTATTGCAAAATAGATCCGAAGCAGTTATTTGGCGAGGAGCGCGGAAAAATGCTTTGATAAAGCAATTTTTAAAGGTTAACTTCTTGTTCATGTCTTCATCTAAAAATTATTCTTTATGGTGCAGTATCATCACTCAATTCAGATTTAGGAAACTTCAGTTTAGAAAAAAGTCAATTCAGCATAGAAGAGAAATGTGTACCTTAGGTTTGCATATCTAGTTTTGATTTTTCAGAATTTTAGGACAATGAAAAGTCAGTCTTGTCGTGATTTTTTCTGGAGTTAATGATGTATGATTCCAAAAACAATAAGGCTTTTTTTTTTCAAATGTAATTAATCTGATCATGAAGTATGTTCATTCCTTCGTGAAAAGTTTATATTCAGAACAAAATATTTTCTTTCACTGGACAGGAAACGAGTACCGCCGTGTCATGATATTTAAATTTAGGATGTAGACTGGGGAACTTTGGATTACTTGTTGATCGATACACCTCCCGGCACCTCGGACGAGCATATCTCCATTGTTCAATTTCTTCTACAAGCAGGTTCTGTAGATGGTGCGATTATAGTAACCACACCTCAAGAAATATCATTACTTGATGTCCGCAAAGAAGTTTGTGTTTTCCTTATCTTTGATATTATATTTTCTGCACAAAATTTATTCGACATGTTTGTATGTTTGCGATTATTTGAAACCATATTTTTTCATTTTTTAGATTAATTTCTGTCGGAGAACAAAAATTAATATATTGGGAATAGTCGAAAACATGTCTTCATTCATTTGTCCCTGTTGTTCGAACGTTTCACAACTTTTTCCACGCACAACTGGTGGTGCAGAAATGATGTGCAATGAATTATCAGTCCCTTTACTTGCTTTATTACCTTTCGATAGCCACATGGCTAAGTGTGCTGATTCAGGAGAGGATTACTTTGAAAAATATCACAATTCTGCTCTAGCTAAAGAATTTGAAAAACTTGCGCAACTCATCTCTAAATGACGATTAAGATATTTTACGCAAACACTGGAAATGAATATGAATTTTTCATTAAAAGTCGTTATTGAAAGAAAAGTTAGGGAACTGCGTTTCCGATTCTGATCAGGGACATGTTGTCTGTCGCGTTTAATTTGTTTTTTATTTTTGCGATGTTGTAAGATGTGGCATAAAATTTTCATTCTGTTCATTTCTAATTTTTATGAGCAGACAAAGTGCTTAATTCAAATATAGGTTAGCTTTACTTGAATTTCATGGGTTTATTTTAAACCGAAACGAATCAAAGAGTTTAAAATTTAAGGAATCTATTTGGGAAATACTTTGAACTTGAATTATAAAATGTGCACTGCACATGATGTAGTTTACTATTGCATATTACGGTTTTTATAATGTTAGTACTCATTAATACATTTTGTGGACGTATTTTTGTAAGCATCATTACGCTTGGATTGGGATTGAAATACTTGAGTTGTACTCTCACAATACTTTCAGATTTGATGAAACGAGTTGTGATAACAGGTATAGGTATTGTAAGTCCATTTGGTGTTGGTAAAAGACTTCTCTTTGACAATTTATTAGCTAACAATGTTGCACTTCGAAGTGATGAAAAGCTTAGAATAATTGTGGGACGAATTCCGGAATGTGGGAAATATGGTCTTGACTTGAGTCTGTGGACTCCTCGAGAGTTGAAACAAATGAGCAGAGGTAATTCTTATTGGTATTTCCCACTGGTCCGTATAGTGAGGTCATGCATTTTCAAAAATTGTTGGTTAGAACTCATTTTTAGCCGGTTGTGGCTTAGAATTTCTTATCTGCTTTATGTTAATTTTACAAACGATTTACTTTATTCTAGGTAGTGTGATAGCGATAGTTGCAGCAGAAGAGGCGGTGAAAGATGCTGGTTTAAAGGGATATCACATGGAAGAAACTGGTGTTAATATTGGGATGGGGATAGCTGATCTGGAGGTAATTTATGAAGTTGGTAAACAAATTGCAGAAGATAAAGGACGTCGAGTAACACCTTTTTTTATACCACGTATACTGACCAACATGCCAGCAGGGCATGTAAGTATCAAGTAGGTTCATGAAATTGTTTTTTCTAAAACAATACTATTAAATTTGATTCTTTGACTTCAGTAACTTATAACTCTCGTGGAAATGGCTCATTATTTTACCTTGTGCAAAAAAACATTCATAACATTCATTTACAGATTTGGTATGCGTGGACCGCAATTAAGCTCCTGTACTGCGTGCGCAACAGGTTTGCATAGTGTTGGTGATTCAGCCACATTCATTAGGATGGGTCGAGCAAAACGCATGCTTGCAGGTTCTACCGAAGCATGCATCAATAATATAGCAATAACAGGATTCAGTCAGATGAGGTTTCCATTTTACTCTATTGACTATATCTGATTAACCTATTCAAATTCTCCCCTTGCGCCGATGTTTGTTGCATATATATAGTAGTGCATATATATACTCATATGCAAGTGCTTGAAAACATGTCATCTTTTTTCATATTTTCGTGCTGTTTTTTCTTTACTGAGATCTTTAATTGTGGTCTTATAGCAGTACTGCTTTCTTTCCTGTTTCGAAATAAATTTGTTAAGTGGATTTTGGTGTTTTTGCTAAAATTTAGAGCATTAACTATGACTTGTTCACGGCCATTTGACAAACGGCGTGATGGATTCGTGTTGAGTGAAGGTGCTGCAATTTTGGTTTTGGAAGAAATGGAAGAAGCATTTAAACGGAAAGCGAATATCTATGCTGAAATTATAGGATACGGTGAGCTATTTTTTAGTTAATAAATTAAGGATTAAATTGCATTGCAACAACCTTTTGAACAACCGTGATTTACATTTTGCTATGATAATGAACCTCTTGAAATCATTCATAATCAAAATGAGATTCATCTGGAAAAACGTCATATGTTGACCAACATGTGAGAAGATATGAGACCTGCTGATTTTTTAACGTTCAAGGTGTCGCGAGCGATGCTTATCATCTAACGACCCCATCAGAAGATGGGATCGGAGCTTTCCTAAGTATGGAACGATGCTTGGCTGACTCATGTATCAATTCAGAGCAAGTTACTTACGTGAATGCCCACGCAACTTCAACAGTACTTGGTGATCATTCCGAATCACGAGCTATTGCTCGTCTTTTACCTGGCGTTTCAGTTTCGTCAATTAAAGATTGGTTACACTTCTTATTATTGAACTTCACTGAATTTATATGCATAGATTTACTGCAGATATGAAACCTTTAAATGTTACTTTAAAATATCAAGACAAGATGGAAACAAATTTCGTAAATGTATTTCATAAACATTTCCATTATCTCTGAAATGAATTTTAAAGAGTTTTATAGTGGTAAATTTCACTGTTCTGTCGACTGAATTTGCACATTACAGGTCATATAGGTCACACTCTCGCCGCAGCTGGTGCTATTGAAACCGCTATCACAGCAATGTGTATTGAAGAAGGAAAATTAGTGGGAAATGCTAAACTGGAAGAAAGCGATATCAAAGAAAATTTACACTTCCTTAAAAAATCAGAAAGGTGGGATAAGGAACGAGTGGCCTTGGTGAACTCTTTTGGTTTTGGTGGGTCACATGCTACTTTGTGCCTATCATCAGTGGAAAATTCTTACTAGTAATTATGAGTATTAAGAAGTTTTGAAATTAGTGCATTGAAATGTTGCGTTTTATTATTTCGAAATTCATTCTGACTTGCGATTTAATGGTCCTGCAGTTTGACCGAGTAGAAAAGTAATATTTTTTTGCCTTACATAATGTGTCAGAGTGTCCGGTCTCAGGGGACCAAACTAAAGCAGTTTTTCACTTTGCATTGCATTTTTCGAAAGAAATTCATTCGAAGCAAAACACTGTAGATAAGTAGCTTCTAGGTAATCCATTAGTGAAGATAATTGAGCGTTTTCTTATCTATTACAGCATTTAAACCGAACAATTTAAGCTGCGAAATAAGGAAAGAAAATTATAGCTTCCCTACTATTGATGTAACTGTGATGACTCTTTGTACACAGAGAAAAAGATGCGGACTGATGGCAAACATGGTCACCTTTATTTTTGGAATTTGGTTCTGAAAAAAATTAGTGTCAGAAACGGTTTAATTTCCTAGCTTTAAAATGACTTTGAAAATTTTTATGGAAAATATTTTCATTATTTAATTTTTAAATCAATCATTCTGATAAAAAGATTTACCAGTAGTTCGATAAATAATAAGAGTGACTCCTCATTTTGATTACAGACAACTCGTTGTCATGATTCATGAAACCATAAATGTACGTGCATATATACTCAGATAAGATTAAGGATATAAATTTATACGAACAGTAGGTTATGTTTAAAACAGTTTATCATTGACCCAATATTAGTTTAATGTTCACCATCCAATTCGTGTTAACAGTCCTACCCAAGTATTAAAAATCATTTATAGTATCATATGCCTTAAGAACAATTTCCTTTTAAGATATTTCGTTATTTTCTTATGTTTGCTTTGGATTTAAAAATGAATTGCAGATTTTAAAATTGCCATAATAGCCGCTGTGCTCTTACCATATTTATTAACAGCAGGTGCATATATGCTCGGAGATTTTGGAATCACATTAAATTACAGTGACCATTGATTGTTTTTCCATCAAATACAGCAGCGGTCGTTGAATATATTTGTTTCATTTGAAATGTTAGGAGTAATAATAATCACGGAAATATAATACACATTTTTTCCTAAATTTCCCAGTTTGCATTTCATACCGACAACTGATGCCATTCAGCAATCTGTCGTCGTGGATTACTCCGTACCTGAAGCCAGTGCTTATCATTGGGTCCAATAAAACATTTACCCATCACCTGAAAAGAAAGTCTCAAATCAAACATGTAGTTTGATCTAACTTCAATTACAAAAAGAAAAAGATTAAAGACATGTTTGTTTCATATGCAGGATTTATTGATTTATAAATAATATACACTGTAATCTGATATTAAAAAGTAGAAGAATCCAAAGCTATCAACAATCTACACCTTGAAATTATGCATTCTTTCATCAGTAATTTGAGTCACACTGTCGAAACAGAGTTTAAGATACCTCGTTTTTTGTCAGACGATCCCAGTCCATAACCACAATTTCAAATTTAATATTATCCAAATCTTGTTCTTCGCTAGACGGGAACTCGAAAACAAACGATTCATTGTAAACCGGTGATAGCGTACATTTTTTTACATGACTTTTCCTCTTAGAAATTCGCTGCTCTTTATACAGTAAATAAATTTTAACGTATGGGTCTGAAATTTAAATAAAGAAGGTAAGAAATTTTAAATAAATGTTATGAAGCTAAAAGTGAACTAGATAGCAAATGATTCGAGGATTAAGAAATAGTAAGGAATATTTCGAATTACGTAAATTTATGGTATAATATGCAATATGTTAGAAGAAGGAATATTGCCAGTCTTCAAAAATTGATAATAGTCAAGAAATAAGTGGATATATGAATAAGTAAAAAGTAACCTGAATAAATAAACTATCAAAAAAATTGTTTAAGAACTGAGCTTACCAGCCATTCCACTGACATCCAATTTTGGCAAACCTTTTACTTTAAGCAATACAACCGTAATTCTATGTGTAGTTGGCTGATAGCACAATGACAACAGTACTTGTCCCCGATTATCATTATTTGCGTCTTTTCCACGACCTTCTAGTTTCAATTCTACGGTGATAATCTCACTGTTCAACAAATTTGCATCTTTTAGTGAATATACTGCTTCACCTAACAGTGTATCTCGACTGTAACGATCAAATGCAATCACCTAAAATGTGTCATAAATTTGGAAAAAGTATGGAGGAAAAGTGTTTGTCATAAAGATGGCAAGTAAATCAAAGCAAGCCAGTAAAACAGCTATTCATGAAAAATGATCAATTCCAAGAAAAAGTAAAGCCTACTGATTGTTTCGTAACACTAACCTTAATGTTTTTAAATTAATGAAAGTCTTCCTTACCGCAAAATGTATACTGGTTGTAGCGAGTTGTAATGCATCCAACCCATACATGGAAAATGTTTCATCATACTGCGGATTTCTGGATGCACGAACAAGACGAGTCTTAACATGATGTTCTTTCTCGGGTAATAACTGAAGTTTGACATATGGTTCTAGAAGACACTGACCACCGGATGCCACTACTAATTCTGGTAAATCCCGACAACATATTATATTAACCTGTAAGCAGCTTGAATTACTTGAATAAGACTCATTTAATAGAATATATTGGAAAATATAGAGACATTCTTCAACCAATATTTTCTCAAGTGCATCATCTCATTAATGAAGTTTAAAGACATTTATTTATGTTTGACGCCTAGTGATCTTCAGTTCTCTATAACTGAGAACAAATGGCCAGTCAATATGTTTGTCCTGCACTAGGCCATAAATCATACTAGTCTCAGCTATTTACCTGTAATGTTGAATTCTCAATGGTATAATGAAGGGTGAAGTTGATAAATCCTCGATCTGGTCCCAGTTCAGAAGAAGACAAACGACTCAACGGCTGTGATGGAATAATGGATGATTGAGTTGTTGGTATGACAGGACTAGATATCGAGCTATCAGAGGAAAACGGTGACGAGAGCGATGACGGCGAGTTTTTCAGACCTCTCGGACTCTTTTCACTCTCATATTTTAAGGCAACAGCAATGCGCTGTTCAATTAAAACATTACGTCTCTTAAAACTTGCGTATCGTTGCCGTCGAAGGATGCATACCGACAAAATTGCTAAGTATACAAAGCCAGCTCCACCGATTATTAAATACAGAATCACATCTATAATAAGTATATTGGTGAAGAAAAATGAGAGATCACTATTGTTATATTAAGCTTAACAATTTGATGGATAAATCAATAAGCGTTGTGCAATTAAATATGAATGGAAATTAATCACTTTTTTCACTATTTAATATGTTATTTATAATTTTTTATTCATCTTTTATCATATTATTCATAGTTTTTGATAGCGTTCGTAATCTTTATTCAGTAAGACGAAAAAGAATTGTCTTTTCTTTGTCTGTTCTTATCCATTTTCTTTACCCAAATTTGTAAATTCGATAAAGCAAACAAAATTGAAAATTGCCAAAAGAGAATATTCTTTCCACTTTGTGAAGTCTTAATTGAGATTTAGATGAATATTTTTCTTGGAAGTGCATAAAATTCATGATAAGTTAGACGGGTTCAAACATCCCTGTCTCTTACATGTTCATTAGTTACTGTAATCTTAAAACACTTCTGTGACATATGATTGAATGATAGATAATGAGAGAGTTGTTTGTATCTTTCAACTGTTGAGTAGAAATTATAAATTGTAATTTTATACTAATATCAAAATGATATTAGTATAACAGAATATGTTTCCATGTTTTGTATTTTTAAATACCTGATTTGTTAAGTATTCTTTCCTTTTCAAAAAAGTAACTTACTGGAAGAAAAGTAGAAAGCAGTTGACGGCTTGACTACGACCATCCCACAACCACAAGAGAGGCCCAACAAGACAGAAGAGGCCTTTGTTTCATCCTCTTGAATCCTCTCTGCTAGGCCCAGAGGCTGTATTGATTTTGCAATCAATCCTGTGCATTCCCTAGCCTGAAATGACGTCATTTTAAAAAGTCCACACACCCATCCAGTTTTACCTTCACAAATTCCCAAGGTAACAGTATGCTGCAAATCGAAAGTACATTTAAAATTAAAAACTACTTATCTAAATGTCACCTCCATAACACATAAATGAAACCTTTACAGTTTCTAATATAGAACTTCAAACACTACTAATTTTGATTTTTTTTTTTTTTTTTTATTTGATTTGTTACGAGCTGTCGGTGAAAGCAAAAAAGCCTGCTAAGTTGAAATGTAAACTGCTTGAAATGTTAATTTCTAAGTTGAATAATTGGTATGAATTATCAATTTCTAAGTTGAATAATTGGTATGAATTATCAATTTCTAAGTTGAATAATTGGTATGAATTATCAATTTCTAAGTTGAATAATTGGTATGAATTATCAATTTCTAAGTTGAATAATTGGTATGAATTATCAATTTCTAAGTTGAATAATTGGTATGAATTATCAATTTCTAAGTTGAATAATTGGTATGAATTATCAATTTCTAAGTTGAATAATTGGTATGAATTATCAATTTCTAAGTTGAATAATTGGTATGAATTATCAATTTCTAAGTTGAATAATTGGTATGAATTATCAATTTCTAAGTTGAATAATTGGTATGAATTATCAATTTCTAAGTTGAATAATTGGTATGAATTATCAATTTCTAAGTTGAATAATTGGTATGAATTATCAATTTCTAAGTTGAATAATTGGTATGAATTATCAATTTCTAAGTTGAATAATTGGTATGAATTATCAATTTCTAAGTTGAATAATTGGTATGAATTATCAATTTCTAAGTTGAATAATTGGTATGAATTATCAATTTCTAAGTTGAATAATTGGTATGAATTATCTCCGTCTTTGTCCTTTTGTAAACTTTCATGGCAAAACTCAGCAGTAGAAATGGAAATATATGAGAGAGGGAGAAAACTAGATTTCTACACTGTTCTCACTAACAAAGACTTGCATCAAGATCACTCTTCTCCTTTAATTGTTAACCAATGAGTTAATCAAAACTGTGATTGAATGTTTGACAAAAAGTAGTAAAAAGGTTAATGAGTGAGTTGTGAGTTACGCTTTCGCAAAACCACTTCTAAACTATCTACTCATATTTCAAATGATCAAACAAATAATTTTGAGACAATGAAAAAAGGCTCTGACATTAAATACTCCTCTTGCCGATTGATTTCAATTTTAAAATTTTTTCTTTATTTCTATCGAATATCTTCAAGCGAAAGCAGCATAAATTTTGCTCATTGTCCAACCAAAGTTGCTCATACAGTTTGAAATGTTTTTTGGAGGATGACCAAAAAAGATATTTCATTTGCCAGTGCAACTTCAAATCCTCCATACATTTTGCTGGTATTCTTTTGTGGTGATTCAGCGAGGATACATTAAAGAGTAGTGTTCTATAGCTTTAAAGACATGATTCTTTGTATCAATTTTTATCCAGCAAATTCATCTCAATTTAGATGGAAATATTTGTGAAATGTATTTCAAATGAATCATCAGATATCTATGTACGTTTATCAATAATCCAATCAACACAACAATATGTTAAAACAAAAATGGAAGGATTATTCTACAAAAATGGTTTTTCTAATAGCTGCAGGATCAAATTTCCAAACCCTAAATTTAGAAAATTGCAGCAAAGAACAAATGGTAAGGCAGTGCAGCGTGAGCAGTTTAAATGCATACTTCGTTTCTTGAATTAAAACTTGTAGCAAATCTGAAATCAAATTCCACCAATAACGTTAAGACGCTGTTACAGTATTAAAATTTATATTTCAATGGATCATGGATATTATCCTATCTTCACCGTTATTCAGTACTGCTATTATTCCATACCGAGCAATAACTGGCTTGGTATAGAAATAATTTGATCAGATCTGTTGATCAATAACTGAAATATCTTCATCTGTAAAAAAAGCCTATTCAGCATAACTTCCTGTAGTTAATATTACATTATGCACTACACTTCTTAAAATCTCACAATACCTCTCGACATCATATACGTGCGCTAGTGATAAATAAGACGAAGAAAATACATCATCAATTAATTTTGAAAATTTTAAAAACCTTATTCGGAGAAAAACGGTTAGTTTTTACATTGGTTTTTGGAGTTCATAAAGTTAACATTATAGTCAATCATTCATCTTCATCCACTTAAAAAGTCTCAACTTTACAGTCACTAAGATCGAAAAAAACGAAAAAACATCGAAAAAAAAAACCTAAAAGCTATCAGTTCTACGACTGTGTCTGCCCTATTTATCCTGTAGACCTCGTAGATAACAGAGTCGCGAATTGTTGCATGACAAAACAATTCTCAATCAGCTAATATAAATAAACAGAGATACACTAATAAAAAGTAATCAATTGTACCAAACATGAAAACAACCACACTGCATTATTTGAATGGACAAACTGTGTTCAAATCTACAATACATTACAGGACAACAATAATTTAATAATTGCAAGGAAGACACTTGACAAAACTGTAACTATTCAACAAGAATATATGCATAAATTTCAGTTTTTTCAAACTACACATTAGTTAGCAGTGACTAATTAGCATGTATTTTTAAAACATAGCAATCTTTAAAACGGTAACAAGATCACCTCAGACTTTTCTCACAGACCTTTCAGTCTGTACCTCAAGCACATTCTCTCTCACTCCTTATAATATATAAAACAATAGCAATCATAAATCCGCAAAAAGACACAAATAAGCTGGAGTTTGAGATTTAATTTAAAATGTCGACACATCTGACTTAAAGTAGTTTTTTTCTTCAAAATTTCCTATTGAATGAAACTATATTTCTTAACAAACCTTTCGTTGAGGAGTACTCAACAAAGATATCTTGCTAGAGAAGGTAACGATGAATTTCATGTGCATAGGAGCTGAAATTGATTAATTCATTGTTGTTCCATCAACTTTATCCATCAAGATTTCATCTGTAAAAAAAAAGTAACTGAAAAAAAAATATAAAAGACTATTCATAAATAGTGTCTTCGCTGTCCTCCAAAAGCTTTACTTGAAATATATTTGGAATGCCTCTTAAAAAAAAACTCCGAAATCACTTCTTAAAAACTTTTACCTTGCAAACTATATTCAACCTACGCAATAAAGAAAGAAAGTACTACGACTGATTATGCATAAATGGTGAAAGAAAAAAAGGTGAAAGAGATTTAAAATGTAAAAAAGCAACACAAGTTCATGTAGTGATATGAGGAAACAGTTTCATATCTGTGAAAACAGACTTTGCTTGCTATAAAAAGTATTGGAATGTAACACAAAATATAAAATTTAGTCAAGCTAATTCATAAACTTTCCATTCATAAAACAAAAAAGATTAATGTACATTGAGAACAAGAGGAAGCATTATAAATAGCAACCACATGTTGCACTTATCCTTTATGGCATTGTTAATTATAAGACCCAACTACAATAAAGTCGATGGAAGTTGTGTACAAAAAGTCAAAGTGCACTAATCAAGAAACGTAGAAAAATAATGAAAACTGGGAAATGAATTAATTTAGAAACAAGTACAACGAATCAAGCATAGTTCAAAAATGTGCCAATGTGGTCCATGCAAGTTTTCAAAAATAATTATATGCTAAACGAATACTACTAGCAGATCTTATTAAAAAAGCAAATAAGCGATATTTAATAGGTATAAACTATAACATTCTTATTATTCAGCTTCATTTTCCTGCAGTGCTCTGAAATCAAAAAAGCACTGTTATCTAGTGTGCATAAGCATACTGAAATCTGAATTTTGTAAAAAAAATTCAGCAGATGATAAAAAGAAAGTCATAGCTTCCCAAAAGTGAATCAGCAAAGTGAAATCGGTGTATAGTCCAAAAGCGCCGTCACATTTCCCCACTTAACAATGATATACTTCAACTCTCCTCCACTTATTATAAAATAAACCATAAACACACTGATAGATGAAGCAAGCGACAGATTAACGCAGAGTTTCCTTGGTTTAAAAGTGTGTCTGAAAATAATTACAATAAGCTTTAAATAAGTTCACTTGAGCGCTCCCTCTAAATTTAAAATATTAGATTGAATTTTGGTTCAAATGGAAGCAAATTCTGCTTTGTACTCAAAACACTGGCTACTTTTAAATACAATAAGGTACTTGCTCATTTAAGTGTCTTACAATGACATTTGACAAAATTTGTCTATGCACCACGATTAAAGCTACCAAAAGCCTGATTAGGAAAAACCCAAGGCTTATAAAACAGTTTTTTTCTTCAATTTCTCATTGACCCGATATATAAATTCTTTTCGAAAAAAAAAAAAGCGATAGATTATAGCAAAAAAAGAAAAAAAAAAGATAACATAAGTAACTGCAGCAAGCATGCGTGAAAAAAAATATGATATAAGGTGTCTCCAACTATGCTAAAATCCAAAAATTATAAATTGCCGAATCTTTTCAAAAAAGCTTACCATAATATCTTCTTCTGAGGAATGTAATTTGGTGGTTTCCGATAGTTCCGCAGGGTTGGGATCAGGAGCAAATAAACGTTCAACTTTCTTCTCTCGCGGCTTCCTGAAGTTTTTGAAAAGGGAATTAAGAAAATTAATGAAAGGATCCATAATGGTCCCAAAATGTACTATCTTTTTTCAATTACGACTGCTCCTCCTGGAACGTCAGCCATCAGATACTGAAATATATGTTAAAACACTTTTGTTGAAACAGTAATTAGAAACTTTAGAAAAAAGTAATTAAAACTTTAGTTTAGATTGAAACAAACTTAAAAATGATATGGCAGACAAACAAGTATTCTTTATTATGTTACTTCATCCTCAATCAAGCGCATAAAACAACGGTTTATCCAAAGGATATTTTAAATTTGAATCAATATATAAGTTTAGTGCCATACTGAAAGTTGTAATAACAATGAAGTTTGTTCAACAGAAACATACTCCATGTTTCTTAATTCTTAACCATACAAAATTTTAAGACGAGAATTGTTTTCACAAAAACCTAGCTATTATTAAAAAATGATTTCATGAGTCTGCACGAAATTAAAAGAAAAACTTCGGGTCTTACAATGAAGATATTTCCTCAACGTTGATGAACACTCTTTAAAAGAGCATACATAAAAAATAAACTCACTGCAGATTATTGAAAAGTCGTCGTGAAGTATCCACTATTGTAATTGGTTCGCCTTCGTCTTTTTCCGTTAAACTTCGCCTAGGGAGGTACCGCTTGGAAGGACTGTGTCGAAGTGCTGAAATTTGGATAATAATCAATACAAAGCATGCCTTTCAATATAACGTGAAATTTACTAGTGCTAAGTATGTGATTTTGGATCTTCTATACAAAGTTTGAATCAAAAGTAACCATTTTATAGGCACTACATCCACCTGACTTTTGAAAATGCAACCTAAATTTGGTAAGATGAATTCTTCCCATATATTATCCTACATGCTACGAATAACCTTTAAGAATCGATGACAGAGCATAAAAATGCATGTTTATTTGTCAGATAAGTCTCAAGAAATCAATTATGAACTGCATTTTATCAGTTTCAAAATCATGTTACTATGGATTAATTAAAAGTTACAGTTCACATTCTTTAGTCTTTAACTGCTAGTATAAACACTAAAAAATGTGTCGATCACTAACACTACAAATAATCACAAGCACACGTGGAAATAAAATAAAATGAACTAAATCAAATACAGAGCTGAAGACAACACTTGAAAAAAACTTTCCATCTATATAAGAAAACAAAATTTATGCTGGCGAGGTTACAAGGGAACTAAAAACTACACATGGGGAATAATGTGTTGAAAAAGCCAAAAGATGTCAGAATTTGAACTTAAGATCTACAAACTCGAGTTTTCTTGAAACAGAAATAATATCAACACTTTAACAACTGTTAATACAAAATTTTTTTTTTTTTTTTCATAAATTAACTTTATGAATGCAATCTAGTTGTTATATAAATTTCAATATTTCTCGTTTTTTTCAAAAGTCCTCTATAAGAATGATACTAAAAATACCCAAATAAGATGTAACGACCGATTTGAACTTTGTGTGACCGCCTTTGGGTACCAACTCAGCTGCAAAAAACATGCACTACATACGGTGATTTGGATTTCAGCTAAGAATTATACATCAGACGTTTTTTTTTTTGGAAAATGTCGATAAGGGGAAACAAAAAATTTGTTCCCTCAGAAAATTAAACCACCCTTTTTACTTTCTGAATTATACTTATTGAAATGGAAAATAAAAAAATAATAATCAACGAACCTTTCACCAGATTTCCCCACATGCATACATCAACAAAATGAATTCAAATTGGAAAATGTGACGTAAATAATCAGTATGAAGTAAATGATGTTTAATTAACGATCCTCACCTGCTGTCATGTGAAATACATGCGATTTGAGAAAAGTGATAAAACGCTGAGCGTAAAATGTCGGATTATGGACAGAAATAGTATCCTGAAATTTATGAATGTGTGGAAATATTCCATCACTGTTTGTGTAATCAGCTGAGAAACTTCAAATTTTTGAAAGGAAAACGTACACCATCGTGAAGCACACTTTTCCAAGTATGTTCCAGTTTTTTCAATAACCTATAATTCTGAAGAATATCGATTATACCAAGAAATAATAATAAGTCATCTCCTCGTTGATTTCTTGCTGGGAATGATATTTGTCTGCAACAATGTTTAAATAAAAACATAAACATGCTTGCTTTGCTTTTTGAAACATATCCCATTTCATTTATGTAATATAAATCACAACAAAAAATAAAACTGTTTGAAACAAATAATGTGAGAAACATACTCATATGGCTTATAATAATCTGAATCGAGTAATTTTTCACTTTTCACTCGAACGGTTTTAGTTTTTGTTTTCTGCAATTATTTATAGCTGTAAGACTTGACGAAATTTTCAGTTACCATTGAAAACAAAAAGAGTGAAACTGGAATTATAGAGATGCTGGAATCATAGAGATGAATAAAATGTATAAATGAAATGAAGTAGTTGCAAAATAAACCTGATTTGAAGTCGATGGTTCGTTACCATCAACTGCATCAACTGCATTTTTTGCCGTGCTTTTATTGTGAATACCGACAAGAAGGCTGTAATCCATTATTTTGAAACTTTCAAGTACCTGCAGTATGAACAGGAATTAATCTCTGGGAAATCATGGAAAAAAAGTGTTTTTTAAATTTCATTTATTTGGAAAAAATACCAAGCAGTCCCGGCTAATAGTTTTCATAATGGCATCATGCACGCCAACATCAAGTAGTAGTCCATCGGGATGCACAGAAATGAAATCCAAATCTTTCAGTGTAGGTGAAGCCTTTGCGCGTTCGTGTTTCGATGCCAACCTTTTATAGGTGGATCCTTTTAAATCATACTTTTCATGCATCATAATTGTTTGAGGTAACAGGTTATTCATCAGTAACAGTCGGATATTTTTGCCCAGACTCTGAAGCACAGCAAAGACAAAATTATATCTTATGCGATGTAATTATAGAATTTCATTTTCAAAACTAACCCCAAATATAGAATAAGTTACCTGATAACAAAATAGTCCAAAGAATTTTGGCAACAATGTATGCGGATTTTGATTAAAATTCTGAAATACCTCTCATTGCGGTTTGTTTGAAAATTTAACAAATGAAAACGTAAATAATTTGTGTTCATCAGATTTCGAAAGAAAAAAAGTGTGGCGAAAAAAGCATTAGAAGCACAAGATATGCTAACCATATAATAACCCGGAAGCAATTTCTTCAGAAATTCAGCTTCTTTAGATTGCACCGTTTTGATTATAAACTGATCATCATGAGAGACATAGAATATGGATCCAGATGCTCCTGCATTCGATAGCTCTTTTAATGGAAACATACATACAGAACGCTGAAACAACTAAGTGAAATGAAGCGAGAATATGTGCAATCGAGAAATATGCGAAAAAAGTGCAAAAAGTTTGTCAAAAATTTTATTCAAAAAGATAAATACTACAAAACAAACTAAGTTAAAAATCTTAAATAATTTTGTAAACTGTTTAATGACTTCTCACCAAGAAATCAGCAGTTTTGATTGCAAAAAGATCACGAAAAGTCCGAAATGCGATCGGCGCATAAGTCTGAAATCGAAAATCCCCATAACTGTGAGACGGTGTTGACTGTGATCCATTTCTGAAATATAAATTATTACTCAAAAAATTTAATGCACCAAGAGAAATGTTCGTATTTGCATTATTAAACAATGTTAAACAGACAATAAGATGAGATCTCTTCCTAAATTCTGATGAGTTTACATATGTCCGATTACATTACATGGCGCAAAAGAATGAAATAACAAATCACAATTAATTATAAAGTCAATAAATTCTGTCCATCCCAAAATTATTCTTTCAGAGCCAAAATTTATATAAAAACATACGATGGAAAAGAAACAGTATGGACGACATCAAAATCTTGCAGTAGGAGATCTCTCTTTGGTATAGAAGCTAGTGAACCTATTGAATTCGCGATACCCAGTTGTATTGCTCCCATCAACGCATTGCTTGGAACACGTTTGTAGCTCACCTTAAAATGACTCGTATGTCGTAATAAAATCAATAAAATCAAGTTCATCAGGGTTAAAGACACAGATGACGAAAACGATATGTGTTGTTATTACTACAATCAACAGCTTTAAAACGATACGGTATGTTTTATGTATATTTGTTGCATTCTCTGTTTATGGTAGTGATTTGGATAAATGGTATATTTGCTAAAAATGATGGCACTATCTAATGGAATAGAGTGGTCATAGTCACATGGTACACCAAAACAAAAGTTTATACTTTTATTATTAAAAATGCAACAACCTCGCCCTGGCGATCTATGCGTCGATGACCAATTTTCTGCTTTTCGTGCTCTTCCTGATTACGCATCTCTTCTTCGACTAAAGATATATCAGATTTCAACTTCTATATTTTTCTTCGATTAAAGATATATCAGACTTCAACTTCTACATTTATTCCAACAACCTCAACAAGAGAAATCAAGACTGTTGAATACTGTTATCATTATTATCATTATCATCATCACAACATAATCATTTACTCACCAGAAAAAGCGTTAGCACGTAATGACCTGGCATTAATTTGTTTTGCGGAATCTATATTCAAAGTTATATCAGATGGAGAAACTTCATCCTTTTTGGAACCCATTTTCTGCTGTTAGCACTTTACAAGCTCAGCCCGTGGCTGATCGATGCACACTAATTCAGTGATTTGCTGAAGAAAATTAGCACTAAAATTACATTACTGAAACTTTTTCCTTACAAATCTTATGTCAATTCTTTGGATTAATAAACATTGACTTCATCAGTCTAGGAAAATGGTTTTTTACAGTTCTGATATTCATAAGCAGCATTAAAAAATAAACCTATATCTCAGATCTGACAAAAAGTCTTTACTAGTAGCACGGAAATTACTAGAAAAACTTTTAGTAAGTAAACGGATTTTAATAATAAAAATTTATCTCTTCATTCCATAAAGCTAAACATTTTTCACGATTTTATTGCATAAAAAATATACGAATTCATCGTATTATCTTCAACTCCAGCCGCTCAAGATCGAAGAAATATATGCATAGGCACGAAGACTTGTCCGCATATGATTTTTGTAAAACATGTTAAGGGAAACAAAAGAAAGAAAAAAAATTAAAAGAAACAAATTTTTAATACCTTTGATAATAGGACGCAATATATCGACAACTCCAAACAACAAACCGTAATACCTTAATATTTCAGGTCAGAATACCTGCAAAAATGAACCATATTTTCACTAAAACTAATTTGTAATGAGCTTACATAATATTTTATTAAATTTTAATAAATAAAGGTGATTTGATCATTGATGAATCTGGTGAAATGATAGGTAATAATGCTACTAGCTTTCGCTTCTAAATATTTTGATGTATTGCGGCAACTGAAATTTATGTTATCCAACCGACAGATAAGTGTAACGCACTTGTGTTTAATAATAAGAAGTGTTGCAAAGTGTTTATAGCGATTCTCAACAAAAGATAAGTCAGATGATAAGGCCGGTGTTAGGGTTTTTCTTGTTAGCTATGAAGAAAACGAAGAAATGATGGCCTTTTGGGTGAGACATGTCAGCGAGACCGCAACAGTGTAAACAGGAAATATGCGACACCACAGTACGTATGACTCATACTCATACTGCCACATCCGAACATATACCGGAACCAATCCGGTGACAAAACGAACGACATAAACCAAACTCCAGTGATGAATCCTGATGGTATCGCAGTTGCACCACGGTGACACAAGCATCCCCTATCTGTTGGAACAATGTGAGATGTCCTCCATGAGATCTGTGATAAAGAAAGAAGGCATCCAAATCATAATGAATGCATCTTGACAAACAAAACGATCCCAATGAGACTACATTTGAAGAATTTCAACAACAAACAGCATTGTCTGTTCTACCGAAAGACATCCCCTCCATATTAAAATGCGAGCCAACTCTCGCATACACGCGCACACATAAATTACAAACAGATATGTTGAAGTTTCACATCAAAATTGAATTCACGTTATTATTACTTCCACACATCTTACCAATCTGTTGCAAAAGTGTCTGCTGATCAGCATGTCATGAAATAATTTTTTAACAAAAGCAAATCAACTGCTACCAATGATAATTTGAAATTTATTTCATAGTAAAATAGAAATACACATTATGAAATGAAATCAGTGAAGTTCCAGAACTTGTTGAGTTACTAATAAAAGTACTACCTTATGTCCATAATGTTCAAAAATAAATACGAATTTTCCCAGAATTAAGTTGCAACCAGGAAAGAATTTTATTCAACTTATACAAAAATCAACATCGTTAATGTGTTGCCAATTTTCTTTGCATAACAGAAAATTAACTCAAGGTTTTTTTTTTTTTTTTTTTTAAACCGAAAATTACATTATATAAAGAAGTTAAATCATTTACAACTGGTTAAGTACACGAGAATGGGTGGCAGCAATAACTCGGGATCTTTTTCTAGCAACAGTACCCCATTCGACACAATATTTCGGCAGTCGTCGATCCAAAGAATTTGATAAATGCTTCACTGTACCAACATCCATGACGAGCATCGTAATGCTCGTATCAGTTAAATTTAGACGCACTTTTGTATCACCATTTTTAAATCGATGCACCTGAAAATTTCCTATAATAAGAGAATTACATAGGCAGTTGTTATTGAAATTGGGTATTATTTTAAAACTTGTTGTATATATCAAGATGCAAGGCAATGGAAGAAGAAATATCAATAAGATCGACAATACAATGAAAAGTATTTATCAAAGTAACAACTCCTGGTCCAAATTCAACATCATCAAAGGCTATAAACTAAGCCAAAAAAAGTTAGCAGTCTTGCCGTATAATCGGGTGAACGCCATTCCATCGAATCATCACTAATAATATGACTAGCGTAGGAACCATCCATGCGGTGGCATGAAGTTTGCGTTGCTCGATGTTCTGTTTCTGCTTCATCACGTCCTCTAATGCGAACTCTTCCATCTAGTTCATAACTAAAACAATGATTTTAAGAAAAAACAGTGGGGTAAAATGAACCGATCCTAAGATAAAATCGAAAAAACAAACCAAGCTTCCCGTTCTTTTCCAATACAGCGAAACAGAACTAAAATTAATGAAAAGAAAATTCTTGAGTAGGAAGTTTCCATGAAACATTTGTCCTATTTCCGAATATAAATCCGAAAGACTGTTTTACTAAGAATCTAAAAACATACATTTCAACTCGCACTGATCCTGATTTATCTCTGATAACCTCTATACGTCGTCCATCGGGTGTCATTAAAGTGGTTTCACCACCTCCGCGATAAATTTCCAACTGACCAGTTAAAAAGTGTCGAACAAGCAATTTCCCTTCACACATTTCAACAGTGGTTGCACCTGCTTGTCCGTAATAATTTACCTGCAAGCGAGATAGAACTAAAATAATAATATAATGAAAAGAAAATTCTAAGAAGTCATTCAACAACCGAAGTTAATTTTTTATTTTTTTTTAACAACCAAAGTTAAAATTAATCTTCATCGTTGAAGCATTTCCATTATTACTATAAATTTAAATGCATAAAACTTGCTGATTTAATTCAATTCCTGTGTTATTAGAGGGCAAGATTTAACAAATAGCCTCTACTACAAAATTGCGAATACTCGCAACACGAGATCACATAAAAATCATTCTGAAATGACCTGATAAAGCTTGCTTGAATGTATCCAACGAGTATCTGTGTTGCTATATTCATAAAAATGACAACCACAATGAGTTAGAGTATAGACAGTAAAATCTTTCTCACTGCGATACAATGATGCTCTTCCAACCATATTATTTTCAGTTAGAATTAACTTCTATAAAAAGAAAAGTTATTTTTAGGCATTTCATTTAAATAATATTTGAGCGAACATATTCCTCGCCTAAAAAATAGCAAATAAATAATAAACCATGTCAGGATTCGCATAGTCGAGAGGAGAGCGCGCTGAAAGTGATGGAGAAATAGAAGTCATTGTTGTAAGAGGTTCATTCCATCGGACATTCTTTCCGAAACGTGCCGGTGTTATTTCTTTTTCAACAGCTACGACATCTTCATTATCGCTTAGTGTGTCCGTATTTTCGACAATATCTACAGTATTCTGCACATTTGGGGCGTTATTAATCTGAAGTCCATTAAGTTTATTTGTGTTAGATAATCCTTTCAACACATGGTATTAAAATTTTTTTCATATGGTATTTAACACATGGTATTTGTGTTTTCTCAATTCCGATATCAAATTCCAATACCAATAATCACTATACTAAGATTAAATTTTAAGCTATGCAATATTTCAATTCTTGCTCTATAAGTAAGCCCTATAAAGTTTATTTTTCATCTCGCTGAAACATGTAAAACATTGAGCAGAACAAAAAGTAGAAAATCTTTTGTTCTTGATACCTGACTGATATGTCGCCCTCTATCTACTGCATTCATTATGCAAAATTCGTTATTCTGAGGAGTTAAGTCTTTTGTGGATGTCGTAACAGTTGCATTCTTTGATGCTCGAGCAACTGCCTGAGCAGAAAGAAAATTTTCAGCTACACGACCTCGAAGAGCCGCTTTATTTTTCTGAAAAAGGCATTTTTAAAGTAATCCTTGCTTGCAGAAAATGTTCGAAAGAAACGTGTTCATTTCGTTATTTCAGCCACCAATTCAAGAGAACTATCGTTTTCTTGAACACACTTCAGACAAATCACTAGAAACACTTTTCCAAGTGTCTTAAGTCTTTTTTAAGTTGGAAAAGCAATGACTTTTAAATTATTTAATCTTGCTGTTCAAGAATGGGCATATTAAACGAATGTGGTATACTGCGTATCATTTTATGCTTATTCCTTATTTTATTTTTTTATAATGAGTTATTACATATTGCTCACTTCACATTTATTTCAGATTAAACAAATGAAGTTACACAAAATCGCTTCTTCTATAAGTTCAAAATTAGTCATAAATTGCGAAGTACTATCCTTAAAAAAGGATAGCATAATGACCGGTTATCAAAGTTGACCATTGTCATCTTTTTAGAACCACAAGAGAAGTTACTAAAATAAGTGCTAATCATTCTGTAGTTGTTCAGTATCTAAAACACAAGGAAAGGAGTTAAAAGTTTGGTGCGCACATAATGACCGATTATTAAGAAAGTCACCGTTTTAATTCATGTGATTTCTTATTCTATGTAATAGTGAATTGTTTCTTAAACTGAGATCTGAGAAGTGGATTGCGTATGATCCAGAGGCGAGTATCAACGAAAATCCAACAAGAGTGAAACGATGATAATCATCCAAAGATTATAATCTCCATCTTATATCTGAGATCACCAGATACACCAACAATAATGGAAAGGGTGAGGGCGAAGAAGGGAGGAGTTAAATTTTGATTAAATTCCAGTCAATAGAAAGAGTTCAATTCTCTAACAACAACATCTGACCATATTTCAAGCAAGCATTGTTTCAGAAATTGGATGGTTTCAAGACGACCACATCGTCTACCAATTCACAATATTTCAATAATTTCTCGAGTGAAAAACGCTTTCATAATTAGTAGGATATATAAAAAGCTTTCTAATATTGAATACCAAAATATAGTGAGTAATCCAAAATTTGTAGTCCGAAGTCGTATAATTTTTGCATTAATCTAATATTTGTAAATATTAAAGGAAATATATTTTTAAGCTTCTAAAAAATAGTTTGCAGGAATAAGAATGCTAAAACACTTAATGTAGTGTAACAAACCGTAATGATTGCAATTCGTTTTTCCAAGCGTGTTTTTTCACCTTTCAACTGCTCAATAATCTCATTCTTTTCTTTTAAAGCTGTATTGCTTTTTCTGATTTGCATCTTTAACTCACTGCGTTGCCGATCAAAATCCCTCACCATTATACGAAGGTCGCTTATCTAAAAAACTGCTTTAGCCTTTTTTATTCAGTAAACATTCTATATAATATTGTCCGAATACATATTTTCAAAATGCTTTTATTCTTATAGGCAGTTAAAACAAACTTTACTCAACTCCATTTTAATATAAATCGATATACTAACCTGTTCCTTAAGCGTATTTACTAAAGCACTATCACTGCCATCGTTTTGCTTTTGCTTTCGATTCAAAACAACATTTTCTCGTCTCAGACGTTCAATATCAGCATTACATATTTTTTCTGTCTCTTTTCTTACAGCAAGATTTTCTTGCCGTGCCTGCTTATCTTCCTCCAACTGCGCAATATATTTTTTCAATTCATTCACTTGTTGACGAAAATATTCTTTTTCTTCTAATGCTTGATCGAAAATTTCCTCTAACTGAAATTTAACTGCTTTTAAGACTAAACTGAAAAGCTTACTACACGGACAAATATTTTGACAGAGAACACACTTCATGCATAACATAAGAAATATGACAACATCCAAATTCATGCTAGATTCTACCATAATCCATTTCCATAAATTAAGCACAGAGTGCTATAATCGAAAGAATCACAGCAATGCAGTAATACAATATAAAACGGAAAAAAGAAACACCAACAATGGAATAGACTTTTCAGATGAATTCATGTCCATTCTGAAATAAGTAATGAATACTTATTGCTTGTATAAAAATCAATGTATACTGATAAATAGTATGAGAAGGAAAATAGTAAGACCTAAAAAACTTCACACTGAGCAAGGCTGAATAAACATACCTTCCTCACTTTTTTGTTTTAAAAGGTAAGTACATACTCTTTTATATTCATGGTGGCGATATTCTTTTGCAAGGTCTACATGAACAATGAGATCTCTCAACTGCTTTGCAAGATTCCGTTCCGTCACGCTACTTTCGACAGCTTCATTTTGCTGCATTTTCTGTAATTAGCTGAACTGAGAAAATTAGGTTTTATTTCAAGATCTATTTCTCCAAAACACTCCAACAAACAAACATATTAATATGAAGAATCTTTACTAACATATAATAGAATTTCGCTTAGAAGCGAGATAAAAACTTCTTCGTTTTGTTTATAAAGTAGTACCTATCAAAAAGAATAATTTTTTTTAGTATGCTAATGTTACCTTTCTTCCAGGAATATGTCCCGAAGGCTGATTTTCCAAAGATGTTTCTAATAATACAGTGTTTATTTTTTCTACATTATTTCCAACCTTCTTTACATGAGCATAAATACCATCTTGTGTTTTCTACAAATAATTCAACATAATCTTTAAAGCTTCGTGTTTCATAAACTATTAATGAATAACTTCATAAAAAATACAACCAAGAAAAAATTACAGCAATAAATAAATCTAACCTCATTAAAAATGGCTGGCAATATTTTTTGTGCGGTATGTGACTTTCGTTGTGCTTCTAAAACGATATTTGTTACTAATTAAGAGAGAAAAATAGCAGCTGATAAGTATATCTGAATTTTCGAATTTGAAATATTTCGAAATTAATAATAAAGGTAATATGCAGTTACTTTTTTCGGATGTCCTGTGCCAATCCATGAAATGTGGAATTTCTTGTGAAATCTGTTCCGATTTATTTGAGCTTACAGTTGATAAAGATCCTTCATTTGCAGAGATCGATTCCAAAGGAAGTAACTCCTAGTAAAACGAAAAATCAATTAATTAAATCACGGGTCAATAGAGGAGTTGAATTAGCAGCAATTCAATCTAATTACCGCCTTCTGTTTTGCTTCTGATGCAAACTCTCGGATAACTTGTCGCCAATGGCGCGATCTTGTACCATCAGTGTCCTGAGAATTTTCGGAGGTTCCTGGCGAAATTACCTCGTGCACTTGAGGCTCAAGACACCCTCTAACCGAACTTCCTACTGCTGTATTGGTAGATACTGAAATCAAGCTGTCTGATTAGACAAATATAAATAATATGGAGGTAGAAACTAACACAACTTTACAGCAGTTGAAAAATTCAATACTTTTTTGTACATTGTGGTCATCATTAAAATTATCCGATGTTGCAGATGCATTGTTAGTTTCGTTCGTTGAAAAACTGCTCAAATCATGAATTACTGATGGCGTACCGCTGTTGCCCCGAACTTCTAAAATAATACATCAAAAAAAAACAAAAAAAAAACAAATATCACTAGCAATTTCACCAATATCACCGAAAAGTAAAAATAATGAACCTGATGAAACTGCTGAATTCCTGTTACTGCAGTCAGTAACGTCTATAATCACTGATTCAACGCCGTCATCTTTTCTGTTACTATTTGGACTAAGCACCACTGAACAAGCGTCTTCCGGACAACCGCTGTCGGCTGTGCCAGCTGTGTAAGGTCGATTTGAATCTTGAGCTTCATTGCTACCTTAAAAAGTGTGACAGAAGTTTATCATACAATTGTGCACAATGAAACGTTCTAATTTCTACTGTTTTTGAACTTACTCGCATTATCGTTTGAAATATTTGATGAAGTTGACCGTTGTTCTGCAGTATTTATGCTTATTGGATAATGTATTTTTTCCTGTAATAAGTCAGATCAGAAGTTCAGTGCTATAAGCTGGTAATAATTTAATCCAGAATTAGTTTAGTAGTACGAGAACTTACCATAAGTCGCCCTGAAATACCGCTGCGTTTCTTCAAAAACGGTTTCAGTACCATTTAGCGATAGTTCGAATATCTTAAAGTAATGCCGTACCTAGAATTCTAAGAAAATAACTTCTCTCACATTTCCAAAATAACGTGATTGAGACTTGCAGTGAGAGAACTAATATACACAAAACTTAAAGAAATAATCATGCAGGAAGAAAGTAACGCGTGCTATGAAAACAAAATAATGTGCTGCCAAGGATATAGAAGTGAACTTGCAGTGAGAGAGCTAACATATAACTACGATATGCAGTAAGAAAACTCTGATTAAGAGTAAGGAGCGAAATTTCGATGATTGGAGACGGGAGGGAAATAATAAAAGTCGGCAATTATTTGGGAATGAAATGAGCAATGATTTTGGAGAAGGCGTGTATGGCAAAGGGAATGGAGTATGGAATGACGGTTATGATAGCTAAATGATGCGTATTTTATGACTTTTACTGTATTAGCGTATTACTTCAACCAAAAGTGAATGCCATCAGTGATCCTATCAGAGAGAACAAAAACATCTCCATTTCCTCACTAACTCCTTCTGCAGCTCATAAAAAGATGGACTTGCCGCATAGAACCATACGACCAAACATGAAAACTGCATGGGATGAATTGTTGGATGCTTACATAATTCGGATGTTGCGTGACCTTGTCTATATCATATTTTCTTTCTGTAACATCTCATGTTGTCGAACTGCTGCTTACTCATTGAAATCACTTCCTTTTTTAACGTCTGTCTATGTCCACATTGTTCAGTAGAATTCCAATTCCTATTTTCAGATACGATATGATGGCAAGAAGCAGTATGGAAGCTGGGCCATCATCCGAGATTTCCCCAACTATGGATCAATGCCATTCGAGTTCTCTTCAAAGGTTCAGCTTTTTCTTGAATTCCTTAGAGTGCAATCTTCCTTAGTATAGTTTTTAATTCTATAGCAATAATGCTGGTGTTATACTGTCTTTGCAATCTGCTGCAAACACGAAAGGGAAAGAAATGAAAAATTTAACGTAATATAGCAACTGAAGTAAGCCATGCACAAATTTTATTCTTTTCGCAAACATTTAGGCTTTAACGATAGAATTACGACAGGATTTATAGCGCAAGTAGACAAGCATTTTACAGTAACATTGGAAATTTAAAGCACAGTTTGCAATAAGAGCGTTCTTATATATGATACTATGCTTTAGGAAGAAGAGACGTTTGCACGCTGATCAACGTGCACAACTTACCTACCAAAAAATTGCAGCAGAACGGAAAGCTGAAAAAGAAAAACGTCAACTGGAAAGAGAGAAGAGGCAAAAAGTTTTGGAAGAATACACTTCAATTAAACAAAGGATGAATAAAGCATTATTAAAAAAGAACAAACGGGGACAGCCAAATCTCAACGCTCAAATAGAAGTTTTGTTGGAAAAGATTGAAAAACGGATGCAAAAGTCATAATCATCTCTTACCGTCAATAAATTATATCCGAGACATTTCCGTTTTCATATCTTACTCTATTAATTGTTGTTTGCTTTTGTTGATTGATTTTTGTTCAGTATTCAAATAAATATTCAAAAAATGATCCTCCAAGTTCGTTGCATAGTGCAAATAGTAGAACCAACTCTTATTTTCATATTTTGATGGCATTAAAGAGTACACTGTTTTGATAGTATTTGTATGAACAATGAACCAAGCAGTCACTTGATTTCGTGCAGTTAAATTTTACAGACAGTTCTTGACTGTAGGAATGCAGTAGTCAAATGTACCTTGCAAATTTCAGTTTATGACTTTGGACAAACTCAGATCTGTTCAGGAACACTCTAGGGGCAAAATTGATGGCTTCATGACAGATGGAAAGACGCGACCACCTAAACCAAACGAGTTCCATTATCGATGTAATCACCTTTACATGGCAGCAAGTCTACTCTGTTCACGTGAGTTTCCTGTATGTTCGATTTCAGTTCCGACCTCCAAAAAAGTTCTGAATGTATGGGAATACTATTATTTTAGAATCTTCTGGCAACAGTGGTCTAGAAATGCTTAGCAAACTTTACCTTCGTGAAATGAAAGAACTATGCTCGGTTGAAATGATACGACTGGAAAAAGATTTTGGTCGTACTATCTGTAAGCGATGCAAGAATATTTTTATTGCTCGCCCCGATGGCACCCAGTCGATTACCGTAAGGTAATCATTAAACTTCAAATTGACATCGGTCTACCTGAGTTCTTCGCTTTTTCAAACAAATTTATGATCCAATTAGTATAAAGTATAGCAAAAAACCAATGTGTATAAATGTAGGATATGTAGCAGGCCTCTAAATTTAGAAAATTTTGTCTTAAAAAATTCTGGAAAAGACGCTTATAAATTGTTATGGAAAATAACAAGAAAGAGTTCTATCACTTTTAATAAAAATTTTGATCAGACTCAACAGAAAGAAGCAGATGATAAGGACATGCCTTAGCTGTGGGGCTAAAAAGCGTTTCGCAAGAAACAGTACATATCTCTCTCGGAATGAACAAAATCAACATCAAATAGGAATTGAAGGGCAACAGCAACAAGTACAGAGTAAAGAAGTCCATCCTAGCAGCGATTAATGTATTTGCAAGATCCTTCTCTGTGAATTATTGTACTTTATTTTTTGTTTATTTAATAATTGAAAGATTTAGCAAAGAAATAACAACAACAACAGCCTCTTTAGTTCTTAATATTTTCAAATTTAATTTCTCCATGAATTGTAGAATAATGATATTTACAAGTCAACTTTTTCGGAACGCATAAGTCTAAATGTATCTCAGAACTATGCCCTCCACTTCGGATAATTTTAAATCTGCAATCAGTAGTGAAATACTTGAATCAATTTTTTGCCAAATACTTGATACGGTAACAAAAGATATCTAGCGAGCACAGAACTGTACATTCTTTTTGCAGCCAAGAAACTAATTATCGATCTAATAAAAATATATTAAACATTAACGACAAAGTTCAACTTGCTATGCATCAAGATGCTTTATCATTCAGGTGATGCTTCGTCACTTATTCCTTCCAAATCTCTCCTCGCTCTTACTAAAATTTCGTCTTCTTCCTCACCATTTTTCCTATTTTCGGGAGCTAAAAGATGAAAAATTTTCCTAGTTCACATGACGGTAAATTTAACAATAAAAGGAATGAAAAAAGGAGCACCAATTTTTTGGAAAGAATTTACCTCTTAAAATGGAATTCCCGCTTACAATTGTTGCATTATAGTCCTTTTGCTGGCTGCATTCATTTTGAAGTTCCTAATAAATAAGTAAGATTTCTAACAAAAATTATGTATAGTGGCAACCGGTAACGAAAAAGGAAAAAGTTAAGTGAAAGCAAAATTGTAAATCAAGCAAATTCTTGTTGTCGTCAAAACTTCATTTGAAACACAGAAATCAAAAATGGACAGAAAACTACATGCATGAATTGCCCTAGTAAATCTCGTAATATGTTACCGTAAATGTTTTACGGTCGGAGTCTGAGCTTTCAGACAAAATTAGTCGTCAGACGACCAGAAATTCGTCATTACAGACTTTTAGTGACTATTTGTTATAACTGCTAGTTTCAAATGAAGCTTATGAAAATACAGAAATTACAATTTGTCACCTGACTGGTTGACCAGCTGCTTTCAGCAAGTTCTGCTACAGATTTTTGGTTACCTAAGCGATGTAAACAAATTGCACGATCTTCACCAACACTGGCTATATGCGTTCCATCTATCGAAAATGAAAGACTTTTCACCTTAAATTGCATTCACTGTTACCGTTTTTCTGAAGCTCTTATTGTTATCTTAGATACAAATTAAGATACAAAATTTGAGCGGAATTGATAGGCTACGGAAACATACGAAACGGTGAATTTGGAAGGACAATTTAATTTTTTTTAATTAAAAAATGTTCCAATGTAACCATCTCATTAAAAAAAAAAGCACCAGGAATGCTCGCTTTCTCTTTTCTTTAAGAGAAAAAAAAAACTCAAGACTTGAGAATCAAAATCTACTACAGATAGCTTCCAGAACCATAATAATTTCAAAGTAATTTGTAACTATCACTTCGGGGAAAAAGAGATTTTGTCATTTCCTGAAACTCTTTTAATCCTGGTTTATAACAAACAATTCACATTATGCTAAGTAAATGGATGACCAGAAACTAACTACTCCTTCATGAGCTCCTTGAAAAACGTGAAGTGCAGAGTCTTGTGTAGTACTCCACAGAATTACAGATCCATCGTTCGATGAACTTGCAAACCTTTAACTAATCAGATTTTAATACAAATACAATATACGGATTAAGGAAGTAAAAATAAACAAAGTCCATACATTTGCGGATCTCGAGAGTTATATTTGACTGCCGTAATACAACTTCGATGACCACAAAAACTTTTAACCAGTTGTGCCTTGTCTATACGGCTAAAATAGATTTTTATTGAGTACGACGAAAAGTGATTATAATCATTATAATCACTTTTTATGCTCTCCACAAAAGGTCAACTGGCTCTTTGTGAATCTTAATCAGAGTTGGAATTTGAATAAAAACTAAAAAAAAAAGGAAATTCTTTCAAAAATTCAACTGAGGATAAGTCCTTGAAAAACTCACATCGTATAAAGTTTGACGATCTTATCATCTGAGCCAGTCAACAAACTATCCGATGAAGGAGAAAAACATGTTGCCCTCACTTTAATTGCATGTGCTAGAAATGTTAGTTAATTATAGATTTAATTATAGATAAACTCAGCAATAAATGAACTTTTCTGGCATTCTGCAGGGAAAGAAAGATCATACAAATTCGTATTCTAGCAACAAACCTTCAAAAAAAAACCGAATTTCAAGTTTTGGTGCATTGAGTATCGTGACAATGCCTTCATTGTTAGCTACAGCAATCATTTTATTGTCTGGGCTCTAAAATGCAGTGAAAATAGCAGTTTGAAGTGTCCCAACATAAGTATTTAAATGAATCAAAAAATGAACTGAAACATAACTTCTTAATAGCTTAAACTAAAAGAGATAAAAATTTGGCCTTGGATATCGCATGAGCTAAGCGACAATCAAAAAAAATCGTTACATTCTGTAATTTTCCGAATGAAAAAGACTTTCACAATCAGCGGGGCATAGGAAATACTTCCAAAATCTGATTCAAATTCCAGAGCAAGGATTTCTGTGCTATACAAAGAAATAAACTCTTTTGATTAATAGAGATTGACATGATACTGTTTTGATTAATAAAAGTAGAATCAGTTATACTAACTCAAATTTTGTCTTTTGAAATCAGTTGTAAAAACTCAAAATCTCTTCGATTTAATTCAGAAGGAAAAAAAATGAAAACACTAACATACGATAACGAAGAAACCTGTCGTGCTCCGGGAAAACTGAGGTTATTATCAGCAGCACCTTTCAGAGATAACCGCGACAGAAATCCAGAAAAACTTACTAAAGCACAGAGAAATTCATAAATAATTTACACTATGTAAGCGAGTTCAAAAACAATGAAAGACTTTCACAAATCTAGAAAGTAATCTTCCTATACTGTAGTCAGGATCTTTAATGCCAAGCTAAAATTAACATCCTTCCTCCTTTACCTGCTTTTATGCCAATAAATAAATATAGTAAAGCATTGTATCAAGCAAACTTCTGAAATTGAAAAAAATTAACATATTTAACCTGTAAGATAACGAGTTCGGCAAGGTGATATTCTGACATACCACTGTTCCATGAATCCCATATTGAAAATATCGCCATTATATGTGAAGTCAGATAAGGATAAATTAAACACATGCAATAAAGAATCGATACCAACAACTGCTATCACTAAAGCAAATATTGGAATTCTTAAATTAGGATGAAAAGATGACTAAACATGTTGATTTGTAAAAAAACAAAGTCCAACTTTAGCTTCAAAATGTTTCGAAAGAGAAAAAATTGTACTTGCGCCATCAGGTGTAACATCAAAATCCTGCGCTCCGCTCCTCCATCCTTTGATTTCTTGCTTCTCAGTTAATGAACCTGGGTCACTTTTATCCCTAAAGTATGAGCTTTTCACTATCTTCAAATTTCCATATTTCCTTTTAAGAATTACGCCAAAGGAACATGCTATAATCCACATCTGTATTTAAAGATTTATGAAAAAAAAAAAGTGTTTTTTTATTAAATTAAGCCATATTCCCTTCATAGCTATTTTTCAATTTATTGTTTTCTTCTAATGAAGTTCTCGTTTTGTTTTATTTAATTACTTTGTTACGATTTCGGTTATAGTAATGCTAAAAATTATAAGTGCAGCTTAATATTTCAAACTATGTTATCAAAAAACAGATCTAAGGACTAGAAATATGAAAAAGTTAAATACTGGTCTGTAACTTGTAAAAAGAATAAGAAAAGGGAACTCACACATGCCATACTTTCAAGGAATCATGTGCGCATGTAATTAAGTAGTCTTCCAATGAATAAGGATCCTGTATGTAAGATACACCGATGATTGCACGTCCATGAACTACAAATCAAATAGTTATCAATCAGTGGAAACTACTGAAATTTGAACAGAACAACTCACTTTATATGATATTTGTTAATTTTTAAATGAGTGATGGTATTTTACATACAAATGCTAAAAAGACAAAACGAACCTTTTGGGATCTTTTTAAGGGTCACGAAACACTCCTCCCTGCTCGGTGTTTCCTCACTTAGAACTGTCATTGACGTATTCACACGTTTAAGGCTTACAGTGCCCGAACCGTTCTTCACTGCATTTTGGTTCGTCCTCCAGCATCAAATAGCCTGAATGTGTTTATTCTCCTTTGCATGCGAGTGGAGTGGACTGTCTCGTCTCATTTGATTAATTGTTTACCACTCATCATTCGATATAAATTTAAACCTTACATCTCTGATAGTCTTTTCAAGAATAGCTAATAGTGTACCAATTTATTATTTTGGCTAAAATGTTCTTAATTTCAACAAAATTACCTTCGGTTGTTATCTATACATTTTTTCAGCCTGCTAGTTTTCTCTTTCCTTTTAACCTAGGAAATCTTATCTTGTTCGATGCTTTCACATGCTTACTAGTTTTAAACTGATCGATGCTGAAATATTTTATTCCTCAAATTCAAGTTCATTTTTGGACACCAAATTTTGAAGTGCTGAATGCATTTTTAAACGAATGTATTTTCTTTCCAGTTAATTTTTCTTCCGTATTCTTCTAAATTGAATAATTTCTTCCAGAATGGCACCGTACAAGGAAGATGAAGTGGAAGTGAATAATGTGGTAAAGATTGTTGACACTGTCAAACCCCACTGTGCCAGTAATGTTCATGTTAATTTATATGTCTCCAAGGTTTGCTGCTTATGAAGTTTTAGTGCGCTTTTATCTGCTTTTCGGGGTAGGAAATGTTAAAAATCAAAACCAGACTAACAAGCGGTTGTGGATGAAATATTTCTCCAAATGTTGGATAGATATTTCAGTAAAAAAAGTAAAAAATGTAAGTCAAATGTTGACTTACATTTTTTACTTTTCTTCCTGAGGGAAATAAAAATGCTTCGTCATCTAAAAATAGTGAGTTATGTTATATTTATGCTAAGAAAACTATGTTAAGATTCATGCAAGAGTAAAATAATGGAGAGTTTGACATTACTCAGGTTGTGGTTCATCCGCTTGTGTTACTGTCTGTGGTTGATCATTTCAATCGCGTGAGTAAAACTCAAAATGTGAAACGTGTGGTTGGCGTTTTGTTAGGAAGCATGAAACCGAATAGGACGCTAGATATTGCTAATAGCTTTGCTGGTAGATTCCTTTTTGCTTCGTTTTCCATCTATTTTTTTTTTTCCTTTTTCCTTCTTACATTTACATTTTATTATTGACTCTCTCACTAGTTGCTGGAGTTATTTGTTTTGAGTTCCGTTTGATGAGGATGAACGAGACAAGAAAACTTGGTTCCTCGACATGGATTATTTAGAGAGCATGTATGGTATGTTCCACAAAGTAAGTATTTTTTTTTTTGTCAATAAATAAACAGATTATTGGGGGTGTGTTAGGCTTTTTTTTTTTTTTTTACATATGGACGCTTTTATATTGTCTTCCTTTTTACCTATGATTTATGAACTACTGTTAAGGTTGCTGCACGCGAAAAAATCGTTGGATGGTACCATACTGGTCCAAAACTCTGTCAGGTTAGCAGAGTTTCGATTCATTTATGTGTGTAATATGTCCGTAAATTTCTCTGATTACTGAATTTACCATTATTGTACCTAAATTCTGGATAGAAACGAAAAGGGGAAGGGTATTTAATACTTGGCAATGAAAATGGGAAATAGTGCAGCAGTTGCGATTTTGGTTTGCAATAATTGGACGTGGTTCGATTCCTTTCGTTGTATCGTGTTTGCAGAATGTGATGATCATAACGGGTAGCACTGGGCTCTGAATAGGATGAATGAAGAAACCCGGTCTGATTCTGCTTATGCCTTTTCCAGAAATTAAGTTTTTGGCTAATATATTCTTCGGTTTATTTGTTATTTTTATGAACTTCTAGAATGACATTGTGATCAACGAGCAATTGAAACGCTTCACATGTAACCCTGTTCTTGTTGTTATACAGGCTGAACCAAAAGATTTAGGGTTACCAACGGAAGCTTATGTGGAAGTGCAAGAAGTCCATGATGTATGTTTATTTTTCGTAATTTGACAAGAATTATTTATAGGAGTTATGATCTCTGAACTGGTATATTTTTAACTCGTTCTGCATTTTTTTTTTTTTTTGTATTAAGACTATCTTCTAGGATGGTACACCACCAATCAAAACTTTCGAGCATGTTCCAAGTGAAATCGGTGCCGAAGAAGCCGAAGAAGTTGGAGTTGAGCATCTTTTGAGGTTAGTTTTTTCTCTTCGATTGTATTAGTTCCCAAGAAGTGGAATAGCTTTTCACTTAAATTTCTGACTTTACAGGGATATCAAAGACCAGACCGCAGGAACTCTTTCTCAAAGAATCACTGATCAATTAATGGGATTGAGAGGTTTACATGGGCAGTTGCTTGATTTGCAGTCTTATTTGCATGAGGTAGCCGAGGGTAAATTGCCAATCAATCATGCTGTTATCTATTATATACAGGTACTTTTATTATTTCTGTGCAGTGAAGTCCATTATACTATTGAATATTTTGATATCGAAACTTTTGGTTTTTCATCGTAATTCCATTTTTTTTTTCAATCGTAGATGCAAATGACTGCACCTGCCCTTAGTTGATCCGACCAAAAAATTAGAGATTCAAGATCTTATGATGGAATAATAAGGAGGAAAAAATATGAATAGAATATGTCATGTTTTACTTGATTATATTAACTTTTACAATTTGAAAATTGCTTCAGTCAAACAGTCTTTTTCTGTATTGAGGAAGTATTGAATCTTTTACCGGATGTCACATCACCTCAATTTGTTGAAGCACATAATGTGCAGACAAATGACCAGTTGATGTGCGTTTATATGGGATCTCTGGTACGAACTGTGATTGCTCTACATAATCTCATTGATAATAAGGTAATTCCTGAAGTTTTTATAAATAGATAAAGAAAGTTTCTGAAAACATATTTTCAAACGTTCAAAGCGTTGAATTCATTTAATGATTTTTTTTTTTTTCAGCTTTCACTACAGAAGAATGAAAAAGATAAAGATAAAGGTGAAGGAATAGAAAAGAAAGATGAAAGTAAAGAAGAAAAAAAAGAAAATAAGGAGATAAAAGACGACAAAGAAGGCGATAAAGAAAAGGATAAAGAGAAAGCAACTAGAAAGTGATTACTTTAGTCTTTATGATCATTTCTTTTGCTGACTTCATTTATCACTCGATTGTTCTTTTATGGTACTATGAATTTTTCCAAAAAGGATGAAAAGCAATTGGCAGAAAAAGATGGAAATAAGTGATTGAAGGATCACATCTAGTAAGTTCGTGAAGTTAGAAATCCCTTCAAGTCTTTTTTTCAATATTGACTTTTGTATGGTGCCTTTGTCATTCTGAGAAAATGCATGCACTGTTTTTGAGTATCCTGATTGTCATTACTGATCAAATTTAATCTTTATTATTTAATGTGAAGAGTGATAAATATTTCCGAAATGTTCATCATTCAAATTTCATCTTAAATTAAAAAAGTTAACTCAAGATATTTTTCTCAACTCCAGTTCGTTTATTTTTATTACAACAGTTAGTTCGTTTGAATTATAGAGTTTAGTGATTGCACTTTGCCGGATATCACATCACTTAATTATATTCTTCTATGTTATGATTGTATTAAAAAAGATTTTTCTATTTGATTGCCAGATTTAAAGAGCTGGAATTATCGAATTACCAGTTGTTCAGCTATTCTTTGCAATTATTAGCTTAAGAACGATGCCTGTTGATCTTAAAGTTTTCATTTTATTCGATTTGTGCGATATTGCTTCGATATTCGATGAGATAATCAATGTACGGAGAACATACTGTAATGCGGTATACTAATTTCTATCATTTAAAACGCAAGTTGCGTTGAGAAATAGAAATGATCATAAAGGAACTGATAGAGATCATGCTTACCTTTCACATTCAAAAATATAAAGATCATTGTCGCTGTCATTGTTAAGCTCAGTGGATTCACTTTTAAATATTTGTCGAATAAGCTGTTGTGTTCAGAATTTTATTACTTGATTAACTTTGTAGTCACGAGAAATGAAACAATTTGAGGATTCGAGAAAAATGAGCCTACGTATGGTTGCGGTACTGAAAAATTTTGCCCACATATCCACAAATAATTGATTGAAGTTAGGACAATAAGTTCTTTAAATTTTACATGAGCCATTAACAATATTTTACATCTAGATAATTTGTGAAAAGAAATATCAATTTTTAAAAATGCTAGTATTTCCACATGTGATTTCCTTCCATCTCAAAAATTGTGGCTTCAAACAATTTACATAGCGGAGATCAAAAGGAAGTGGAGTGCATCGTCATAATCGTATTAAATATTTTGTTAGATTTTAATGAATTATTTTACGTCTTCCCACACCACTATGTTTAGTCTCTGCAATCTCAGCTCTCAATGATTTTTGTGCAAATGAAAGAAAACTGGGACGAAATGCAAGATTTTATTGCAGGGTATACAGCAGAATACAGTACAGGTACAGCTCATAGCTAATTTGTCACTTTCTAAATGTAATGCACAAGGAATTTTTATTTAAATGAGCTTGAAAAAAAAGCTATAAATTGATGATTTTCTGTTAATTGGCAGTAATTCATTTTATATTGGTGTGCAGTTGTTAGCTGAGTTTTATACTGTTCGTTGCCTATTTGCTGAAACTTTAATATTAAATATTATTGAGATTGGATTAGAATGTGGGAGGGTTATAATAAATTGTTTGCATTCGAAAGCTCATTGACGAACTGAAAAATTAAAAATTGTGGCAGTCACTGTTATTTCTAAAATTAACCTGGTAGTAACCTTCAGAAATTAAATGCCGAGAAACCAGTTTAGTATTCCCGACTTAAAAAACCCGGATGCAGACAAAGTTCGTTTAGAGGTAAATTTATGACTTACTTTAGTAGTACAAGAAACTTATTTTAAAAAAATGATCTAGATGATCAATTTCATGCTTTTTTTGTTGAAATATTACAGGCATAGAAATTGCTATAGATATCAGTAATACAATAAATGGAAATTCGTTGGTTGATGTTTGAGTTTCAGATCAAAAAAGCATGCGAGAAGTTCATGTTGTCCGATGATAATCTTATGAAAGTGTCAAAAATCATGGATGACGAAATGAACCGGGGCTTGCGGGGCGAGTCCAGTAAGACACTGATATAAATGATAATGTGTATTGATTGTAATGCTAATAATTTAAAGCGTAAAGTTGCAGGATGATTTCTACTCAAAAGATAAATGAAATGTGACACAAAAGTCTCAAAAATCTTTTTATAACATTTTCAAACTTAAAATTATGAATGCAAGAAAAGAATAGGTATCGTACGAATTTCTCTACTACAGGTTGCCTGAAAATGTTGCCATCGTTCGTTCGGGCAGTTCCGAACGGTACGGAACGAGGCGATTTCCTGGCACTTGATCTTGGCGGTACCAATTTTCGAGTGTTGCTGATTAAACTGAAGGGTGATGTAGCTGAGATGACTGGTAAAGTATATCGTATACCTGAGGAAATTATGAGAGGTGTTGGCACTGCGGTATATCTTATATTCTTTTTAAGTATTCCGAAATACTTGCAATTTACTTGCATTCAAATCAAACAGAAACAAACAAATTGCAGAACTTGCTTGCATACTGCAGTTACGTTTTTGCTAATCCCTTCTAGGATGCATAAAATTATTTGATCTAATTATCTGATTCTTCAACCTACTGAATAACTGATTACTAGACTGAACAATTTGCTTATTTATAGACCAAGATAATTAGAGATTTATTAATTAAAGAGGGCACTGAAACTTAATAAATTCCACGGATTTCGGTTTTTCAGGAAAACAATATCTTCTATTTTCTTAATAGCCAAAATTTTCTAACTTCAACAACAACCATACTTCATCCAGAAGTTAAATATAAAATTTTGATAAAAGTTGGCGGTTTATTTCCAAATTCTATGCTCCTTGTATTGTTGCTTACAATCAGAACTCTCAATTTCTTAGTTTTTGTCACCATATTATATTAATAACTTAATAATTCAAAATATTATCACGAAAAAACAACTTGATTCTGCGAAAAGCAAAAAAAAGTGGCAACAGATTAACTTCGTGGTGACATTTCTTTAGTTGTAAATTCCGGAAATGTTCTGTTTTCTACTAACGGTAGAGTCAGATAAATTAGACATATAGTCTTTATTTTCATTATCTTCAATACGCTCAATAACTGATCGTATTTTCATCAGACTGAACAAGTGAAGCTTACTTTTAAACTATCCAAAATCATAATTGCTTAATTCGTATTGGAAGCAGAATTTTGTCTTTTTTTTTTTTGCTTATAACGAATTCAAATATAAAAGCCATTTCTAAAAATTTAATCATAACCTGCTTTGGTGAATTGATGGTCTTCCATTTCATGATTGAATAGATTTGAAGCACTTTAAATTTACGATTTCAATGAAAAATTAACCAGATTTGACTAGTTTTCTTCTTTCATTGCTTCATCTTTGAAATATGACTACGAAGTTAAGCAACAGTCACGGGATGACACTATTCCTCTTTACAGTACTATTCGGCTTGGAGAAATCCTTAGATTATTAGCCAGAATCATAAAATATTTAAGAAACTAATTTGATTAATAATTGCCTACTAATTTAATTAATGCTGTAAAAGCTAAAGCAGTCATTTCCGCATTTGCTTTATAAGAGAAGGAATATTTACTTTAAGAACTTCAAGTAAACCAGCAACGAGCAGACAAGTCTAGTTGTGTATAGAAAAAATTATTTATAAATTGGATTGGCCATCTATGATTTATAGCTATTTGATCATATTGGCCAATGCTTAGCGGATTTCCTAGAAGAACATAATTTAAAAGAATCCAAAGAGTTGCCTCTCGGTTTCACATTCTCATTCCCCGTGGAACAAGAAAACCTTACCGCTGGCAAACTAATTAATTGGACGAAAGGTTTCAATGCGAAAGGAGTGGAAGGCCAAGACGTCGTTCAATTCCTTCGAGATGCGTGTAATCGACGTAAGGTATAACATTGTCCATTTTCCTATGTGATATTTTATTCTTTGCTCAATCGCTGAACGCTTTTCTGCATTTCATTAAACCTTCTATTTCACTGAAATTAATGCATAATTCAGGTATTAAATAGTTGAAATTTTAGGATATAAGTATTGATGTAGTAGCATTACTTAATGATACAGTTGGCACTTTGATGGCATGTGCCTTTAAAGACAATACTTGTCAAATCGGTGTTATCCTTGGAACTGGCACAAATGCCTGCTACATGGAAAAGCTATCCAATTGCCCAAAATTCAAAAAATATGGATTTGACAGAGACAAATATCCAAAAGAAGTTAGTTTGATAATATAATTTAATAATTTAACGAAAACTAATCATTTTATTAGATTTCAATTGAAGATAATTCCGACACTTATGTATTGCTTTCTGGTTTATAGATCAAAATACATTTAGATGATTATAAACATAGAATGGGGAGCCTTTGGTGATAATGGCTGCATAGATTTTCTTCGCACAGAATTTGACAGAGACGTCGATGGTGGATCTATCAATCCGGGTAAACATCTGTAAGTTAGCTCTTCTGATAGACTTGAATGTTCAAACTTATAAAGTAAAATAAGATTGAGAGTTTATTTTCCATTTATTTTATTAAAATATGACTACTATTTAGAAGTCATAAGGTATATTTGAAGATTTGAAAAGATGATTTCTGGGATGTACTTGGGAGAGATTGTGCGCCTTGTTCTTGTAAAACTTGCAAAGGAGAAAATGCTCTTCGATGGTGATTATGAAGCTATTTCAAAGCCAAATTGTTTTCCAACCAAATTTGTCTCCGATATTGAGGAGTTCAATTTTTTCCTTTTCGATATCATTTATGAATTGTCAAATGGTTTTTTATGTCATTCGAATCAAGCTTTTCAAAAAAGAGACGGTAAAAGTAAAACATAGGGATAATAAATATTAGCAAAAACTTGATTTCTTATATTGTTACTCTTAATTTCTTAGTAATATCTTAGTTATTTTTAAAAATGCTTTCTACAGTTATTTTATGACTAATTCAGACAAAAGGGTCTCGGCGATTTACGAAGAACACTTCAAATCCTTCAACAAATCGGAATTAATAAAATAAGTGATAGCGATTGCTTTCATGTTGCATATGTTTGCGAAGTGGTCAGCACTCGGTACTTTCATTTTTGGTTCTAGGAAGCCATCTTTCCATCCTTGTTTTATCTTTGGTTCCTTTCAGGAAAAAAATATAATCTTAAGTGGCATTTTATTAACATTTCTTTTAACTTTATTCTCTATTCAAAGATAATACCTCTTTAACGAATAAATTGGTAATAAGTAAAACTAGAGATTATTGATAATTTGGTAAATGTTGATCAGTTAAATCAAATTTATGATAAATTAAATTGAGTTTTCATTACTAGCACATTAATTACTTTTAACAGAGTAAGCATTTTTAGGGCTGCATATCTCACTGCAGCTGGCATATCATGTATTTTGACCCGTATGCAAAAGAAATTTGTAACAGTGGGAGTAGATGGATCGGTGTATCGGTTTCACCCGAAATTCGACAAAATTCTTGATGCGAAAATCAATGACTTATTGCCAAAAAATCTTGATGTATGTCAAATTTTCTGCTAAATTTTGTTTTAATAACCTGAACTTATTTAATAAAATTCCCAGTTCAATTTAGACTCCTTTTAGATAATAAATAGCGCCTTTCAAAATAATTAAGTCAAGGGGGCAGCAGTGGTGAACATCTCTGTTATATGACCATTAAAGTCTACATTTTGTCAAAAATTTGACCGAATAAAGTTTTCCAGTACCAACTTATGCTGTCGGAAGATGGAAGCGGTCGTGGAGCAGCACTTGTCGCTGCTGTTGCTGATCGGATCAGGAAGGAACATGAATAAACCAACGGATAATTGCTAAAACAAAATACTGTCAATACAGTCACCGAGATTACTGATAACATTGATAGCATATTTTATAATATACAACTAATTTTTGACCTACCAATAAACTCTTACATTTTATCAATAAGATTGCGACCTCTTCATTGGTTGATGATTTCTTGCAACCAGCAAATTATTTCATACTTTTGTTTGATTAATTCGTATCTTAGTCTATGAACATCGGTCACTTCATTTATTATATCTCTTCACAATACCTCTCACACAGGACAATTCAAATTCATCTCCTTCGATGAATTTACATCATGTACAAATGGACAAATATTAATGTGAATTAATGTTTGAAAAAAAAAAAAGAACAATTTAAATTAACAACGAATGTTAACAGTATATTATTATTTGAGCATAATAGTGATTACTCACTAAAACAAAACTTTAATCTCAGCTGTTCTTCTCATTTCCCTTATTTCCTTTGCCATCAAATTTACAATTTTATGTAACAAAAAAAATATAATGAATTCAAAAAAAAGAAAAAAGAAACATGATGAGACTCATTAAAATTATTAAGGTACAGCTTAATAATTAAAATTATTAATTTAAATTAAAATTATTAAGATAAAGTGAAATCGATTAACGAAATAAGAAATGAAGAAATTGGGATGAAAATCTCTAATCACCAAGAAATGCTTTCATGTAGACATGTCAATTTGCAATTTTTTTTTTGCAAACTTGTAAAAAAATATCCATTTCATCTACACTTCATCAGATGCGTTTTACAATTTAAGATATATAAGCAATGAGAAAAGTGAAGAGAGGAACTAAACAGTAAGAGAAATATTCAGTAATAATGGTCAAACTTTACTTTGGCTTAGTCTAGTTATGTGAAGCAACTGTTAGCAATTAACACTTTTACTTCTATTATAATTAATTGCAAGAGAGACAAGGAATACACTTACAAGATAACATTAACAAAATATTACTTTTCTGCATGAAATTCACTTTCGGCTATGCAAATTTTCATTGTTTTTTTATCATGCAAAGCTATCGTATTCTCTAACCAATGGTTGGTTCATTTATACATAATAGAATTTGCAAGACGTTTAGTGCTACTGTGCTTCTGATAAGCAGTTATTTTAAGGTTCCGATGTTTTACTCAAAGATATTTAAAGCATCGAGCGGAATAAGTATCATTTTATCTGTATGACTTATAAAATCAATAACATAATTTTATATGAAACGAAACAAATTTTATCATGAATTATTTTCAGCAATAAGAAATTTATGCAACTGGAAACTATTTCACTTATTTTGATAATTTATTTCATTAAATTAGTAAGTTTTTACTCGTTTATTACAATAAGTCTGTGAAATAATTAAAAATGCGTTTAAGAAACTTCCATCAACAATCATTGAAATTATACAATTCTTGATGTTTTATATTTAGGTTGCTTATGTTTTCTTCGATTAAAAAATCCAGGAAAAAATAATAATTTGGGAATGTTTTTAAATTTGACTCGCATATTCCTATATGGGAATATATTCATATTTTAGTAGAAATTTCTGAGTTTTTGCAAAAAACCCAGTGCTATTTTCAATAACCTAGTGATTATTTTTTAAGCCATTATTATTGTTGAACCACCAAATTCCAGCATTAAAATCAGTCTTAATTAATAATAAACTATGCAAATTATGTGAAAACTTTTTAGCATTGTGTCCTGTGTCAGAGAGATATCAAGCCATCTGATCTGAGTACTTCGTATGATAGCCAAAGAATTCGACGATTAAAGCGTGAACTTGCAAACAATATTGTAGAAGGTCCACAAGGTAAGAAAGGACCACGGGGTCCACCGGGTCCCACAGGTCCTCCAGGACTGCAAGGAGAAAGAGGGCCACCCGGTGAACAAGGTCCACCTGGTCCACCAGGCCCTCCTGGTCCAAAGCGTAAAGATAGAAGGAACTTTGGTAAGCTTTTCCTACATGTTTTGAGTGATTTTTTTTTTTCTTTAGATTTCTTCTGAGAAAATCTACAAGAAATAATTCCCAGTTGATTGTTAGATCTTCAACTAACTCTTCGAAATATTTGACAATTTCTAAAATTTACAGAACTCAAACTAGAACTAATTAGTCGAAGATATTCTTTTAAGAAAAACCGGTATTAGTGGGAATAGCAGTGGGTGCACTATTTGCGTGTTCACTTGCGCTGGTATTCTTTCTTCTGTCTGCAACCAGAGTGATACTGCGAAGTTCCAACGACGCTGAGGAAGAGTAATCTAAGTGATAATGGAGAAATCCAACGATGGCAAAAATGATGCCGGATTGATATTACTATACTCATACAGAAATTGGTTAAAATAATGAATTTAATTTATTTTATGCATAAAAGTTATTAACTACGCCATAGAAGTTCATTTGAAGTAAAATATTTAAGTGAAATTGTTGATTAAAGAAGCTTTGACAATGATAAAAACAAATAATACTCCTTGATAAACTGAAAGAAACATCTCATAAGAAAGATAAGAGTTCATTATCAATGAAAAACTAATTGGTAGATAATGATTATCATGAGACGATCTACTTTTTCATCTCGAAGTGTTAGTGGTCTTTGAAAGCTTTATGGTGAGCTCATCTAACTTTCTCAGCCTAATTACTTGAGAATACATCATGTAACTTTTCATAATAGCTAGGTGTAGATGAAGTCGAATATAATCCGATTATTTTGTCATTAAGTTCATCATAAATAATGGAAATTTCCTAAATTTACCTGAAAATCCAAAGTCTGCTTAAACCACGAAAAATTTAGTTTAAATGAAAAAATTCTATTCAGATGATTTGATTTTCTTACTGATGGCGCTGAAACAGTTAAGTTAAAATAATATAGAAAGCAATTATTACTCAAATTTCAGAAAGAGAGCAAAGAGAGAAATGGAAGAAAGGATTCAATTCTTTGCGCTAAAAAATAAAATTATGCAGTATGAATTCAGCAATTTTACCACACACACACACATATACACACATAGACGATGAAAACGTCTTTCAAAATATCTTAAGCTGCTTGTCACTTTTCAAATATTTCACGAGGAACAGTTAATCATTGTGAACATTTATATTACTATTAAAATCGAAGTATATATATAATTTTATGTTGGCTTAAAATCAAAACCATATCACTGAAGCTACATTTGAATATTTTAATCTTAGCATAACTTGAAAATCTTTAATTACATCATCGTTTCTTCAAAAATATAAATACAAATTAGAAAATTATGCACTGAATCAGATGAGTCCGCTTTCATTCTCCAAGGTGACTACGTTTAAATTTCCAATAGTTTTCTTTTTCAATTCTATATATATACTTCTTCCATCACCCATTGCATTATCATCGATACCTGGCAACGTAGATTTACCATTGTTCGGCTTTGACCTAAAACTTTGATTGCAGTTGTCCTCGTTCTCAAAAAAAAAAAAAAAAAAAAGCTAATGAAAATGATTAGAACTGATCGGATGAACAGATTATAATGATCGCTAGTTCCAGATTTCTCCATCTTTGTCCAGCTTTTTACTTACTCAAAGGATCAAAACGAGATTGCAATGCTACTCTGCAATAAATAAAACAAAAAATAATTGAACTTACACGGGGAATACAATAGAGAATGTTCTCGTTTTCTTGAAAATACAATAAATTATAATAAACACAGTAAACAGAAGTAGAATAGTGCCAGCGATGATGAGATATTGTTTCAATTCCTCATATTCCATTAACGGTGTTCCTCAATGCTTTCTACTGTTCACTCAACAATTTTCCAAAATTGACAAATGCATGTCAAAAAAAGGAATTGAGGCTACTAAAATTCTTGTTGAATTTTTTATAAATGAAGGTCAGAACTAAAAAGGTTGATTTACAAGGCACAAAGATTAAGGAACAAATTAATTATTCACTGGATTAAAAAAGAAGTTTGTTTTATATCCGTGAAGTAAAGAAGAGAGATAATGCGATTTCATTCATTTAAATTGAGTGAAATTCCAAGCAATTCGATGAACAGCACAATAGCTTCAATTGCAAACTATTCAACTATGACTTGCTTCTAACCTGGATGAGTGGCTGAACTGAACTAGAAGGATTTTCCGATTGCTTAGAAAAAAAAAATATTCTAGCAGAACGATCTGCACTGCATGAGAGATATTTACACAGAGAAAAATTGATCTGAAGTTATCAGAATAGTAGGAATCTACAACAAAATGAAATTAATGCGTCATGTCGCAGACATCTTGCAACAATTATCGATGGAAGCAAACCATTGATGCATTTCTATAAATCGGGAAAATTCGTTTGTGTAAAATAATATTTTATCTTTCTTTGCAGCCAAGAAAAAGCCAAGAAAAACGGCAGGCTAAGTGATCGATTTTAAGTGTACTTTTAGAAGAAATTTGTCTTTTTCCAAATAATAAAAAATGAAGAAACCATATCACTCGTCAAATAATAAAAAATAGCAATATAATAATAACAGTGATGGCCCAGAAGTGTTTGAATTCGAGGAGAAAGAAATAATTATTAAAATATTGCAAATGTCCATTCTCAGAAAATCCGACTAACATAAGTTAAGAAGCCGAAACAGATATTTAAAAATTGAAATAAATTGATAAATTGCTATTCTGTATGATGGTAATTAATTGCTAATTAGCGAGAAATCCCTTACCTTACATAACTATCATTCAGATGATCATTGCTTTTATAGTATCAAAACAGTTCGCATTTCAGGTTTGACATTTTTAAAATCACATTAGCTTTGAAGTGAGACATTTGGTTGTAAAAGCCTATCAAAATTCATGTTGAACAATGAATGATAGCATTTAACAAGTAAACATCAGAAGGAAAGGATAGAAAATGATTAAGAAAAACTGATCTTTATTACGAAAATCGAAAGTGCATAATACATACAACAATGAAATTTGACTATTTAAGAGTAATTGATCTGGTCAAATTTGAAGAAATCAAACTATTTTCGAAATTTTTGAAATTCATTTATCAATACTATTAACTATTACTACATTCCAGATGAACAAGTTCTCTCAGCATTATGTTATATGTTTTCATAACCTATTAAAAAAACAGTATCACGGAAAAGGCTCAGACTTATCAAATTAATACTCGAAGATATCAACTGTCTTTCTCACCTGATTGTATCGACGACATATTGGATATGGTCTCATTCGTTTATATCATGTCACGCCATAGCATTTATTACTATTTCTTGGAGGAATGCTAAGTAAATAAGAAATGAACTTTTGACTACAACAAATATGGAATGGAAAGCATACTGATTCAGACCTTCAGAAAGGGAAAAGATTGCAAATGATGAGTTTTTTCCTGATGAATTTGATTAGCTTTAGAATTGGAATTTTCTCCAACCTTAAAGAGTAGAAAAAAATTCTAGATTAAAATTTTAAGTATCGAATGAAAGTAAAAAGCCAAACACAATGCTAAAATGTGTTTTTGTGCGACTTTACGCACTACCCTGTTTCGTTTGAATCAACTATTCATTCGCTTTTCAAGAATGGAAATCTCTGACCATTATCGGCTTCTAACCATCTGCTAATGGATTGAGGGTCAGAAGCTGATGAAGGATAAACTTTTCTGAGCTTCCGTAATGTTCCATGATGCGCCAATCTTATCTGACAATAATACAAATTATCTTCGCTAAAGATTCGCTAAAAGTCTCAAAATTATTATAAGGAAATCTGGAAAGGCCGGTTTGTCTTAATTTCATACCTTGAAATTACTTATAAATAGTCTTTTCGTTTTTTTCTGATCAAAAATTATTCATTAGTCTTTTTCAGATTTTATTACTATTCTATCAGGAAAATATCACTGCAGAATCAAAAGACACTGCTAATAACATCAGAGATATATAATAAATAATATTAACAATTAAAAATGTTAAGAGAAAAAATAATAAGAGAGAAATTAGTGCAATGAAATGTGGACCATTCCTTGAAGAGGATAACGATGAATGAATGAGTACAGCGATCACTACTAGTGTACCTAGAAAAGCAGATCTAGGTTATCGCTGCGATATCAGTCAACGTTAACGATGTTCCAGGGGTATTGCATCAGCAAGAATAATCAACCCATCATCCACATATCACAAGGTATCGCTATATTTCTCTGCAAATATGTTCTTATAAATTACTTTAAATCATCAATGCCAGCATTGCAACATATATGCATGATGTCTGTAATCAATAATAATAATTCTGATAAACCCATTCTCCTTTTTTAACTCATTCACATTCTTCTAAGTCGGAACTTCAAAGACAATGAATCATATTTTTGAAAAGATCTCAAAAAAAGACGTATAAATATAAGTACTGAAATTAGTGGCTACAACTGTCTTTTCCGCTTGCAATCTCCACCTTATACTTCTTAATTGATACAGCTGCATTTCACTCAAATGTAAGATTATTTCTAAAAAAATACGTAACGAATGAATAATTCACTAATTAATAAGCAAATAGTTTTTTCCAATAATAAAACGTGACCCAGAACGAAATCAATTTTGGGAAATGGTTCAATTATATCATAAAGTATGGAGAAGAAAGAAGCCAATCAACCAAACGGATGTTTGTATTCGGCGTGGAAATACAAATAAACATTTTAAGCAGACAAGTGGGATATTTTAATTAAAGCAATGAAGGGCACTTTGTAATAAAGGAACCCTTGCTGTATCTGAAAGGTGAAAGCATTTCCTTATAAGCCACAGTACTGATTCATATCGATTCGACTGATCGACAATCAAACGTTGAAAGCATTCATTACTGCATTTAATTTTCTCAGTGCATTCCCCATCACCCACTTTTCTTTATTTTTTAATCAGTAATAATTAATAACTGATAACTAATAATTGATAATAACGATGGTAATATATTAAAATAAAATAATAACGATAATAATAATAATTTATTATGATAATAAATTACAATAATAATAATATATAATAATAATAAATTACAATAATAATAATTTATTATTATTAACGCAATTTCTATTATTATTATTACTATAAATTTAACATATAAATTTAGTTAGTAGTAATAATGGTTATTAGTTTAAATAATCCCACTTAATTATTATAATTAGTCCAAAAATAAAGAAAATATCCATTATTAATATGTTTGAAAATATACGAAATCAATTTTAAGCACGCCACGATTTAAGTACTTTAAGTAGATGTAAGCATTTTTCGATATATGTATTAGGTAAGCAATTCTTTTTTTATATTTTTGTTATATATTTAGTAAATGGATCCCATCTTTTGCCCTTCTGTTTACATTCATAAGCGTATCAAACAAAACTCACATCTATTGTTATGTTATGTTATGTTATGTTAGAAATAATCAATTTGTTCAATGAATTTATTTTGAAATTTTAACGCAAGAAAGGCTTCTCATAAAAGTCTTAAGCGGATGCAACAGTGCAGCACAACCGCAAACTTCATAAAGAATTTAATTACCTGGTCTGAGATGACAAGGCAGCACTTACATATGAAAATGATTTTGCAGTTTACTACAGAAGACAACCATTACCATCGATATTATTTAATGTTTATGATAAATCGTTTACTGAAGAGACAAAGACATTCAGTTTTACAAACAAAAAGATAGAGACACCAAATATGAAAGGCACCGCAGTATTAATTCATTGATAGACAGACTCCAAACATAGAATTTGATAATCGGAAATTTAACCGAGTAATAATTTGGATTTGCTTTGAAAACAGTAGAAAAATGTTCCTCTACAGTGAGTAGTAACTTTCTGAAAAAATTGCGGACTTTTCTTCAAAACATTTTACTCGGGAAACAATCTAATTCCCAGCTTTATCTACAAAAATTAGAAAAGATGAAAACTCTCAGTAAAGTATCTCGAGAAACACAAAATATTTGCAACAACTACGTAAGTGCTGCATTTTCCCATCTCATTTAAAGTACATGTGCAACTCTTTCATGTTTGATTAGCATTCATCAAAGCCATATCAAAATGTCAACTTCAATCGTATTTGATATGAAACATCCTATCTTTTAGTAAACATAACTGAGATTAGTTCGACTACATCGCTTAACTTGCTTCTTAATTATTATACGAACTGGAAAACAAGAAACATCCGACATTACCGCTAGCAAAATATTTAGAGGTTTATGTTTACGTCACATCGGAGAAGTGAAACAGACTGAGTTTTTATCTCCAGTTTTATATAATATTCATTGCAATAATTTGACAAAAAAGGAGACTAAACGTATAACTCAAAAAAAAAAAAAAAAAATTGAATTTTTGGTTTACAATACTTTTGTGTTGTAAACAGCGTTTGGTACGCTATAGGGCATTTCCCCTGCATAGTGATAAAAAATAGGACAGGTTGAGGATGGAAACTGGAGTGGATGTATAATCAACAATATTAAATTGATGATGCAGCGTGAACTCACATCGAGATTGATTATTTGAGACCAGAGAACGTAGCTAATATCTGAAAGCCTGAGTAACACCAAAATCAGAAGGCATCAAAAGTGTTAAAGAATCCTTATAAACGTACAGTCTCGAATATTCCTACTCATGCATATAAACCCCCACTAACAACTAATTTTATTACCAACTAATTGGTAATAAAAATTCTAAAATCATCCAATCCTCGATTTACATATTTGCAAAATTGAAACAAATCGCGATAGAATGAAATTTATAAAATTGTTTTATTAAAAAAAACTCCAAAATATCACCCAAAAAACATTTTGTGTTTTCACATAGGGAAAGAAAAGATATCACATAGTGTAAACAGATGAGAGAACAAAATATTATATTAAAAAAAGTGAAAATTCTAAACAAAACCAGAAGAGTTACTTAATATAACTAATAAAAATGAAGGGAAAAAATTAACCGAAGAGTTGGTCAAAATTAATACAAAATATGAAGTCCGTAATCATCCAAAAGTTTGATGTGAAATAAATTCCAAAACCGTCGCTTTGATACGAGTTTGGAAAGGAAAATGGCCAAATGGCCAATGGATCTTCACTGATTTATGAAAGTTAAGGAAAGTTTTCGCATTTTATTTAAAAATGTCATATTGGAAGTGCCGTATATATAGATCTCAAAAAGTGAAAACTATAAACAATTTTTTTATTCCATTTACTCAATATTCTTGAGGACATTCAAGAGAAATTTTGTTTCACTAGTGGAAGATATTCATTCTAATATTAGACTATGCTTTGATAGCTCTAGCCTTTCAAAATTCATTCTTTTCGTTCAATTCGTTAATAAAGTTTAAAATCTAGTTATAGTGCTATATTTTGAAACGTTTTGAATTCATTGAAACATAACTGCCAGGATTTGTATAAACACGAAGCGTAGAGCCATTAGATAGTTTTGCATGTTTATATTCCTCACTGTTCATTGCCTGTATCCATGGTTTATTATTGTCTGGTGAAGTTGGATTTAATCTTCCTTGAGGTAAGACTTTTCGTTTTCGTGTGTAGCTTCCAATTCTAACGCATTCATAATTTGGGAGAGTTCTGCTTTCCATCTCAACAGGATGTTGCTGTGCTCTCACTGTTACATTATCATTCCAAAACGTAATGCGCTTCTCTCTGCGTCTTAGTGAATTATTCTTGAATGACATTCGCTGATCCTCCAAACTAAATGTCATTGTTAGAAAGAGATCCGATGTTTAATAGAACATAGGATGTTTCTGTCCTTCTATATTTTAGCAAAAGAAAAAGAATACAAACTTGGCAACAGAAACATCTTCATATTCTTCTTCACCACAAAAATCAATATCAAATTTGTCAGTAACAGAGTTCACAAACTGCAGAAGCGATCTCGAACGTCCTTAAAACATTTTTAGTTATTATTATCAACGATTTTAATTCGATTCAGTAATGAAAATTCTTCTTAGAAAGTGCTCACTGATTCGTATGGCTCTGAATGAAATAAAGAATTACATCATCATTCCTCAAAATAGTCTTCGGACCGGCAACTACCACTTTTTCTAGCATATATATATATAATCATTCCTAACAATAATAACAAATCATTTTATTTTCCATTAAATATTTTTCTTGATCACTTCAATAAATGAATAAATAAATGTTCCCGTTTGTACAACTGTTGTTTCTCTTAAACAAATTGACTATAAACAACTGACCTGCAAGTGGAGGAGTTCGTTTCGATAGCTGAATCGAAGACGCTATAGTCTGTTCCGCTTCTTCTTCACTACGTTTTTTCGACAAAGGTGACAAGTTCGGTGCAGCAAGTAAGCATACTGAAAGCATCAACACCGCAAGGCAAGTACCAGCATGTACCTTTCGTTTCGATCCATTAGCAACCATGCTTTGTAGTTTTCGCAACTGCGATAAATATGTTGAATTTAATATTTTCAGATGTTCCACCTGCAACTGCTTGTTCTTCATTTTTGTTATTCTAATGAATGAAGCATTTATAAAGTAAGAAAAAAGAATAAGGTCGATATGTGAAATCCTTAGCATGTACAACTCCCGTTTTCTCATTTGAGCACAACTTAACAAGATCATAAGCGACGAAAAATCGAAAAATGGAACAGTTAAAAAAGATACCTGTTTCTTCAGTTCCTCATTCTCCTGAGTGCAATTCTCCACGCGGTCCTCTAGTGCTTCAATATAGTCCTGGAAGCTTCGTAATGAATTCAAAATATAAACAAGCTTGAAGAAAGAAAGTAGAGATCCAATAATAAGTTACTTGTTTTTTTTTGCGACTTGTTTGAGCTGAATGTTTATTTCTAATTTTCCGACGTATACGCTTCAGTTCTCTTTCTTCTGCTTTTGTCAACGGGTAATATTCTGGCAACCGAATCCCTTCCTTTTTACATAATTTCTTTTCCTCATCGGTCAATATAAGTGGTGAGTATTTCCGTTTGCCTAAAGATATTTAAAACTATACTTTGAATTATCATTGATCCGCTATTTGTCTTAAACCTCTGTTTTAGTGCTAAAAAATACCAAATAATCAATATATAGGATATAGTAAAAAACAATAAGAACAAAGAATATAAACGGTCCTAATATGATAAGAGATGAAAGTGTCAACAAAAAAAAATACCTCCTGAGCCAACTCGAGTAAATGGCGTTCTTGTCTTCTTGTTAATCTCAATTATATTGAACCGATTCGCTTTATGCGTAGAAACAATCGAAGGAGTAGAGCAGACCGCTTTTAAAGTATGCTCTAAAGATATATATGAACACTGACAATTATCAAGATACTCAATTCACACATTAGAGGAAACATACCTGTTTTATTTTCCCTTTGTGGTGGTGGTAAAAAGTTTTGTTCACTGTTCCAATCTTCAAGGATTTCTCTACTTGCTTCCTAAATACCGAAATTAAATGGATGAAGTAAGTTTCGTGCACTTCATTGCCGGTTAAGTATTATTAAAAAAGTAAGGAAATAAAGACGAAATCTAAATCAGTAGAATAAAAGTAAAATACTTGAAGCACATCAAACTCTGTACTCTGTAGAAACGAAGCCATGGAACTGCTTCCTCCATATATCGAGGATGTGGCCGATTCTGCTAAAAACGAATTACAGTAAGTCTCAAATTTCAAAAATTCATTTTATAATTCAGGAAGCCAACAGCAACTGGATGCATGCATAAAGACGATTAGACAGTGACAAGTCACGAAATCTCGTGAAACTCACCCACTCATCCTCACAAAAACTTACTTCGTACGGACGCATAGGAATGTTCCTCTTCAACATTCTCATGCGCGTCTAACTGTAAACATAAACTATCCAGCAAACAGTTCGAACCATCTAAATATGGCACTGGCGATATGTATGACCCGTTAGATTCCGAATTATTTTCGACAAGATTAGGATCATCATTCGATAAAAATGGATTATAAACATCTGAGGAGTTGCCACCGGATAACATCAAGTCTGTATGTGGGTCCGTTAATATTTTATCCAAATCGAGATCGAATGGTGTACTCTCCATCCCACCTGAAATAAGAATACTGCACATTTATGCATTAAAAATTTTCTTTTTCTGCAATTCCAGACATCCGAATATTTTTGAAAAGTGAAATTTAAAAGTTGGCAGTCCACTAAAATATCACGTATGTACGAACGATACCGTCTTTTTTCTAAATGCAAAACATCGAGATTTTACTGATATACTGATATGTGAATGTTTCTTGCTAAACGGACAAAAAACTGATTAATGTATACAAAAACAACTAGCAGTATATAAAAGGCTACTGGTAATGGAACAATTTGCATCAAAAACACAGAGAATGTGATTGATAATTGTAGCAAATTCTGACAATTCAGTTCATTTAGTTTATAGATCAAATTTAGGTATTAACGTATAATGAAAAAAATCAATATGGATGAAAGTGGCATAAGAAAATTAAACAAAGTGAGAAAATAAACTGGCAGAGACACTCTCGTAAATGCAATTAATAAGTAATACTATGGTATTAAAAAATAAATATATATAAATGGATGATCTCAAAGTTTCAACTTGCCAATTTTCTTTCCTAACAGACTGAATAAAAGAAACTAACAAGATCACATATTTATCAAATAAGAATAATGGAAAAGAAATTATAACAATGCAAAAAATCAAAGCAAGGAACAACAAATTAGATTTCATGACTTGAACATGCAAGATTTTGTGAGGTATACAAATATGTATATATACACATAGAGAGAGAGGGAGAGAGAGAGAGAGGGAGAAAGAGGAAGAGAGAAGGGGAAGAAAGATTTCTCCAAATTCAAAAAATTGCATTCACAGCATTTTTTTAATTTCAAATTTAAAACTTTAACACTACGTGGAGGCAAGGAGAAAACTATTTAAGAAAAAAAGGTCAGCACAAAAGACAAGTAAAACATTCCCAATAAAAGAAAAATTAAATCAAAAATAAACTAAAGTGCGCTTTGTAAACAGGAACAAAAAAAGTATAATTTGGAACATTTTATGGAAATGATCTAAAAACAAACTCTTAGAAACTCTTCGCTGTTTATATCTGACTGATTCTTTGAGAAATGCTGTCCTCCACTGCGAAATTTGAGAAAAAGAACCAGCGACAACAAATCAAAGTGTTGTCTTGAAAATGACAGCAATAATTTAAAGCTCTTAATGCAGGAAGTGAAAGAACGAAATTATCAATATGAAACCGGATGCCACTAGAAAATTAATTTTGCGACGGTGGTACATAACTCGGCTGCGAACTCACAAAATAATCGTCGAAAAAGTGGAAAAGATAATCGAAAGTTGGTCTTCGATCAGGTACCTGAAATCATAATACTTAACATGTCAAAACAAAAATGTTAACAAGAAGTAAAACATCGGAAATGTTAAACGTTATCAAATCAATTTTCAAGAATTGATGTTAAACACCAAATTTTTAAGAACTTGAAACATTTTTTTTTTGGGAAAGTGCAAATAAATAACAATTAACAATCAAGTATGGTACCTTATCCCAGCACTTCAACATGACTTCAGTGTATATTTGCTCGGGGCATCCACGTGGCATTGGCATACGATAGCCTAATTCCACTTGTTCTATTACCTCTCGATTATGCATTCCTGAAAATTTTTCAGAAAAATAAAAATTAACATGATTCAAGCTATTATGTTATCGCCTAAAAAGTGCAGCATATATCACTTTCATATGATTAAAACGAATAAGTAAAAATAAAATTCTTAATCACAGTACCTATGGAAAATATTAAGTAATCAAAAAAAGTAGGTCACGCCTTAATATACAGTAACCATCGTTGTTTTAACTTACCTGGATAAGGTACCTGACCCTTGGTAATGATCTCATACAACAGAATTCCATACGACCAAACATCAGACTTCACGGTAAAATTGCCGCAAGTTGCTGCCTCTGGTGCAGTCCATTTTATCGGGAACTTTGCTCCTGTTCTTGCTTCATAGATATCTTCTTCCATTAACTTTCGTGCTAACCCAAAATCAGCAACCTAAAAATCAAGTAGCGTTTAATACATTACTGCTACCCAGCTCAGCATACCTAGGAAGTAGAAAACAAGATAAAATTTGCATACTTTAACAACAGGGACACCAGAAATCTTGTCACCAACCAACACATTTCTTGCAGCAAGATCTCGGTGTACTAATTTTCGCTCCTCCAAGTACATCATACCATTTGCTATCTTAAAAAGTCAATATAATATTAAGTTTATTACCTTTAGTAAAATTGGCATCAGCCGAGGAAAGCAGTACTGGTAATAAAAACCTGCAAAGAATGACGAAACATAAAAAGATTCCAGCAGAATTATTGTAAAAAGTAGTGCATAAAGTCCAACCTGTGCACACATATCCACAAGCGCTTGTAAAGTAAGACTGCTACCCTCGCTCCTCAAATAATGAAGCAATGCTCCATTCACCATATATTCAGTTATGATGTAAAATGGTTCTTCTTTAGTGCAAACAGCATATAATTTAACAAGGTTGGGATGGTCACACTGTTTCATGATTTGGGCCTCGCTGAAATGACAAAATTTTCTTCTTAAATATAAAATATTACAACAACAGAAAACTCCTGCTGCTTATTTGATAATTATATTTATGGATCACTCGTTTGTAGTATGCAGCTGCTTCAAATCTGATTAAACGCTATGAGTTTCATTCACAGTTATGCATAATCACCCTAGAAATGCTTCTGGTGACATCGTCCCAGGTTTCATTGTTTTGATAGCCACTTCTACCATACCACGCCATTTACCGTACCACACATCACCGAAATTTCCATCCCCTAACTTACGCTTTAGCTGAAGCTGATTTCGTGGGATTTCCCAATTCTGAAAAAGTAAATTTTTCCATCTAACACCAAGAAAAAAGTAAGAATGAACTCATTCTTTTCTGACAATAATCTTTGTTACGAAAAAAACACCTTACAGCAAATTAGTAAAAACATCAACCTGCTGTGTATCATGGGAAAGATCGGGACGAGTGGGAGCAATACGTGGTGCAGGAAACGATAACTGACAACAAAGGCCATCAGCTACTTCTGTAATAAAAACATCGCTCAAAAAAAAAAAAAAAAAAAAACAGTTAGAAAGAATTAACGCCAAAATATTAAGAATATTAAGCGACATGAAGTGTCATGAGTAAATGCCACTGCTTATAAAAAAAATTATATAAGAAAACATACTAAATTAATTTACCTGAATAATAGCTAACGAGATCCCTGAGAGTTGCAAAAGTCCTTCTAGTTGTAATAAAGAAACCAGCATCGCCGTCCAGTCTAAACGAAAGAGAGAAGCTAACAGAATAAACATGTGGCACTCGAATCTTTAAATCGATTTCTTTGCAACTTCCACTCAATATTCATCGTTACTCATCATTACTTAGTAGTGAACAATAAAAAAAAATGGAAATAATTTATGAAAAGGCTTATAAAACCGTAAAGAATTACATCAACTAAATTTATTCTAACGAGACAAACAATTTAAGCAAGAATACGAACCGTTTGATTTTGTAATGTTTCACAGTACCTCCACGCTGATCATCTGAATCCCTAATCGTAAGTGCATATTCCCGTGTATCTGCTTCTCGTTCACGTATAAGAAACGTCCCTTTCGGAAGATTACTTGCCAAAACTAATCTTTCTGCTCGATTGCGTGCGATTCGACCGGCGAACCATCTGAAATAAAACTTTTGAGATAAAAATTTTGATATGAGAGATAAAAAAGTTTCCAAATATAGAGTATGACTATTACATGTTAAAATATGTGACAAATCCTGTACATTGAAAGTCGCAAAATTTTGTAGTGGAAAGGAGGTTACAATCACTAACAGCAAGTGAAAAAAGTCGGATAGTAAAGAACAAGCTTACTCTTCACTCTCTACTGTTTGCTGTTTTGCGACGAAATTCCGCGGAACGTACCCCGTACCACCTTTCGAATGTCTCACATACCACCAATCTGAGTTGCTGAAATTATTATTTGGATGAAAGTGCTACTTTTGTAATGTCTTAGAGAAATGAAATCAATTAAGCCTACTGAAAACAACAAGACTTAATTACTGCGCAGTGAAAAAAAGAAAAAAGACCTGTGATCTAACAAATACATGACATCGCCTTTTCTGAAACTAAGATCGCCATCTGCTCGTGATTCATAAGCATACAAAGCAACCAAGACCTCTTTGCCAGAAGTTGGATCTGGAAACCAAAGTTGCAAAATATACTTTTTTCACTGTTTATTCGCTAAATATTTTTTTAACTTCATTTAGTTCATCTTAAAACCCAAAACTCTTGAAAACCTTGCAGGCAACGACTTTCTTGTCTTCGAGGAGTCAGTGCATCACTACAGTTCGCTTCTTTCAATGGCTCGATACTGCCGCGATCAACAGAAAATTTCGGAGAATTACGTTCACTACGAATATCCGAAGAAGGAGATGACTGACGCGGTGATCCAGAGAAGCAATTACCCATATCTCTATAATGTTTACATTATATCAGCATATCAACAGAGAGCATCGCAACTGCTACTTCCGCAAAGGAAAGCTCACTGAGATATGTCATAATAAAACATAAAACATAGATTTTTCAAACAGGAGGGACAACGATTCACAGCTAAATGTTTTATTTACTATAATCAGATTTTAATCACTAAACATCCCAAGCTATAACAGCAGTGACAACACGAGATTATCTCATAGACAACTTATTCCATAGTAAAAATAATAACTGTTGTTTGCTATTTTGATATTATTTTGCCATGAAAATGTCAGTTGAATAACAATCCTTAGGAAAAAAAGTGAAGGAAATTTTTCGGGAAAATTACAAATTATAAAACGAACTATAGGCCTGATCCTTCGCTGAGCTCGTCCGCAATATTCTACCCCAATAAAATATCACTCCGTTTGAGACGAATTCAATATACTGGTATGATAATTCTCTAGAAAATTAAAGTGTTTTAATAAAATTCAAGAAAAATTTGAAAAATAAGTGAACTTTTAAACAGCTATTCCTACTAAAGTAAAATCAAGTACTCCCAGTCGTTGTTCCCTCTTTGTTAAATGGCAGTTCCTATCATCAAAATTTCGCCTTCTACTGCATGTAAAATTTGCATCATAAATAAACAATATAATACAGGATAGAACAGATAATTCAAACTCTGCACCTGAAGCAACCTGATAACATGACTAACAAACTAATATTTTAATTTTTATCAAAAAAGTAGTCAAATCAAATAGTGCTGAATATAAAACGCTCGGAAAAACACATCACGTCTTACAAATGGAATCATTTGTATAGTATCAGAGAAAACATTCGATACAAAATCAAAATCATTAAGCAGAAATAATATTCTTATACATAACAAAAACATTTTAAACAAGAAAATTCCTTGAAAAGAAACCCCTAAATTCACAGATACATTAATTAATATGATTTAAACTGTAACTAAAACTTTTCAACTGATGCCATGATATATATATATAATACGTATATAATTAACCGTCCTCCATATTACATCCATAATGACGAAAAAAGATCCCTAATCTTACCGGAAATGACACATTTGAATAACTGGAAAGTGATAAATGAGAGACCTAAAGCGCACAGAAAGATCTCTTGCAGTCATCAATTTTTGATAAAATTTTTCTTGGCAACATGAGAAGTCTTTCGTTCTTCTTCCACAAATGTCAGTATTAGCGGTACAAAGATGAATATGAAAATGACGAATACCACAATGAACCAAAGTCCCTGTAACGAATTGATAGATTTTACATAAAGTATGTTACATTAAGACCTTTATTTTAACACATTTAAAGAAAAAAGAAAATACATTAACGACGAAAGATTGTTGCAGGTTGCAGTTGAAAGTATGATACACACATGAGACAATTTGCAAGCGATCCGCCATGGAATCTGTGAACCTATTGGTCAGTATATAAAAATGGCTTCAAAATAACTATCAGAATTCAACTGCCAAAAAAACCACTCACATAAAAATGTAAAAATGGTCATAACCACCTTAAAAGTAGTGTCAGGAGATCTTGCATCTACGAAATGAACAGCACCATCCGTATTTTCAACTGACAAATTATCCCGTATTTGTGCAACATAAGCATCTGTTTTCTCAAACAACTCCTCGACCCTTTTATCAGATAAATCATTTCTACTCAAAAGAGGCCTGCAAAATGGAAAAAATAAGAATGAACAAAAAATAGAAGAGTATATATAAACTTATGTCTTCTCAATATGCAGTTTTTTCAGAAAGATATTTAAAAAGCAGCTTTTAATAACCTATCATCAGCCATTTCCTCCGCCATCAGTTCGCCACGGCTATTGTTACCTAATAAATGACTTCCATGTTCCAAATCCAGTTCCTTTCGGAATTTGCTCACTGGGATTTTGACAAATGGCATAGCATAAATATCCTGTTCAGAAACGATGTTGTTGACCCTTTTCAAGTCCGACAGCTACAAGCGAATTATTCCATTTCATTTGGTTGATCAGTAAGACAGTTAAGCAAAATGAAATTGTTCAGTGTTAAGAGATGAACATATTTGCTTACAAGACAATGAATACATACCGAAACGGAATACTGCACGGCAATTTTGTTTAAATTATCACCTGGCCTTAATTTCTTCTCGATAATAATCTGTAACCAAAATAAGTTGCTGATGCAATACACAGTTCAAAATGAATGAAATCAAAAAATAAAAAAAGAGTCGTCAAAATTAACTTTATTGCCATTCATTGTCTTGTCCCATCGATTTCGATTTTCTCCATTGTTCTTATTAGCATTCCTCGACCGTAATTCTATCGTCTCCGTACTGCTGCCTTCAACAGCACGTGGACTGATCATTCCACCTGAAAACAATTGAAAAATAGATGACATCAAAAACGTCGAAATTTTCAAAGAACTATTATTTACGAGTCTTTTAATTTTTAAGTCTAACAGTCACTCAGTATAAGTAAACAATTTACCTTCACAGTTCAGTTACTCTTGTTCATGCGACAATAAAAAGGTCAGTGAACAAATCTATCCACTACAACAGACGAAATACGGACATTTTCTATCATAATACAATTAGTACCACTTATTCGAATTTAGTTTTATTTCTTTAAGTAATTTTTATTCATTTTGATAAGACCTGAAAATATTAACAGTCCTTTCATGACTCTCATGAATCTACAACAATGAGGGGCAGTCTGATTGTGCTCGGGAAGAGTATACAACAACTGGAAGGTCGTATAAAATCTTTCACCATCGGTAAATTTTTTTAGAAGCTACAATGAAGAACATTTATGACATACTTACTCAAACCATTAATAGAAATAAAAAATATCGCGAACATGCCGTGCGTGACACGTGACGTGTTTCTGTGACAATGCACGCAATGCAATTACAACTCTGTGAGGGGGCGGATCGATTTGTTGTGTGTATGTGTATGTGTGTGTATGTGTATGTGTGTGTATGTGTGTGTATGTGTATGTGTGTGTATGTGTGCATATGTGTGCATATGTGTGTTTAGTGATCAGTTGAATGCTTTGTGGTGGTGCTGGGATGCTTAGCTGACTGACTAATTACTAAAGGGATTTGTTAATTCTTATCAGTGATGTACCTTCCGATCAGAGACTGAATTGATCATTTTCAGTATGATAGCACGGCATTGCATAAAAGTGGCTACAGCGTTAGCACCCAATATTGCTAAAGCTAGTACAAATAGCTTCCGTAGAGTCACGCTAATTCCAGGTATTACATTGTATTTCCTGTTCTGTTTTTGAATACGGTGCAACGTGAACTTAAGCTGAATAATTTTGCTTATCTTGTGCAACTCATTTTGTGTTGTTTTGTTACATTATTTAACTTAGAATGTGAACTAACATCTAAATCCTTTCCTTATAAATTATCTATAAATTGGTGATATTGAAATTATTAGCTGAAATTATGTATGTTTTTTGTCAAAAATTTTAGGAGATGGCATCGGACCCGAAATATCTTCTTCAGTGCAAAAGATATTCGAAGCTGCAAATGCACCAATCGAGTGGGATCCAGTGGATGTTACGCCTGTCAAAGGAGACGACGGAATTTTCCGAATACCTTCGAAGTTCATTTTAATTTTGTCGATAGATCTGTTGAACAAATTTTTTTCTGAACTTTGGCACAAATTTGCAAAGATTTACATTTATGGTCATAAATTATTCTTGTTGATCAGAAGAATGAATGAGTTTACAGAGCAATGTCATGCTAGATGAACCGTAATAAAAAAAATCGAAAAATCAACAAAGAGTAGTTTATGATCATGTCTGTTTATAATTTACTACGGCTTTGTTACAGATGTATTGAGCTAATGAGGATAAACAAAATTGGCTTGAAAGGTCCCCTTGCAACCCCAATTGGCAAAGGACATCGTTCGCTTAATCTTGCTGTCCGGAAGTGAGTTATTTGAGATGAATTTGCTTTGGATAAATCAAATGGACATTGTAAGGAATGATAATGGCATAAATTGCAGAGAATTCAATCTCTATGCCAATGTGCGACCTTGCAGATCCTTGGCAGGTCATAAAACACTTTATGATAATGTCGATATTGTAACAATTAGAGAAAATACTGAAGGCGAATATTCTGGAATCGAACACGAGGTATTATATTTTATATCTGAACTGAACTAAATTTCGCTTTCTTTTTCTTTTTTTTTTTTTTTTTTTTTTTATTTTTCATTTATTGTCCATACGATTTCGATGTTTGCAGTACAGGTTGTGAATGATCTGAACATTTGTATTTATAAATTAAGTCTTCAATAAGCAAGACTATTACTTATACACAGCAGTTCTTTTTTTTCATATCTTTCCAGTTTAATTGCTGCAAATTTGAGCTTGTGTTTCTTATTGAATTTCTTGTTGAAGGCGATATGCTTGCTATATAAAGGATTTTATTTTGCATGTCAAGTGGTTTTCCATATTATATCACTTTGACTTCATTAAATTGTCAAATTGAAAGTTATTTTAAATCATTTTAATTATTTCAGATTGTAAATGGTGTTGTCCAGAGCATTAAGCTGATAACTGAAGATGCATCAAGACGCATCGCTAAATACGCATTTGAATATGCACGAGCAAATGGTCGAAAAGTAGTAACTGCTGTCCACAAAGCAAATATAATGCGTATGTCAGATGGTCTATTCCTGAATATGTGCCGTGAACAAGCCGCAAACTATTTGGACATAAAATTCAATGAGGCTTATTTGGACACTGTTTGTTTAAATGTGAATTGCTTGATTCTTTTTTCAACTGCTTTCTTTTTACAGCATTTACCATTTAGTTATTTATATGGATTCTGGATGACAAAAATTTTTGTAACTTGTATTTTAGATGGTTCAAGATCCAAATCAATATGATGTGTTAGTAATGCCAAATCTGTATGGTGATATATTATCTGACTTATGCGCAGGTTTGATTGGAGGTCTTGGTGTGACTCCCTCAGGAAATATTGGTGAGAACGTTGCCGTTTTCGAATCTGTTCACGGTACTGCACCAGATATAGCTGGACAGGTAATAATTTCCAGTATTTTAATATTATCATTATTTCCAACAATTTAAAATTAACATTTTAAATTATTGAAGACAACAAATGAATGCGAACATGTTTTTAAAAGTCAAGAATCAAGTTTTTCTTATTTTGTAATTATTGCAGAACAAAGCAAATCCTACGGCATTACTTCTTTCAGCAGTGATGATGCTACGTTATATGGGATTAATATCATATGCAGATAAGATAGAAAAAGTAAATTTATTATTTTTCTTTTCTTACTTTGACTATATTATATCGCAATTACACGTGGTCTGTCTGTAATAAATTATTTGATATATTGCTCTATTCTTAATGACAATTGTACTTTTTTGATTATGGTTTTCTTGGAAATTACTTTTTTCTCCAGGCCTGTTTTGATGCGATTAGAGAAGGCAATGAGAAGACTGGCGATTTAGGCGGACACGGCACGTGTTCTTCGTTTACCGATGAAATTTGCAGACGTATAAGAGACATGGATTGATCTTATGAAATTGCCAGTCCATGAACTGAATTTCAGAAAATTTTTTTCTCAGAAAGGTTTTCAATATCAAGAATGTAAGATTTAAGTTTGTAGTTTTTCAAAGCCACTAGACGTAGGGTTTTTTAGTGTAAAGTTTCATTACCTCTTTTTAGTTTGGTCTTGTTTGTAAGCTATTTTTTACATACACACAAATTTTGTTAAAAAATATAGCTAATGAATTAATGATTACAAATTCTCATAATTTACATGTCTAAACGTGCCATATCTCACCATTAAGCTTGCTATATGAAACGGTCATTGTAATTTAAAGACTTTGTGCAGTATGTTTCCTTAAAATTTTTATGATGTTATGTAACTTTAAACGAACAGCTTGGTGCAGTAACTACATGAAATTTTATTTATTTCAGTATTTTTGCTTTGTTCTGGGATTGGTATTTTTAATTCCACTTTTTTTTTTGTTTGGTAGTTATTGTTTTCGGAAGAAAAGAAAACTGGAATCATTAGATATCATCCAAAGCGATGAATTGTATCTGTTAATAATTGCTCGTTAGTAATTTTGTCCTGTCATTCTTCAAGGAACAATTCATGTTTTAACTTATTATTTAACCTATGTTAAATAATGTTTCTTAAATAATGAACTTTGGGAAAATGTAGAAGGTGTTTCAAAATTTAGAATTTTGTGGTTTTATTTGCAATTTTTAAATTTCGTTTATTATATTCTAAATGTCTCAATTTTTTGGTTCTGGTTTATCCATTAAGTTTTATTGCTAAAAATTATTGAGTAGATACCTTCGTCATTTCCCCGTGGTCACTATTTATTTCCTGTTTTTCTCATAAAATTTCATAACAGAACATATTAGGGATTTGTTTATATGAAGTTTTCTGATTATAAGGATTTAAATTGGTCATGCAATTGGATTCGACTGAGCGCTTTGATGATTTCATATAGTTTTATTCTGATCATGTCTTGAAAGTGTGACGGTTGTGAAATTGTTACTGGAATGATCATCCTTTGTTGGATATTTCCTAAAATTGCGTCACTACTTTTGGAATTGCATATTTCTGGAGTGAATAATTTTTTTTGCTTTAATATGACGATTAATGGTGCCATGATTTCATCTTGTTACAAAAATTTTTGATAGATGGGAGGACGTGGATGAATTCCCATCATTCATTTTTTTTTGAGCTTTAAAAGTAGCTGCTATATGAGGCATTTTAGGATGAATTTAGCGGAACCTACGTCTTATTAAGATGCTTTTTGCATGATATAATAACTTGAGGGTAACTTTGAAACTTTGATTTCCGTGATTGCGATAACTGATGAGCTTTGATGAGATATCAGTTCGTTACAATGCACTCGATGCATTTTTGAAGTGGTAAGGAATTCGATCAATGAGTTAGTTCCTGATGAAAGTGGGATATAGATTTTCTCCGTGCCTAGTGCACAAACACACATGTGAGTGGCAGAGATAGATAGAGGAAGGCTCAGCTTATAGATTACTCCTCGAACTCTAGGCCGTTCATTGCTTTTTCTAAAATGGCTTAGGCCTGTTTGTCATGATTTCAGTCGTATTTATATGTCGTCATGCATAATCACACTGTTTCATTTCTTTAATTGATTATCCTATGTGTATTTAGACGACAGTTTGATCTTTACATATTTATAATAAGAGTTTTATTAAATTTATTGTGTGTGTGTGTGTTTGTGTTTGTGTTTGTGTATCATCAAGGAACCTTCCAATAAAGAAAGTACAGTATGATAGATTAAGGGATCATTTTAATGGCAAGAAGATGAGAGACATTTATTAGTGGTTCAGCAAATCATGCATATTTAGTCAGAAAAATAAGTTAATTAATTGTAAGCTAAAGTATGAGGAATTCATTAGAAATCTTTGAAGAATTGTCAAGAATCAAAGTTATCAAGTTATATTTTCTGAATTTGTATTTCCCATTTTGAAGTACAGATAGTATTGCAAAGGCAATGCAGCTCAGTTCTCATTTTATTCTAGATATTTTTACACTCTTTAGATTCTTCGTACTCCTGGACTTGGACTCTACTTTCGGTGAAATAATTAGTAAATGTGATTAATTTAAATTTGGAGATCATTTTTACTATTGAGACAACTTTGCATCGTATCTTACATCAATTTTTTTCTTTATTCATTACATTATTATTTTCTCTTTTTTTGCGTTATAATGTCCTCTCATAAATGGTGAACCTTTCGAGCATAAACTCTCCGTTTAAAATAAACAGTAGAAATCATTCAAAAGAATTAAACATGCCACTGATTTCTGTTCATATTGTCTATTATCTTTAGTAATACTTACAAGCATTCTCTTCTGTTCACTTCTTTCATTTCATTCATCTTTAGGATTTCTCGCCATGCTATGAAGCTGGCTGATATTCGCTGAGAGAAGCGCTGCTGCAATTTGCAACAGATCGACAAATTCTCCGCTATATTTATTCATATGTTGATCGGATATACGTATCTCTCATTGCGATAATCTTTTACTACATGGTAACTAACTAGTTGGAGAGATCTTATGGCGCTCATGACTAGATTATATACACTGTCATGAACCTAGACATAGAACTTGCTTACATTTAGAATTAATGTGCAAGTACACAGTTAACCTTGACACCCATATTTATCTGCTAAAGCTTTCTATGTTAGCTCTGCTCCAGATATGCTTATCTCGATTTCATTCCTAGACCAGCCTTACCAGTAAGATGCTTCGGCTTCAGTACCACAACCATACACTCAATATAATCGAGTAGCTGCTTTCTAAATATAGCACATTCATTTGACAAGAAATTGGTGGAATTAATGATTGTTTCATGGTGTGTTATAAAAATTCAAGATTTCATTTTTCACCGACAATGAATAATAGCAGATATAAATATTTGCTAAGCTTTTCTTCAGTATTTTAAAAATCTCACCTTCAGTGAAAAGCCAAAGTTCATATAGTAGCAGATTTATATGTCATTGTAGGAAACTTTAAAAACATTATCAAGCTAAACACTCATTTTCTTGACAACAGAAAAAAACTAGAATTTGTGAATGTTAGGCGTAAGATTTAAAGAAGAATCTTTTTATCATTAAAAATTGTTGCATTCTTGATAATGTGTTCAGGAATATGGGACCGAACTGTGATGTTTATCACTAGTTATGTTTTATTGCATCAGTGGCAAAATTCACCTATACCTTCTTGTTTTTCTTAATTTCGATTGCTACTTTTTTAATTTTTTTTAATGGTTGTTTTTTAACTTGTATTATCGGTAACGAAATATATTAGATCATCTAAGCAAAGGTATTATATAGCAAATGATGTTCATTAACGGGCATTCTGTATGATTTAGGTTTAAACTGTCGGTTCCTGAAATTAACGACAATCTGCAATCAACATGTCTTTCTCTGGTTTGAAAAAGCAATTAAACAAAGCGAATCAGGTACATTTTTTAATAAAATATATTTTCAACCTTTTAACAGTACATATTCAGCTTGCTGTAGTTGAATTTTTTTCTTATCCGTATGCAGCACTTAGCATGAGACATAGATCTGCAAAAGAAAAAAAAAAAGTTATTTTCCGTATATTTGATATTATCGATAATGTTTACTACAAATATAATTAATTGCATAACTATGTCAGTTGTAACAATAATGGCAGTAATTTCTAGGGGTTTTTTCATAAATCTCGAGCATGATACTATATAAAGATGCCAAGCGTGATACTATATGAAGGTTTTGTGCAAATTCCTTAACCTGATAGTAATTACTAAATGTTATACATTTGTATATTTGTTGTTTGTATAGTACCTCAGTGAAACCATGGGTGCTGCCGAAGCGACGAAGTTCGATGAGCAATACAATGAAATGGAACGGGTTTGTTATAGATATCCTTTTGAATCTTGACTTGATAATGATTAACGAGCATTATTTTAGCAGCAAAATTATTTTGAATTTTGACCTTTTATTATGGTAGTTATTATTTATTTTAGTTATTAATTTAGCTGTTAATTGTTAATCGTAATATTTGGGTGCTTCATTTTTTAAGAAAGTGGATCTGACATATGAACTAATTAGTGCGTTAATTGCCGGAACCCACGAACTATTGCAGCCCAATCCAGGTAAAAGGAAAAAGTTTTCGTAATGCACAACTTTTCACTCATCATTGAATTTTAATTTCATCGGTCCTTATAGTCATAATTTTATTTCTTATTTAAAAATTTGTTGTTAGCAACCCGGGCAAAAATGGCCACAATGGGAGCTTTGTCAAAAGTGCGCGGAACATCAAAAGCCCAACCATATCCTCAGACCGAAGGCCTTCTAGCAGATACTATGCAAAAATATGGAACGGCACTAGGTGTAGATTCGGATCTTGGAAAAGGTTTGAATTGAGCTTATTCCACTTTATGGTTTTATTTTGTTAGTTTCTGTTTGCTATTGCAGCCCAATCCAGGTAAAGGAAAAAATTTTTTGTAATACTCAACTTTTCATCCATTATTGGATTTTAATTCCATTCGTCCTTAAATTCATAATTTTATTCTTCATTTAAAATTTGTTGTTAGCAAACAAGTAGCCACAGTGGGAGCTTTGTCAAAAATGCGCGCAATATCGAAAGCCTAGCATATCCGCAACCGAAGGCCTCCTAGCAGATATTCAAAAATATGGAACAGCATTGGATGTAGATGTAATGGTTATTTCAGCTTTGATCGATGCTTCGGAAGCTTATCGTCAGCTAGCCGATATTAAATATCAAATGGAGGATAATGTGAAGCATAACTTTTTGGATCCATTAGCACATCTACAACAGACTGACTTAAAAGAAGTTAATGTATGTTTGTTGGTTTTTTGGGATGTTTTTCATTCTAATTTAAAATGCAGTTTTCAGTCACTCGCTTCTTATCAGATTATCGTTCCAGCATCATCGAACAAAACTTAAGGGTCGACGCCTAGATTACGACTGCAAAAAGCGGAAACAAACACGGGGTTAATTATTTAATTATTTGCTAAAAAATACTCAACTCAAATTTAATGAATATTAGTAGAAACGAATATTTAAATGGGAATTATTTGCTACTGATATTAGAAATTAAAAGAAGAACAAGTAATTATGTCTTCACATGATAAAAGTAGCATTAATGCGAAATGTATACAAGGATTCTACTTCTGATCTGCATACTTTGTGATGTGACATTCAACAGTATGGGAAGGCGTATGAAGATAAAAAGACACTAAAGAAAAAAACTAAAGGGCACCGCTTGGTACTAATAAGATCTTTCTTAACAGCCCAGCTACACACCTTATATAAATGCGTATTTGTACTGCCTATATGATGCGTCCTACCGTTTCATGTTATTATTTGCTGTGAGCAACTTAATACGGTTGTCAACTAAGATCTTTGATTTTTCAGATGAGGAATTGATTCAAGCAGAAGACAAATTAGAAGAGTCGAAGCAGTTAGCAGAACAAGCAATGTATAATCTTTTAAGCAATGATGTATGTGGAAACATTTTCAGCAGAATTCATTTTTATGAGATTCTACTTCTTGAAATTTTCATTGTAAAGAAAGGAAAAAATCTATCACAGATATATTTGTTTATAGTTTTTTGACCAAATGTGGTATGTACTCAGATTTAGGTTGAACAGGTGACTCAGCTTTGCGCTTTAATAGATGCACAATTGGATTTTCATCGACAAACTACGCAAGTGTTGGAACATTTGAAAACACAGCTAAATGAACGGTATTTCTTCATATCACAACTTCGGCATGGATATTTCGTTCAATAAATTATTCCAATTAAATTATTGTTGACATAAAATATGACACATTTTAGTGTCGCAGAAGCAGGCACTCGGCTACGTGTGGAGCATGTCATCAAGCCCGTTTTAGCAGATAGACTACCTAATTCTCGGCAAGTTTTATACGTTTGAATTTTCGTTTGAATTTTTTGAATTTTCGTTTGAATTTTTTTTATACGTTTGAATTTTCAAATGTTTGAATTTTTGGGTAAAAGACATGAATACTCGAAAAATGTGACGAGTACTTGGTAACGTTTTCTGTTGTATCTTGCATTTAGTTCATTGTAGTGTGAGAGCAGAGTAGCTGAGACTTATTAAAAATCATCAGTGGATGATATAAGGATATAATATTGAGTTGATTGTGAAATATTTTGCACATGATAAATTTCTAAATTAAAAAACTTTTCGTCACATCAATTTCTGTAAAAGGACGTTTTAATTGACGGAGTTGTATTACAGATCGCCAGTGCATGCGGAAAATTCGACATCAGTCAACAACGCCAACTTTCAAGCACCTTCAGTATCGCCTCCTATGTATCCACAAAAACAGGTAGCAGATAGTGGTGATTGGAGTTTGAATGCAAAAGTTCACAGCTCACCGGCTAGTTTTGGTGGTCCGAATGCGCCATCCTCTTCTGCCCAACCTGTTAAGCCGTCTTGTCGAGCCTTATATGATTTCGAAGCACAAAATGAAACTGAACTGGATTTTAAGGAAGGTGACGTTATTAATTTGATTTCACAAATTGACGAAAACTGGTATGAAGGTTCACTTCTAGGAAAAACCGGTTACTTCCCGATCTCTTATGTGCACGTACTTGTACCATTGTAATTCTTCTTGTTCATGCTTTTCATTTCATGATTTTAATTTAGCTCTCTTTACAATGATATCTTATATTTGAATACCGTGAGGGAGTATGGAACTTAATGTACCGATTTAAACTTAATGGCAAAAAAAGCGTCGCTAGTATTGTAAAGTGAAATTTTCATAATGTTTATTATGTAATGAAAACGAACTTTTTACATGTAGGGGATTTTATAACTAGCGTAAGATCATATGTAGTTATAAAAAGACACTGGTTACACAGCATCACTTCAACACCATTAATTTATCGAATATAATTTGATGTTTTGATACTTCCACTTTTGCCCCTTTTCAATTATTGTCCGTCTTCATTTCATTGCGTTTTATTAGTACTAATTACATGCGCGATCTTTTGCACATATTATAACCAATGACCAATGTAATTATTTACATTCGGTATTCACTAATGTTATTTAGTACTGGTAGCTATTGGATGTAGTCCTCAAATCTGTTTGCACTTCAATCATTTCGGTTCTTTTTCAGTTTTGATATCAAAAGATTGGCAACTGGGCTGTCATTTATTGACTGCTTCACTTAAATTTCCGATGCCGTACCTAGACCCATTATTAGATTACTTTCCTCTAATATTTGTGAATAGTTCATGGTGTCCAATTATATCGAGAAATGCACTGCTTCTTGATACTCCACTTTAAAGTTTGCTAAAAAGAATCACACGCTCGGAATTTGCTGAGAAGAGCTTAAGTAAAAAGCAGAATAGATAGTACTAGCGAGCTCCGCACAAAAATAATTGTATTTTGTCTAACATCCTTTCACTGTACTTTTGCTGAGCTCGGTCGATAAGTCCATGCTAAAGACTGCAATTTTTATTTTCTTGATTTTGCATGGAGACTAAACTGATCTAACTTCAATGAGTTCTACATTAAATACATTAAAACCAATACAGATGTAGCACATTTATTCCAGAACTTGCAACATCAAAGTTGTTTACTGCATATTTGGATCAAATATCCTTATCCAGCTTTTTTCTTCAATACTTTTTATTGATATATAGAATCCAAAGATAGACCAATTCTGTGGGTAAGAATTTAAATCATGCTAAAATAATGTAGTGAATGATAAGTACATATGCAGTAGACTTTATAGAACGTCAAACAGGTTAAAAATGGCATGAAATTTTGACAGATTTCATCTTTATTACTCAATTGAACTCAGCATTTGTCGATGTTTCCTTCTAAGAACTTCCTGTTGTTCTTCAAGGATCCTCAAGAAATGTTGCAACAAAGGTTTAAAATCCACTTTTGCATCCAACTGATTTTGTTCGTTTTCCCTCAAGTAGAAAAGTTTATGATAAACTGCCAAAAACTGTTTTAGGGAAGATAACTCACTCAAAAAAAAAAAAAAAAAAACTGAAGCAAACTTTACTGAAGTACTGCTGTTGACAATCTTTTTAAAGGTTCAACTCCTCGCTTTCTAACGGACTTGTGCTAGTAAATGTTATGTGCTAATCACGAACAAGAATAGCTACTTACTCATGAACAACGATAGATGGAATGCACTGTATGCGCTTATGTAATGTATTGAAAGCATCGGTTTGAGGCAATATCATTAGAAGAGCTGAAAGAACGGCTGTAAGAGGTCGTTGGTGTCTAGCATCCAATAAATCGAGCCGTACATCTGAAGGACTTTCACGTGTTAATCCTAATTTCAAGCAAAATTTAGACTTCAAGCTTAAAGTTAATAACTTTATTTAAATAGCTTTTCAGAATTTTTATAATACAAAAACTTTCAAATTTCGATCCGAAACATACATGAAAGTATGGGACTTTCGATAAGCTGTACAAGTCGATCAATTTCAATAAGCACATCAACCGTAACATCGACTTTCCATAGATGCCGTACCAGTATACTTGCATGTTCGTAGTTTTGCGATAACACACACAAGCCAAGTAATGCGATAGGTTGGAAAGCCCATGTACGATATAAAGATTCGAAGAGATTTATGCAAGTCTTTAAAACTCTAAGTTATTGCTCTCTTGAGGAAGTTTGCATTTAAATGATCGATGATCATGATCATGTTGCCCTGAGAAGTTTCGTGAGATCTATTCTTAATTGTAGCATAGATGTATATGGGAACCTATGAAAAAAAAAAAAAAAATCAAATTAGAGATTAGGAAAAAAGACTTGCTTCAGATTCCAGTGTTCTTAATTGCTTCCTTAACTCGAATAGCTCACTAGAAGTGAGCAGTATCCCATTTAGTAAAGCAACCATTTGAGATATGAATCCCGTATCACTATCATTTAGTAAAAGAACTGACAAACAGCGATAGATGGATCCGGATCCGAGTAGAATACATAACTGCCTACAAAAATATTCTTAAACTCTAAAAGCATTGTCTTATGAAACTTACCATCTTCAAAATGGAAATATACCAAAAAACCCCAAAGTTACCTGACGATCAAGACACCTCTATCATTGAGCAAGGCCTTATCACTTCGAAACATTGCTAATAAGCTTGATGTGAATTTCACTAAATATGGCGATATGCCTGAAAGCTAAAACATTAAAATAGTTTTTTAAAAAATACAAACAAAAGGAAAACATTTCCCTTATGATTCCTTCCCTTAGTTCTAATTCGACTAGTAAAAGGAAAAAAAGTCAGTCATAAAACTACAATGCAAAAGCAAAGACCTGTTTCAAGATATTTTCGTTAAGATTAAGCTCCTGAAGCTCAACACCACTAGTATTTTTGCCTTCGCATATATCGGAAAGTAATTGCAAATCCAGCAATAACACATCATCACATGTATCGGATAGTAGAGAAAGCAGTACTGGGAATACACGGTCCATGTACGAAAACAACTGAAAATGAATTCGTTTTTAATTAGAAAGTACGAAGAATATTATTTTTACCACAAATTCAATGAATTTCATAGCTTTTTCTTAATTAATTTCAGAAAAAACATAACTTTACCGCATTTACGGTATATAAGAATCTATAGACAAACTCCTAATTCTAAACGGTTAGTAGTAATGTCATGAGGGCAAATTATCCAGTATCCAAAAAAGTTCGCTTGTGAATAAACAATATAACCGTAAGAATTTTAAACGTTTCAAATACACGAATAAAATAAAAAAAATCGTAAATTACTGCTAAAACACTAAAAAATTTTGAAGACACATCAGAATTCAAAATATATTTTAAAAACTTTTACAACCGGACATATCGTAGCCAATAAAAAGAAAAAACAGTATTCCGCCAAAAAACATATTCACAAAGCCAAAGAAGCTACTTTTGCGGGTGCAGTAACGTGCATTCTACTAATCCAATTCAAGACAGCCATCCTTGTATCCCGAAATTCGTGTTTGATATGCTTTAAAAGTACTTTAATAACAGCATCATACTCGATATCGGCATTCTCTGATAGCAGTTCCATTAAATGTGTATTGATTTCTTTAGCTGAAAAAAAGCGACTGTACGATTTAATAAATCCTGTATTTTAAAGAGATCCAAAAAGGGACTTTTTCATTTCACAACATGTAAAATTAATTCTTTAAAATAAAGTGATTAAATTTACAAATATCTATCAAAAAACTATTTATTTCGGACTTTTCATTTATTTTTAATGCAACTTTCAAACTATCCCATGAATATCTTTCGCGTGAGTATAATAACAAAATATAAGCCTTTAGTACTAACTATATCTAATTATATCAAAATGTTTCGATATGGTCAAATGGGCAAGGAAGCACTGCTATTCGAATGTTTCGAATAACTTACGTGTTTTTTTCAATTTCAAATAACTTTTTAATAAAGACATAGACATATTATTCTAAACAATCCGTTATTGTTTATATGCAAAATAAATCAAAACCTTTAAGCTGTGAATCATTTAAACATGGAAGCACGGCTGTCAAAAAAGATGAAAGATACTGAAGGAGGCCAGCAGAATGCATTTTCAAAAAACAATTCAGCCAAATAAGAGCAATCATCCGAGTGAGAGCACTTTCTTCAGCACAAGCATGGACTATGAGGACATTGATCATGTCACTTAGTTCAGCCTAAAAGAACCAAAACGATTTTTTTTTTTTCTATTGGTCCCCAGAGAATTCAAAGCAAAATTACCCTGTCACCATCCTTCTGCTCGTGCAATCGTTCAAGAAACTGCCCAAGAACTGCTTCCGTGGCATCTCGGACTCCCGGCTGACTATCGCCCAGCATTTGGAATAAGCCATCCAGAACTTCGGGAAGATACACAGAAATGGAAAGTTCTGGTGCTGTCAATACAGCTGATAGCTGGAAAATTCTAATAATTCAACATTTAAAAACAAAAACAGCAAAACATTACTTTATGCTACAAGAAAAACTACAAGATAAAAAAAAAGAATAAAAAAAACGAAACTAAAAAGTCAAGAAAACAATCACACTAAGAATAATCCCAAACATTAATGAAAACAAACCCAAGAGACAACAAATCTTCGATTTGAGCTATTTTGAGAATATATTCTATCACGGACCAATGACATTAAAATCGAGATCTCGAATGAATTTGTGGCAAGTACAATATCCTACAAATGCAAAACGAAGTATTTTGAAAAGTTGAAAGCCTTCAGAAACAAGAAGTCTCATACCTTTAGCAGCCGATCCAATAATTCTGCTCCGCTGCGCACATTTAAGTCTGTATCAGCAGACAACTGAAAATCCAGCCAATTCTTACAGCAGCATGCTAGCAAACGTGAGAATCAAAGAAAATTAAAAACTATGATAGTCCTTGAAAGTTACGCATAAACTTACTCGCCAAAGAGTGTCAAAAAGTTCGTCAAAATGAGATAACGCAGATGAACGACATATTTTCACAATATTGTACAATGACTGCAAATAAATTTCTCCTCAGTAGATCGGAAAATCCAAATATAAAATAAAAATTTTTAGTATCTCTAGATGCACGAACAGAAACTTAGAATTAAAATCCCTTTTACTTCTATAAAAATCATAATCAATAAATGTACCGATTAATGACTGGTTAATCTAATTGCTTATTTTGCTTTGTAACATCTATAAGAGATAAAAATTCCTCACAAACAGCTTTTGAATATTGAATATTGAGTACTGATTAAATAATATTTCGCTTACTTCACAAGCATAGTATCGTACTCGGGAGTCGGGATCACTAAAACAAGTCAGAACTGGTTCGATCAACTGCGAAGTATAATCAGCAGTGTTCTGTAGTATATCTCACACAAAATAACATTTTTAATTAACACAAAAATCAACAATTACCATAGAGAAGACATCAAAAAAAATCAAAAAAATTTAATTCCATCTGATTTGAATTCATTTATGTCTCACCTTTCCCAAAGCAATTGCCGCAGCTGCTAGACCAATTAGACCACCCTTTCGTGCATGCGCATTTTGTGCTGCTGTCAATCCCTTTAGTACAGTGAGCAACTTCTTCAGCTCTGCCAAATGGTTTGCTTGCAGCAAATCCCGCACTTGTCTGAACGAATAAATAAACAGTAAAAGGTTGCAAAAGAAATGACGGACAAACTACAAAAATATATTTCAAGAACCTTGAATCAGTCATCAACCCATAATCACAATCATTACATATAAAGAGATGATGTGACGAAATAAATCGAACTTCTCTATATCAAGCGCAGCAGCTTTCCTCTTCTCGTACAGTTTATCAGTAAGCGTTCTCACCAAAGTCGCAGTAAGTGGTGCATACTGTGCATCAACCATCTGCAAATTCATGGAGACCAATGCTTACTTAACTTTCTACTTTCTACTGCGAGATACTAGTAAGTCGGTCATAATATTTTATTACTAAATCTATACATATGAGTAATCAATTTACATTTTTCCACCTGATGAGTAATATCATACTGATTTATGGCATAACGACAAACGGTTTAACGTCCATCCACACAGCTTTACCAGTCAATAACAGAATGAACCTTTCCTTCTAATACTTTTTCGTGTGTCTACATCATAGAACAACTAATTTTTGTAATCCATATTATTAACTGTAATCCACTTTGTAATTCATACTATTAACTGGGATGACCAATTACTTTAACAACAAACAACTGCATAACAAATTTCATTCTAAATTAAGATCGAAAAACTAGAAAAAACAATGACTAAAGTGGCACCAAACAAAAAACAGAGATCGGAATGCTGACAAATGAAAGAGCTGGAATTTTATGAATAAGAGATTGCCGACGATGTGCATGGAAAAATGAAGTGAAACTCATAAAATGTCACTGAACATAGATTAACTTAATAGGAAAAGTGCAAAATTTGGAAATAAAGAATCAAGAATGAAAACTAAAATAGTTTCGAGAAAAAAGTTCTGCAAATCCAAGACTAGGCAAAGCCGAAGATCTCAACTTCAGCTTAAGATTAAAAATCTTTAGAAGTCATATAATTCCTTTTCGCTCAATGTTCGTTTTAAGCAAGTTTAAAAAAAAAAAAACCTAACTTTTTGTAGCAAGAAATCATTTCAGTTCACATTCTAGCGATAACTTGAACATGTTAATACGTCATGCAAGTGATACAAAATATTGAGAAAGAATCTTAAAGAAAAAAAAAAATACAAAGAATCCTATTCATCCAAAGTATCCAGTTTCATGAGTGCATTTAAATGCAATAAAAAGCGCTGCTGAGACCACGATGCTCTGCACACTGAAATTAATGGAGCTGAAATAGTATTTTAGGAGACTATTCAGTGGAAGTAAGTGGAAGATCCAAAATTTCAACATCGGTTCTATACGAAAAAGTGGAGGAACGTACTCAATCTGTTCAATCACAATAATGTAATATGAAGGTGGCAAGATGTTGCGCATCGCACTGAATCTGCAAAAATTGTAGCAACTGATTCTTACGTCATTTTCAGGGAATAAATGCGGCATGATGAGTAGGATTTATTTTGTAAGCACTGTTATTAGAATATAGCAAATTTAATTATGATGAAAAACCTGCTAGTAAACATTAAAAAAAATATACAAACCAATCCACCTCATGAGTACAAATCCGACGTTCAATCATCTCAATAAATTGTCATAATTCCACGAAGCCATAATAATTATCATTCGACCTTAATGCAAGTTCGGGTAAATTAGGCAAGCTATCTCGCGAGCGAACAAAATTCAGGAAACCTCCAGCAAAAATGGATGAATAACTTGCAAATTAAAATTGAATTTAGTGGTAAAATAACTCTGCAAAACAACTCGGAACTTTTTTTTAAAAATGCTTTTTCTTCTAACTTGATCAAATAGACCACTTGGTTTTCTTTTATAGTTTCCAGATTTTTTAACTGTCTGCTCAACTACTTTATTCCATCCATTTCTTCGAAAAATAAAAAATACTTCAATCGAACACAGCATTAGCTATGCACTATCAATTATTTCTAAATTATATCTATTTAAATGATTATAATTTATGATATTTCCACAGAAAGAGAACAGCAAATACAAACTGCTGTCAATATAAAAATGAGAACACTTGAGAAACAGATGCCTGCCATGCCCACATGAGTACTCTAAATTAATAAGAGTGCGGAAAATACTGGATTAATGTTTCTGCACTTTCAGTCCATTGTAAAAGCAACGATTTCAAGGAAGTTATTTCGAAACACACAATCCTGCTGAAGTTTAAACTGGTTCACGTCACATCACAAGCAGTAGTGATATGAAGGGACAGAAACTGAAACGAAAGACTTTCTTCATAATCTGTGACAGGCTGAACTACTACACACACATCCTGGATTACTAAACTTAAAAAATATGAGGACAAACTATCGCCATCTTAGAAAGGGAAGTAGAGCGCCCGAGCCGGCTTGTATGTTTGCGACCGCGTTTTAATGCTAGGCGATTGCTTGGTGGAATGAATAATGTTTTGATAGTGTTGCATCAATGGGTTTCGTTTATATTTATTAGGGTTATGTTTCTTCATTTGAAAAGGAGAGGGTTACTTCAGGTTGTCAACAATTATTCTTGTTCATCTCCCATCAAATATTTACTATCCGGTGGTAATTTGGGTTGTGTTTGATAAACTTTTTGTTTACATCCTTAATTATTTTAAGTTGAGTACTTCACCGATTACGTTTTAACAAAAGAAGAGTAAGAGATGCGCATTTTAATTTTTATAGGTCTTAATTATTTTTGGCTGACTTTCAGATTTAAATAATTTGGATGCTTACTGCATTATGGATGGTGACGAAAGTGATTACACAATTGTACAGAGTATGACCGCTACAAGGTTGTTCTTCGTTTGTTTTGATTTACTTGGACATTTTTGTAACTTATACTTCGTAATTGCAGTTCGTCAACGGGAGGTGCAGACGATTATGACAAGTTGTTCACCCAAACTTCTATTGATCTATCCAACAAACATTTGGAGAAATTGCCAAATTTGCGCCAAAGTTATCCAAAGGTGGAAGTGATAAACTTATCACACAATCAGTTCAAGTTTATTAATAATTTATCGAAATTCAGTGCATGTCGTGAGGCGGGTTTTTTTTGTCAGTTTTATTTATTCCATACGTTTTTTAAACATATATAAGGGTACAGTATATATAGAAGTCTTTCCAATTTCATTTACTTCATTGCTTTATATGGTGTAATAAACTGTTTTACTAGAGAACTAGAAATCTGTGTTGTTTGATAAGAAGTATGCGTTCCATAATCTCTTCTTATAGATAAATGTTAGCTTTAATGCGTTGGAGCGATTTTCGAGCTTTCTACCTCTTGCTGATGCTTTAAAACGTCTCGACATTTCACATAATGCTTTGAGTAATTGTGATAATTTGGCAGCACTTACACAACTAGTCTGGCTTGATGCAGCTTATAATCATATCCAGGTTCTTATTTTTCTTTTCTTTTGACAGATTATTTCTCAAAGAACTATTTGATTAGATTATCTGGTGTAAATAACATCTTTATAGGTTCTTCCATTGCTGGATCGACTTGCGCACTTAACTTATTTGAATGTCTCAAGTAATCGACTGAGTGTTTTACCGAATTTGAGCAAATTGCCTGTTTTAAAAATTCTTATTTTAAATGACAATGGAATTAGCACACTAGACGATCTTCATCGAACAATGCCGCAATGTCTGCAAGATCTCGATATCGGTGCTAATGTGATCACAGATTTACGAGAGGTTATAGTTATCACTAGAATAAATTGGTGTTTTATACTGTAATGATTATATAATGGTTATACAGATATAAATGAAGTAAGTAGTCATGTATCATTAGTGATTATTTGTTTTAATTTTAGTAATGATTAATTTTTTAGGCTCAGCACTTGTCGTGTTTAAAGAACATACGATCTTTAGTATTTGCGGGAAATCCTTGTGTTCGTTTGGAAGGTCGTACCTTTTGCTATCGTCCATATCTTTATTGTTGTTGTCTTGAACAGCTTCAAATTGTTGACGGAAAAGAACTTAGTGAGACTGAAATCATTAAAGGTATGCTGGTTATTATTATTTGTTATCAGAAATTGGAAAAGTTTCGTAGTATCATTTACAAAACATTCATCCAAATGATTGGAATAAAATTTATGGCATTCGATATGCCTTTATTAGGTATATGGATGTCAAAAAAATTCTAAATATAGTAGAAAGCATAAAAAAGCCATAACTATTAATTCGTGAATAGTTGTTGAAGGTGAAGAATTACATACCCATGCAAAAATACGACGTATGGAAACACATGCTCAGTTGTGTGCATACCTTGAAAAGGAATGTCCAGAAGATTGCCATCATACATTTTCACCAGATGACAATCGTCTAATGAAGGTAACTATTTTAAAATACTTCAACAGTATCAAATGTTTCAAACTCTACAAGACTTCGGAATATGATTTTTTTTTTTTTGCAAGATTTCTGAAGAGATTATCTTTTACGTACTCATTTTTTTGTAGATTTTGAAAAAAAGACGTGAACATGCATCACGACTTAAGGATGATATGACAAGTGAGGAATCAACAGTAACAGCCATTTCGCCATACAGGGAATGGCTTTCTAAATCAGTGTCCTCTATTCCAAGTCGTCTTGAATATAACAGTTATACGACGCAACAGAAAGAAAACTGTGTTCCTCTGGTTGATCTTAATAATTTATCATCCTTGTCAGCACGGTATGTGCTTCGCTGCATTTTATGATGGCCTGTATGCATTTCGTGTTTTCCAGTTTTTTTCAGAAAGTTGTGCATTAAATTTCCCAAAATATCTTTCTTTGATTATAGATAACCTAAGCAGTATAATTTAATTCTGATAGATATTTCCTTTTAAATGCTTCTTTTACTATTTTCAAAGAATTGTTCAATACTTCATAGTTTATGTTCTAGAATCAGCACACCTCCAACTTCTGCAAATTCCAATGCTTCTTCTTCAACGGTTACTTTATCAGCTCCATCAGTGTCATCTTCCACTCCAGTGAGATCTCGTATTCAGTTAGTTATACATTTCAGTTCTTCAGAATTTATCTTACAGTTTATTATTTTGCTTGGTGTTTTTTCCTATTCGCATTGATGACAAGTTGTAGAAGAAGACTGCAAAGTAAACCAGTTCAAGTTCGCAAAATCTCATTCACAACAAATAACACACCAAAAAAGAGCAATACTGTTGATCATTCTAATTGGAGGTTTGAAATAATATCTTTTGTTTCTTTATACTTTCTTTTATCATTTTCTGTTGAAATTTCTATTTGCACTAAACGCTTTTTGGAAATGCCATCACTGAGTGTTTCATAACTATCTAATCTAATTTAGATCAGAATTAATGGACAAATACAGTTGTACACTTTTTCAAAATAATCGTAAAAATCAAAAATTTCTGTTCATTTCTCATTCAAAACATGTGCAGTGAGATTCTTATCACTGAAAAAATATTGCGTGAAAGTGATTATATTTCTAGTGCGAAACACCAGAAATCGTTGATGAGGAACATTGTCAAAGCTCCACCTAATTGGCCAAAGGTTATAATTTAGTATGTGTATGCATCTTTTAATGTTGCCAATCTGAGCAAAATACTGGCTTCAAAACACGATGATACATGTGTTACATAAGTCTCAGTTGTTGCACAAAATAATCGAAGAATTGTCTGACTTAAGGATTATGATGTAATTTCTTCTCAGCAGCACTTAAATTTTCCTTCTGCTAATTAATCAATATTATTAATTTTAGTTATTTAATTTTAATGTTAAAATTGGTCCATATCATCAGTTAGTTGCATATCAAATTATGGTAAATAATTTCATCGTTTCAGGCTTTTGGTGTTTCCAAATCAGTTACACAGAATCCACGTTATCGCTTTAGTTCTACAGAAAATTCTATCGAGATTTCATTTGTGAGTGCTCGCAAAGTTCGAAATTATAGCGAAAAAGAGAAGAAAGCTGCTTTACTTATTCAAGTTAGTTTTGTTTTTAGATAGTTATGCAGAAAAGTGCTTAAATAGCAAAGGTATGAGCTCGACATTGTTAGTTCAATTCGTTATAACTTCTGCATTTGGTCATTTTTAAATAATTTTTACTGCTCGATCACTAAGTCCAAATTTTAGTCGTGGTGGAGAGGTATGAAGATTCGGCGATTATATCGGGTACCTTTCCTTCAAAAGCGTATCCAGCGCTTTGAAACGTTGCTCAGGGAAAAGTCAAATATGATATTGAAACTGAAAAATCAACTTGCTAATTTGGAGTATAATATTGAAACAATTGTAGCTGTAAACGAGGAGCAAGCTATGAAGATTGCGAAGATGGAACAGTGCTTAGCAGTAGGTTCCAAAATTCTATTTAAGCTATGATGAAGTTTCAGAATTAATTTTAGTAATATTCTCATGTATATTACGATTGGGTATTTGGGATCTTCTTTTGACTGGATATTTTTTTCGCAGAAAATTTCTGAAACATGTAATGAGCGCCAGAAGCAATTCATGAATAAGCTGTTGCCGGTTCCCGATGAATTACAGTACATTCGGAAATCTGACACTGAGGTATTGCTGCAGTGGCAGAATCATCAACGTCCGCAAAAACCGACAAGTCTGTATTGTGTTTATACTATTTCAATGTTTACTTTCAATTTCAAAATGAGTTCGAAACAAGCCAAGTTCAAGAGAACACTTATTTAAGGGTATTTGATAACTGTGAACGGTAATCCGTGTGGAACAGTCAGAGGCCTTCATAAAAAAGTTCTTGTTACGGATTTAGATCCAACAAAGGAATCTGTGTAAGTAGTTTAATCAGATTTTCTAGTCTCTATTGTGTTTAATCTGTATAAGTAGTTTAATCAGATTTTCTAGTCTATATTGTATTTCTGCTCATAACTGACCACCGTTATCAGTCTTACTCTTCATGATTGTTGCTTAGTTAAACTGAGTCAAATTTTCAGTATAAGAATGCAATGTGTCTTCAATGAGTTTAGTGGAGATATCTCCGAATGCCTAGTGATTCCTTCGCATAAGCAGGTTTGCCATTTTTTTTGTTTCTCAAAATAAACATTTCAGCGTGCATTGTTTTTTGCAATTTTTATATGAAGGTATAAAAGCTCATCTTTTTAGGAAACAAGTTGTATCAATGAGGGTGAAGTAGAATCTGCTCCAAGCCAGATTGAATTTAATTTGGATTAAGATTATCTGTTTAAATTTGATTTCTTCATATTAAATTTATTATTGCATTGTTTTTTGGTTTTTGATTAGAATGGTTGTTACAATTCTAGCGCTGGTTGCTTCATATGATCTGCTTCTAACTTTACATAATTCACTTTAGTTTTCAATCTTTATATTTCTTACCTAGATACACTGTACATTTTTTCGCATTGTTATACGTCTGCATAGTTTATTATTATTATTATTATTACTTATCTTTATAGACCAATATATGATATTCCAATTTGTATTTTATGAGAAATGAATCCAGGTCTTTGAGTGGTTGTTTCAAAATATTCAGAATTTTTTGGTTTGTAAAAATTTTACTCCGCTTTGAAGAGAAGCATTTTCTCCGTGGTCCTTGTTATTTTAATTTTAATGAATAGTTAGAGTCTTTGAAATTTACTGCCTTATTTTGCCGCCGTATATGCTATTTGTTATTCAGTCTGTGTCACTTCAGAAACGCTGCCCTTGCAATCTTATATACTGTTGACCAATGTATTTTTTTACACTTCATTCTAGACAAAATTTTGTAATCCTATTAAAATTAAAGGTTTGTCTTTGTGAAATATTATTGCTTTATTTTTAACTCAGTAACAAAGTACAATTTTATGCCTATATATTACTGGTACATGTAATTATATTTTGCTCGAGTAAACTTCTAGCTGCGAGATTACAGCAACTGATCTGAAGTAGCAATAGCTACTGCCGAAAACATGATACGAAACAATGATCTGATATGCTGAACAATATGATAATACATCAAACACTGCAAGTTTTGCTTAAAACATGAGACAAATTGAATTCCCATGCTATGTACATACGTTGAATTTATTGAAGAGCGCCATGGTGTGTGAAAAAGAAAGAGAAAGTAAAAGAAGGGATGTGTACAGTTGATCGGCGTACATGCAGCTGTTAAGGATAAAGGATTCCCATGCTTGTTAAAGAAATGCTATCATTATAATCATACCCTAAATATGTGTACTATTAATATACATTGAACTTTCGAATTAGTTTTACTTTTTTCAATGCAAATATCGGTAAACTTTCTCGGTATAAATATTCGTTTGCGAGAAATTAATTTTCATTATAGTGCTGGAGCTGAAATACATCTTGAATATTGCATCCTCTTAAATGCTTTACCTTTTGTTTTTTTAAACTTTGCGAATTTAATTCACAACTTCGATTGCTATTTACTAAATTAATGGTAAGTACATGGAAGAATTTGTGGAAGAATGATCAATCGATGTATTATCATGAAGGAAAATTGAAGATGGTATAGGATGGGCTTGAACTCAAAAGAAACACTATATCTTCGCTATTGGATGAAAGCTCGTTAGAGATCGGGTTCCTTGAATTGCTTTTTATTAATTTTGATGATTTTTAGATGACTTGAGGAGTCTGCCAAAGCTAAAAGATATTCGAACAATATCGTAACAGCAGCAGCCTGAGATCCGGCGTTTCACACCGCTCAGTTGAATGACATTCGAGAAGTGAGTATGTGTGTAGTTGTAATTGGTTGGGTATAAGGAAGGGGTCGTCTTGGCATCATACCTTTGGTTTTTTTTTTTTACTTACTCAAAAGCAACTCAAGGAGATATTGCTAACGATATAATTATTTAGCACCCTTACCATATTCGCTAGATAATATAGTCAAACATCGTGAAGATGCTCTGCTCTTATGTATTCACTTTTTTCTTTAAGTTCGAGAATGTCACTGATGACAGATGATTTGGATGTGAAATATGGAGTGATGAATCAGAATGATAGTGAATCAGCTGACAAGAAGAAACGGAAAAAATCGAAGGGAAGAGCATTGGAAATCGACTTCCCACTTCATTCGAGTGGGCTAATGCAGTGGGTTGCTGTAGTCTTGATATATTTGGAGACTGAAATTTTTTTTCATTTGAAAAAAAAAAACTTTAATAGTCAAAAAAAAAACATTGGTATTCTGTGATTTTTGCGTCTTCCTTACTTCCATAACTGTGGGACGATAATACGCCTGGCCTGAATTTTGTTACTTTAAATTTGTTGCTCGAAGAGTAACATTTTCCGTTGTTGGTTTTGTTTATTTAATAGCTTATTTCGAATTTTCCATTTTTTATAAGGATTAATCAAAACCGTCCAAGTAGATTTCCTGTGGAAGTAAAATGAACTTATTTCAGATCATATGAATCTAGCATTTGCTATGGCGCAAACAATCATCAACTTGTTCCCGCATATCCGACTGACACTGCTGCGGTGGGGAATGATTGTTCTGATGTAATTAATCAGCTTTTGCCAACTATCCGAGATGCTGTGCAGTAAGCATCATTTTTTTACTTGTTTGGGATTCTAATGACACTTTTTGGCTTTGTTGTCGACCGGATAAGAAATAGTAAAAATTAGAGGATACAGGATGAGACACAAGAGCGAGGAGTTTCCCTAGTCATAAAAACCTTTTATGCTTGAAATATATTATGTAACAATACGAAGAAAAATATGAGGATCATGGAATTTGGAATAGAGCGAAGTTTCTGGTGGATGACATGCTATTTCCTTATTCGTCAAAACCATATTACATTGATTCTTACTATAACATAGAAGGAAGAAGAAAACTTGTTTTTACTCGGAAATTTGTGCTTTATATGTATACGACATATAGAATTTTGAGGCAGATCTTATATCTGTATTGATAATTTCAATATAAAACCAGGGTCATATTTAAGAACTCGTATTTTAGGGAATTTTTATATGATGTTGGCAGTCGTGCTTGTGAAATAGAAGAAGTCATCAATTTCTTGAAAATATCAGACATTGCACTGCAATATAAACAGTTGCTTAATTCCTTAAATAACGCGCAATTATATAAGCTTTTCGAAAAGTTGAATATATTTCATATATCATATGAAGGCTCAAAGATGATTCTTCAAATGGCAAGTTTAGTTTTACTCATATTTTAATGTTTTAATAGGTTTGGACAGAATTTTTGGCAGGAAAGCTGATGGGACAATAAAAAACAGAATCATCTCATAATTTTCAGTCGTAACTGCAACAAATGTTCAGTGAAAACTATCAGTATTTTCAGATTGATGAACCATTTCACCTATCTAATTCTGATACTGCTTTGTCACCAGCTGTCTCATCCTTATCTAATGTTAATAATAGTAACCAGTTATTGACACTAATGAAGGGTGCTTTGAATAGTACTTCGGACGCTTCTACTGCTAAACCTCTCTCTTCGATTACAAATGATTTCACAAAGTACTGGGTTATTATCGTTTCAGTTCATTAAATTGAAATTCAGCAATCAATATGATAATATCCGTTTTATTCAATTTTCTTAGTAGATTACCGCAGAGGTATTTAAATGGAACAGGAACAATGGGAACAGAACTTAACAGTATAATTAATTCGCATCAAAAAATTATTGGAAGTACGGTGGTCCATAAGCGTTTATCTGCGGTAAATCCTTTTCAAATTTACTATTTATATAAACTCAAACTGCGGTGATAACTTTTCAATTGGATGTTCTTGACTGTGGAGTGGGGTCAGGTTCAAATCATGAATAAAGAAGAAAAAAATTTCCGATGGGCCGTAGGGGTTTAAAAGGAATATCATTTCTTAAAGTTTAACTCTTTAGCAAAGAAATATTTTGTCATCTACATTTTTATAATCTTTTTCATAAAGCTGCTATGAATTGGGCGTTTTTTATTGACTGCTTCGGATTTCAGTTTTAGTTTTTTATTTTTTGTTTTTCTATTTTTTGAATTTAGGATGAGTTACTTTTTCAGCAAAACGGGGATATTTTTTATGACCAAAACACTGAACTGGTGGATCAGAGGATGTTTTTGCAGGATGCGAGGTTTCATTTGGAGTGAGATCATTTTTAGTTTTCTTTTACTCCTCTCATATTAATTTTCAATAAAAGTTGTACGAAGTTTTTGCTATATATATTATCATTTTCAACTGGAGTACTAATGCTCAAAAATGTGAAAATAACTACATAACCGAAATTTCAGAAGAAGATTTATAGAACAGAGATTGAAAGATGTGGAAAAAAGATACGAGGAGAGATTATCTAACGCTTCTTTAATGTTAAAAAAAGCTTACGTAAGTAATCTTTCATTTTCTAATCCGTTGTTCGGTGGAGACACTGGTTTTATTAAAGTTCGTTAATAATTATTTAAATTTCACTTGTTCATACAAGCATTGTTTCATCTATTTTTTGCATCTATAATACTTGAATTTGGTATTAAATGCTTTCATTCCAATAATTTTCAGAAAGAAATATTAGATTTACGATTGGGAAAAGCAAAAGCATTAGCAAATAAAAGAATGGGGCAGGCGGAACTTGCATTAAAACACGCTAATGCAATACATAGCAGGTCAATTATTTTTTTAAATTTTTGCAGGAGTTCATTTGTTTCACTGTTGCATAATTTGTCATGTGGAAGTTGTAATTAAATTAGATGCTGCAAGCAAATGACAAATGGAGTGTAAGGAAAAGTTAATGCTGCATTAATTGTAATATGCAGATAAATATTCTTGGACTTAAGAGTTGCTCGTCACAAGTTTAATTTGGAAAAATACCTTGCAAGCCTGAACTTTTTTAACTAATATGTAGGTAATATTTTTGGACTGCCATTATTTCAGACTGAACGAATTAAAATTTAAGGATTTTGAAGGAAAAACATTCTTCATTGGAATGCATCTCGTCCAGGACTTCATGTTTTATTTAGCATTTTACTTGTGCAATATTTTTTCAGGATTGCAGACGAAACGGTTAAATCAGATATAAAACAAATGATAAGGCAATGGGAACAAATCCTCAGGGATTATAAGGCTTGGCATGCTAATTTAGATGTTTGTATATTGTTAAGCATATCATTACAGTGTTTTGTGTTTTTTACTGATGGACACTGCTATAGTTTAAAGTAATCAGTCCATTTCATATTTCAGCACATTGTGTTTTTTCTATGAAATTGTAAAATTTTATGTCTCGTGAACTTCTTATATCAATAATATATCAATAACCAAATAATAATCAATAAAAATTTTAGAGAATAGTAGATGGTCAAAAGGCACAAGTAGATTCAAATTATCGTTTTGATGAGTTGGCCCTTCTGTCGGTTAGTTTTATATCATTTTTTACCGTATATGATTTAATTCTGTTAAATTTATGAAGTTCTATTCCAGCAATTCTATTCTATATTCTTTAAAATATATTTCAGCCACCGGATAATATTCCATGTGCTCCACAGTTACCTCCTAATGCTTTGAAGTATTTTCAACAACTTGAATTCGAGTGCAGCTCGAGTGACCCCTCGTCGGAACTGCTTGTATGCTAAAAGATAAATTTGTATTTGAAAAAAAATGTTTGTGAATGATGCAGCAAATCTCTTCTGACACTTTGTTTATGATATTCTGCTGCTGGACGGAGTAATGTTGTCATTCAATCATTTCCAAATGATTAAGGCACACGGGAGGTGCGAATGGCTAACTGCCATCTTATAGCAGAAAATTTTATTATTGTAGCTGAAGTATATTTTATTCTTTCTTCGCATGTAAAATTACTGTTATTAATAATCATTTAGCGAGTAATTGGTCCTCCGATCGGTTTTGAAAAAGAAGCTGTAACAGGTGGTCGATTTGGTGCAATTGGACAACCTGCCCCTCCGCCACAGAGGAAGATATTCACGGAAGCACAAATAAATAAATTGGTTTGCACGTTTTTTTTTTTACCTTCTTTATTCATTATATATCAGGATTTGTTTACCTCACTTGAACTTTTTCATTTTTATTATATTTCATAACTGTTTATAGGTTGAGAAAACGCTGAAACATTTCCAGGATACTTACGGAAGTTCTTCAAACTTAAGCGCGTATGTTTTAAGTTGTCTGCAACTTGTTCTAAAGTTGATTTCAAATTTTCATGTTTTTTATGAATCTTTTTCCAGGGAAGAGATCAGAAATATATTGAACGACCTCGAACGACGTCCTTTAGTGTTTGCATCCGATGCAACTCTTTCTTCTGTTCTTTCTCATGTAAGTCCCTATTGTCATATTTTTTCATCTCGGGTTTTTTCTTCCTTGAAAAAAAGAAAATGCTATAATGAAACAAAAGTAATTGGAAAAACTCGAAATTAAGCCTTTGTGTGTTTATTATATATATGTTGAAATTATAAGTCCCTTTGCCATATATTGTGAGTATAATTTTTTTTTTTTTTAATCTTTACTGTAGTAAGAAGTTACAGGTAATAAAACGAGTTATGGAAGTAAGTGGTACGAGTGATGGAAAAAATAGCAGTCAACCAGGCACACCATGCTGGACATCGTTATCATCTGAGTCATCTGTAACCTTTTCATATCCTTTCACTAAGATCGATATAGAGGAACAGTTATTGTGCTAATTTGATCATAGTACTTCAAATAACATTTTTCTTAAATTTAATACAACATGATTAATCTGCCATTAATTCACTTTTAGAATTATAATTTAAGGATTGTTATGATCTCTGGCAAATACGTTTTAGCACTTTATGTTGCTCAAGCCTAAAGTGAAAATTCTTTTAGGCACCGTTCATCACTTTGTCATATCATTCATACTTTGAGGTAATTTATAGTATGTGGGGTGATACTCTATCAAACATTACCTTTTCTTCGGTAGTTTTCTGTTATTTAGAGCTTTAACTACATTTCGATTTTAAATAATGACACCTTTTGTGTCGTTTTTTTTATGTGTAGCATAATGTTTTATTCTTTTTCTTTCGACGTAATAATTCTTTTATCCCGGTTTGTTTCCTGTAATTTTATTAGCCTTGTTTTTAGATAGCTGATATTAGGGTACTGGCGTTGGATGTATCATCTTCAAGCTATATGCATGTTGTTGATGTGTATTGGTCGTTTTGTGTTGTGACTGCAGCAAAAAAAAAATTAGCATCGTACATTCATGAGTCATCATGACCTTTCTTTTGGGTTTAATATGAGAAAATGATGTCAAAAAGCGGAATAAGAAGGGATTTCATCATCGCTGGGAGACATTTAATAAATTTACCTTCCTGAGTTGATGTACATGCGAAATGTAAAATTAAAAGAACTATTTAAAAAATTTTATGACCGACTTACGAAACTTGTCATAAAACTCTTTTAGTAAGAGGTCTTTTTTTGAAAAAGACGTATCTTAATGAAATGAAATAGGTACTTCCACTTTGTTATGCTGAAAAATTGCTTCTTTAAATTTTTTCAAGGTTCATGCTTCCGACAGAATTATTTTTGTCTTCATAAAAGCCATAAAAATTTGTTACTTTTTATTGGTAGTTGATATGCCAATGTGCATCCCATGTGATTGTCTTTTATATGTTTCCGGTTTCTTTTATAATGCCTGTTTGAAGCAGATACTCTGAACTTTGTCTTTCAGACCGTTCGCCGTTCCGTGGATTTGGAAAATCAGGACTGTAAAATTTGCTTACAGTCATTGGCACATGGTGATAAACTAATACAATGCCCTTCCTGTTTCGATTCCTATCACTATGAGGTGATTTCTTTTATTCGGTTTTAAACATAGTATTCTGCACCAAACATTCTTGTGCTACTTCGAGAGAGTGTAATATGTGCCTCGGCATCAAAATATTGGAGACTACTCATGAATTCATTGCAGTGTGGGATCAAATGGCTCAAACAAAACAGTACATGCCCCCACTGCCGTCGGCTGTGGAGCAATCCGGACGATTTTCCATCCTTAGCGAAGACTCTTCTGTGAATCATACAGCTATATAAATCATATTGTTGTCATGTTGCATCCCTTGATTACTAACTTTTTAAAATAATATATTTGACCGCGCTTAGTCTGCGTCAGTGTAACCTTCCCCTTTCATTATGTATGATTCAGTTTTATTTTGGGAGAAGTCTGAATGTATTATGCGTCCATCTTGTTACTAGAGATCTAGATTGTATGAGTGCTGTCTCTCCGAATTACCATATTATGTCAGTTGCTATATGCCATCCATCCATGTTAATTAGGACTCATGGGGTATGCTGTGGCAACTGAAAATAACTGTCTAACAAAAAATGTCCTCAAAATACATTGAATCTATCAGTTCATTCCATTATTTTGGTTTATTGAATCGTGACATTTGACCTATATGAATTTCATAGTCGTAAGTTTGCATCTGTTTAGAATTTTTCATCTAAAACGCTGCGGTTTTTTAATCTTAAGCAGTGTGAAACATTCCAGTAAAAATCAGTGGCCTTTGACATGAATTTATAGAATTGCATTTTTTGTAACGATTCTAAAAGAATTAAAGACTGATTCATTTTCAGTCTACATTCATAACAACAAAGCAGAGAAAACTTTTCTTAGACTTCGCTTATGAATGAAGTTGCCCAATGCAGTTTCTTTTGTCATAATTTCGACAATGCCCAGCTCAGGACTTATCAAAATGCACTAGAAACCAGTCCGGAAGGAAACTGAATGCACTGGCTGGTGGGGATTTCTGATATGTTATGCATCGTTTGGAAGGATCAAATTCTAAAACATAGTAGATAAGGTCTGGAGAAACTTCCAGCATTTTTTTCAAACGACTCAACGTTGCATAAAGGAAGTTGAAGGTAACACTCGCGGACCACTGATGAGCTTTTTTTGTGAGTTGTGATACCTTGAGCCTTTCAGTGTGTGTTACCATACCTGGAACAAACTTTGCGACCATAAAATCTGCAATGGGATGGAAAAATACTACTAAAATATCCTGTGAAAGTCAAATATGAATTGTAACGTACCATCGTTATCTCTATAGCCGACAACTATATTTTCTATTCCAATCAGAAAGGATTGCACCCACCATTTCATCGCTTTGTGTTTCCAAAAGTTATTTGTTAGTTCTTTACACTGCGTCTTCAATTCCACGTATTCGCCGTCTATTGATAAAACCGTCATAAAATCAATGTGAATTGAGATAAGACAGGTAACAATAAAGTGCTCCTGACCCTTCTTATACTAGTTTTAGCAGAATTCATAATTAGCTACTGATCTGTTGAGCACAGTTACTATAACCTCTATATGTCTACTTGTAAACCTAAAGAATCATAATATTACGTCTCAAAATATATAGACAACCCATAAACAGCTTTTAGTTCTATCTGTCGCCTTCTTAATATGCATTTTCGAGATTTCAAAATCAGAAAAAACAAGCTACCGGCATCAATGCAGTCAGTCTCGCCAGAATACAGAATACGGAATCCTTCCTTTCGTCCACCCAAGCGTGCCTTAACGACAACATCAAATTCCTCTAAATTCGTCACTGGTTCATTTATATTTGGTTCCTTCTGGAAAAATTCTAAACCGTAACATTTAAACATTCTATTTAATTCTCCAAAATTTTCAAAATAAACTTGAGAAACCTCAAGGAATTCATGAGAAAAGATCACCGATAAAGAGTCACTTGTCATATATTGTTCAAACTTAAAGCCCCAATATGTCATTCGTTTGTCGCGATCAGACATTGATTTCAACTGAAGGATTTTTTCATTGGTCGGGAACTCACATATGAAAATTACAGATTTATACCGAACAGCAGCTAACCGCCAACCATCTCGATATTCATACGGTGAGCATGCGATCCGTGTCAGAGTGCCACGCCAACAAATAAAATCAGCGCTATGGCAAACCTTAAAATGACGCAGATCTAATTTACACGTACTTCAAAAAAAGTTGAATAAGTGGCATCATTTTAAATAGGAATTACCTTATCATGATCAAATAAATTCCTGCATTAGTTGGGATTTTCTAAGCTATAGGTTAATTGAAAATAGCAGTTAATTTAGTTCAGTCAATTATGCAGATGATACACAGTAAAATCTTATTCTAGCTGTTGCCTGATCACCGAATAATACAGCAATGATTCTATGAATGTATTTTCTCATTTTACACTTTTGCAATTAAAAAAAAGAGAGGAATCAGAGTGACAGCAAAAAAAAAGTGGAAGCAGCAATGAGAAATACCTTATCCAGAGAAGATCCAGGTTCGCTGTGTATAAGTATCCATTTCAACAATACGTCCAGTTTTTCGTTGTGTAAAATGTCTTTGCCTTCAAACTGATAATAACCAATATTTAAGTCAAAATTACATCGCTGCCCAATAGCTTTCTCGTAAAGATATTTTGCCCGACATCTACCCGGCAATACATCATGCTGCTTGGTAAGACACATTTCTCCAATCACCGATGGTTTATGGAATGATGGAAATGCACCCTCATACAGTGATGGATCCGTTTTCAACAGTGATTCCATTCTGAAAATCAATCCACAACATCACCTCTAATTATTCACCACAATAGATGATGTTATAAAATACCAAACACACCTCTATACTCCTCATATAGTCTGTCTCTGTATACGTATGTGTATGTGTATGTGCATGTCTGTCTCTCTCTTTGCATGTATGTGTCTGTGTGTGTGTGTGTGTGTGTTCCTGTCGCAGTCTAATTCCTGACAAAATCTAACCGACAAGAAATGCATTGCTAGTTTCGATTTAACGGTGAGAAGTATGTGATTAGTATGCTCACAGGACTCAATGAATTGGGAACTGAGGGGCGTTTTTTCGTTATAGGGGTTAAAGGTCGTCCTAGATTTATTGGCTTTATGTTAATGCAGACTTTTGCAGTTAGAGCCTAGAAGAATGATCGCTGGGGACGATACTCTTAACGACTCGGAAGATATCACTTCTGTAAAGGTAATTTAGTTTGCAGAGCTTTCTAATCTATTCAAAATGCATCATTAAGATTAAATACTTTCACTGTTCTCCTGTTCAGATAGCAGCAAAAAACATTAAATAAATCTTTTTGTTATTTTTGATCTTGTTAGAATTGCAGAAGTGAACCTCTATTTTAAGTTGTTTCTAAGATTCTTCATTTTACGTGTGCTTCCAAATACAAATACATAAAACACTCGAGAATTCTCTTCTAATTCAGCAAGACTAGTGGAGAATTTAATAATACTAATCCGAATTCAATAATAATTTTTTCGTTTGAAACTTTTATTCTTATCTTTACTTCCTAGCATCTGTCGCCCTTGTGAAATCCTTCAGAAGATACCTAGTTATTCAGGACACGGATGGCATGACGTCAGTCGATTTGCATCTGGAAGACGATTTGCCCCAGCCCAGTATACCTGCTAAGCTTTCGTTTACGGAAAATCCAGATACAAATGAGCCTTCATCATATTCTTCAGATTCGCAGATTGAAATTGTTATTAAACAGTTCGAGAAGAAAGGAGAAGGGATGGGCGCTTATATTGTTTATAAAGTTGTGACAGCAGTAAGTACAAACTTGTCTTGTTTAGAACTGAAAGTTAGCTGGTTTGAAATACTTGTATTTAATTTGGCTGATAGACTTGCTGCTTGCAGACACAGAACATGCAAGGTTATATAGATCGGGAATACGTTGTCTGGAGGCGATTCAGTGATTTTCTTGGTCTTCATGAAAAATTAGTGGACAAATATTTTTACAAGGGTTATTTAGTGCCGGCAGCACCTGAGAAAAGTATCGCCGCTCTTACACGAACAAAAATGAATACATCCGTGGACGATAATACCAACAAGTTAGTTTATTTTTGGAATAAAATGCATGAAATATGGGATGGAGACCTTAAATTTTGCTTTCTGAGGCTTTTTCAGTGAATTCGCTGAACGTCGCGCTAGAGGTCTTCAGAGATTCTGCAGGCGCATAGCACGTCATCCGAAATTAGTTCTTGATTGTGATTTTCGCGATTTTTTAACAATGACTGCTTCATTACCTAAAGCTAATTCTACTGTGGCTCTAAGTGGTGCAGGAGTTAAGCGAATATTCAAAACTGTTAGTGACGTTTTTTCGAAAATGGCTTTCCATATGGATGAAAATGATCGTTGGTTTGAAGCTGCACAACAACAAGTGAATTTTTTTATTACATTTTAAGGAAGATTAGGGTTGCTTTAAATCGTTTACTTTTTCTTTTGTTTATTTAGTGGATTTCTTCACATTCTTGATGATTTCATTTTAATTTTTTTTCCTTTATGTTTGTTTTTTTCATTTATGCAACCATTTTAGATGGAAGATATGGAACAGAACTTAAGCAAACTACTCCGAGCAGTCGAATCATTGAGTTCATACCGACGTGAATTAATTTCTGGGACAGATTCGTTCTCCAAAGCACTTTCAATGCTTTCTTCATGTGAGGAAAATACAACTCTTGCACGATGTTTGTCGCATTTAACCGAAACATATGAAAATATTGATCAGTTGCATGGTGTGCAGTCAGATAAAGATTGTGCACTGCTCGCTGAAGGGATCAGTGAACAGTTGCAGATTATCTACACGCTAAAAGTATGTTGTGTACCAGATGTCAGCAGCGTGATTAGAACTTAAGTATTAAATTGAATCTGATAAACAAAACTTTGTAGCGTCCAAGCATAAAAATGATTAATTTCGAATCTCTTTTAGTTTCTTTCCTTGGTCTTCGTTCATGACTATTGTAGCCCATTTGCTGTCGTTCAAATATCTAACCATTGCTTGTTTAAACTTGCCGACATTTGTTTAAACATATCACATTTCATGTCTACCACTTCACAAATAGTCATTACATATGTCATAGACAGCTTTTCAGGAACTTTTTTTCGAGCGTGTTAAAATTTGGCAGAATTGGCAAGCTGCACAACAAAATCTTACAAGAAAACGAGAAATGAAAGCTCGTCATGAACTTTCTGGCCGAACCGATAGGACTAATCAAATTATAGCGGAACTCAACAGCGTATGCTTTTTTTTTTATGATAATCATTTTTTGAGCATCACTATTTCCATTTTTATAGCCTTGTGTTAAAACACTAAATGCAGATAGGCGCATTGATGAATGAATTAATGAGTGTTCTTAGACATTTGTCCACGTTATATCCAAAGTGAAATGAGAACCCTGTGTGGCTTGTGTATCGAAACATTCAGGTGATCTAATAATTAACTCTTTATTTTCCCCTATTTACCTCATTATCATATTCAGGCAGAGAAAGCAGTGGATGAAGTGGAAAAAGAATTTTCTGAAGTAAGCAAAGTCATTCGTGGTGAGTATGAAACATTCTTAGTGGAGCGTAAAAATGACATGAACGATACGTTTAAGCAATATCTTCAAGAACTGCTTGAAACGCAGAAACAATTCCTCAAATGCTGGGAAATATTTGCGCCAGAAACACAATCTATCGAAGCGACCTAATTTTTAGGACATATGGGCCCTATCCAAGCTGTGATGTCCTTATGCTTGCTAATGTACTCCTTGTTATAAATAAAGCATGAACCGTGAACTTCAATAAAAAATAAGAACAAACAGAAGGGTTAATTTCAATTGTGAACAAAATACCGAAGTGGAGGTAATTGTGATTTAACAGCTCTGTGGATAAAAGGATTTTCTCTTGAATAATTTCAATACATATTTGGTGATTGACATAGACTGCGTTAGTGCTATGATGAATATGCATATGTATAAGAAATGTATGCTCTGCAATAAAATCCATGCCGAATGTCTCCATTCAAATGGGTTTTACATCCATTCCCTCTCATAGGAGCCTGTGTTAAAACTCTTTATTTTTTATTAAATAGCCGAAAACCCAACTAATATGATTGAGCAAAAAGTTCTTAAAACACAGACATGTAAGATTTGACTATTTCCCTAGTAAATTAGTATGTATGAAGTAGGAAAGGAAAGGTGCAGCAGAAACTATTAAGATCAATAATTTCCTAAAAAATCGAGAGCTTTTTCACTAGAATTTAAGGAAAAAACGTGAAAGTTTTACCAGTAACAATGTTTTCAGATAAAGAACAAAGAAGGATCTCGTGAGTTGTACTTATGATTCAAAAAGATCGAAGCATAATTTATGTGACTATTGGAAAGGCATGAGCTTCAGTATTAAATACCCATTTATTCAAAGGCATGATACTGTCGTTCGAAAAAGTGAGGTATAAATACTTGAATGTTTCTGCAAATACAAAGCTCTGCTGTACATCATCGTGTACTACTTCTGAACTGTACACATTTTTTATGCCAGAGTACCTGAAAAAAATTCGAGACAGTAATTTTCCTAAGTTTAGAAAGCTGATGTTACTTAAACTGTTATAATATATTTAAGGCACTTATACACTTTAAATTTTGACTTTCCATTTCAATTCTTGAATACTCTAGAAAACAAGCAAATGGTAAAAATTGCATAAATAATTTTGAACACAACACTGAAATTTATGTTGTATACTGAAAGGACAGGTTCCTTTATAATTTATTTCATAAAGCATTTCAAATGCAGAGATGCAGAATGAAATAGAGGGGTAGTAAAAAAACTTTATATAAACATATGTCGCAATGTTTCCCTGTTGCTATCAACAATCAAAAAATTAGAACTCACCCTCCTGTTGTCCTACAGTATTTCTCAATATTTTTAGCGGCCATCCAACACCACTCTCTGTATTTATTTTTTCGCGTCACACGCCACAAATAAAACCACCCCTCAATCACCTAAAACTGAATCAATTAACAAGATTCTTCTAAAGTATCCCGAATGTGCATTTTAATGAAAATAGAAAAAACAGAAAAGAATAATTCTAACCTCAGGTCGAAGAATATAGTATTTCTCACTATCCTTTATCGCCATCACCTCCACTTCCTTTGTGAATCGAAACGACTCAGGACCAATACCCGTAGCTGTAAACTAACTATATTTATATATGAAACACAGTTTGTCTTAAACACATCAAAGAAAAGCAAAAGTATTACCAGTCCTAATGTATGACTCATGACATGTATTGGCAATTTCTTCTGCAAGTTTCAACGCATCATTGCGTCTCTTTATATCATTTTCGTTTAAAGCTTCCAGAGCAAGCAGACCAACAATAAAGCATGCCAAATGATCCATTTTGTGCACTTCACGTTTCCCCTTTAGTTCTGAAGTATATTCTTCTATTTTCACCATGAAATGTAAAATGTTGTATAATGTGTAAAAACAGCAACAGTGAGAACCATAACTACTTTTAGTCGATTTTCCGACGCAAATGATTACTTTTGATAAAGTGGATACGGAAATCAGATATGGATATGTATGTTACTGTTAAAATTCGAAGACTCTAATTCTTTTCAAATAAAAAAACAAAAAACAAAAGTACAAACCAATAAAATATGCAAGGTGATTCTGACTCGAATAACGTAACAAATATTTTTTTATTGCTGCTAATGCTGCATCATACATTTCTTTGTAAACTGTATCATTTTTACTTGATCTAAGCCATGATTTCAAAAGATATTCGTAGAAACTATCACCCAATGCACCAACTGAGACATGCTCTGAACGAAGCCGCAATTGAAATTTTGAATTATAGTAGCATATTACAGTATAGTCCAAAAGGATTAATACAATTAAACTGTCATTTCTTTACTGCGCTGAGCGTATGCATCTAACTGACTGTTACAGAAGATAATGAGTTATAGACCTATAACATTGAAAAGGACAGCGGAAAATAATTTGAATTTTACGAGAAAAACTTACTGGGACCCCACTTTCCAGATTTTGGATGCAAATAATTCGGATAAAGACCATCTTCCGTCCTTACAGAAAGCACTATTTCTCGTATACGTGCAACCTGAAAATCGCAGTCAAAAAACCAAAACGTGGTCAAGACAAATAGTGTAACTGAAAGAAAGGTTAGTAAACTGACTTCTATCTTTACAATGAACACTAAAAGAAAAATACCGAATCGTAATTGTTTAAGTCTTTCCCAATCTTTTCTAGAAAGTAATGCAAGCAATATACACTTAAGCATAATGAACGTAATGCAAAGTACATTCAGTATGCAACCCCAACCATTTACTGAATTCGAAGTCATGATATCCAATCAACAAATCAGTTTATAAAACCAAAGTGAAAGAACTTAAAAACGAACCTTGGTAGAGTATATGGAATTTTGAGTGAGCTGAGATAAATAATCTAATTCTAGCTGTAAAGAACCAAATTCCGATAATATTGAAAAACCGCCATTAGCCCAAGCCCAATTATGTGAACGACCCGAAACAGGATTAACTAGCGCGTGAGGTATACCAGTTGGTGTCTCAAAAGCTGGTAACAATATGTTTGCGACATTAGTTGCCTTTTGTATGTACATCTGTAAAAACTTAGCTTTTTTGAATTTCACTGACTCCGTAGATTTTGAATATCATATCTACTGTGGATAAAGAAAAAATGAAATCTTCGTGCTTTAAAATGCACATAGCAACTTTCAAGCTACATTATCATGGACAAAACGTTAATAATACTGATGATAAAACTATATAAGAAAATATGACCATCTACTTTTTTTTTGTAAATATGCTTATTTTAAAAGAAAAAACTTATCATCGCACTGCTACGTTCTTTGATCCAGATAACGAAAATAACTAGATCAGTGATGAAATGAAACAATTACCTTATCTTCAGTTAACGCATAAGCAGCCAACAAGCCCCCAATGAAACGGATATTTGTCTCGAAAACAGATATATCAGCAGTCTGAAAATAAAAAAAAATCTAAAACAAATAATTAATAAATCAAGTATATAATGATGCTTTCTCTCTTAATTTGTTACAGTATGATGACAGTTTATTTTAGAAAGATGCTATTATCAGTAACGTCTTTTTCCTAATTCTAAATTGCATGAAGAATTGAGATGCCTAACAGAATCAAAACAATAGCACCATAATCATAAGCGCAGTACAACTTGGCTTTGCAATAGCAATGATCGTGAACAAATCTCCTCAGATAGACCATTAGTCCAAAGAATTGTGAGAAATATCCAATCCTGTCCTTGAGTTTTTAGAATTGTTTTCAGGTTATTTCCTCACGTTATTTTTCCACTACTTCACGTTTACCAGTTTAGTTTATTTTTAGGAAGTTACATTTTCAAGCACTAACTGTGAGAATCTCGTCTTGAAATATTTGTTTTCTTTAGTCGCAACATATTGCCTTGAAACGGAAGGTCGACAGAAAAGCTTATTAAATTAAACGCTTTTATTTCTTATCCTCTACGTTTTTATAAATTATATGCTGCATTCCTTAACATACATGTCTTAGATGTATCATAGAACTCATTAAAAAACTCACGGAAACCTTCAGATCGAAAAAGTTTTTCACCCAGTTTCGGCCCTCCTCATACTCTTCTTTTAGCCCCATAATATACAAAGTATCAAGTGCATCCACAATGGTTGCACCCAGTTTTCCGTTACCAAATACTGATGCACTATGCTCAGAGCGTGATAAAGGTTTTAATTCGTTGAAACCCCATGCATATTTCCGATAATTCTCCCAAGCAAATTTGGTCATCTGCAATAGGAAATGTGAAAAATTGGGAAAAAATTAGACCAAAAAAAATTAAATCTTCAAATTCACTACAGAATGACTAACTTAAAGGGTAAAGGATAAATATACCTAATCCTGACTACTCTTTCCATTTTCTAATTTATATTAAAAATTTGAAAGCTGGGATCATCTAGCTACCTTATAGTACCATTCTATACAACCAATGAGTAAAAAAAAAAAAATCAAAAAAATTACCCAAAAAAAATTTCTGGGCAAAGTATGCATATTCAGTAATAAATTACATAGATTTTATCATATTCAGTAATAAATTACATAGATTTTATCAAAGAACTAATTTTCGCAAATTTAAAATAAGTAGGAGTAATAATGCTTAAAAATCCCAGTGTTTCTGAGAAATGTTTCCGGAAACAAGCACCGGAAAAGCCAAAAAGCTGACGATCCCGAGTTCTAAGCCCATAGCCCACGGGCTTAGGCAAAAATACGACAGCCCTCACACCACAAATGAATTCATCGAAAGGTTGGTAAGTCATTTGCTAAGTTCATGTATAGAAGAATCTTAATGATTACAGAAATTTGCACTTTATTGTATTTTTTTGTTTTTAAGTTGTTTGCTATAGTTTCCAATAATCGTCTCAGAACCCAAAAAATTCTAAAATTTATACATTAATTATGAATTGACAACGCTCAACAGATATGGCGTCAGATTCATCTTCCACCTTCCTCGGTTCCTCATCGAACTGACGTTCCTCTAATTCAAATCTCTGCTGCCGGACTTGAGCCAAAAAACGACTTCTATCACTTTGAAATAATCGTCCGGATCTGAAGAAAACTGAGGTGTTCTTTGAGCCCTTAAAAATATAAAGACTTCTGAAGTTAACAAATAC